TTGAATCATATCGTCTACCATTAATGTTTTCTTCTACAACTGTCACTATTAGTACTTCTACCATTTTGACATTTACTTTGATAATTTCATCTCTCTATACTAATATAGTGTTAAAACTTGAACAGATGCAAATATATATCAAGTTCTTAGTTGCTTTTCACTGACCGACTGAAGAGTAGGAGATAGGGAATTTAAATGAAATTTTTAGTTCAGTCGATGTGATTTACTGTAAACATCACAATAGTACATTATTTGCCGAATGATATCACATTCATAATTCTGTTTCAAACAAAAAAAAAAAAGAATTGTGGACAGTCTCTATTAGCAAATATGCATTCTATGTAAATTTTCTGGTTATAAACAAAGTGAGAAATATAAGTCATGGGTTGCGGTGCTAACCGTAATTCATCACTTCTATAAAGCCTGTAACTAAAAGACTTAGATAGGTACATAATAACTAGATTGAGTAGTTAAACACAATTCAATGTTCATAATTAGTTTTCTTTAGTGAAATCATAGTATTATTAAAGTTAAATGATTATTTTTATCTTTTGAAGCACTATTCATCAACATTTGTATTAAGAAATAATCCACTCACTAAAGAAAATTGCTTAGATTATTCGCGGTCGTTTAGTTTAAGAAATTATGGAGAGATTAAGCTCACTTCTAAAGAATTCAACTCTGGGACAAATCAGCTGTCTACTTCTCTCCGGTTTTCCATGGTACTTTTAAATTATATCAGTCTGCACTGAATAAAGCCTACGAGTTAAGCCAAACTTCAAGAAATTCCTCCTATTAAACTATAATGGTTAGACCATTAGTGTTTTACTTCGAGAGGTTTCTGAAATTCTATTGCGACGTCATGACTAATGGAGTTTAGATATTTCAGGATTAAAACACTCGCTACCAATGGTATTCGATTATCGTTAAACTACATTGTGAACTGATTGAATTTGGAGTTATACCATTGTGTGGCTACCCGGTGGCTCTAGTGGCGAAGCGTTCACCATGAAGGTAGAATATCCTGAGTCTGGCTTTCAATGTTGTCATATGTTCCTACTACCAAGAAGTTCCAAACTAAAGCGAAGCGAATGTCTAGTGCTCGATGATATCCAATGTTATCTTAATTGAGATGAATCTTTGATCAATATAACCTAAAACAATTCGTCAAAAGTGTTCATAAAATATGTTCTTGATGTGTTTGGTTAGTTATATGCAGAATGCTTATAACTATTTAATAGACTTTTTAATTGCTCCTTGAGGTTTCAGATTCACTCCAAAATGACATAATAATTAGATACTGATGAAAACACACAATAGGAACAGCGTAACATTGTTAACTGAATCCCGAAATCGGATAGAACAGCTTCAAATAACTTTGCTGATTGATTAACAAATGAATGAGAGTAATTTACAGTAGTAATTCATAAAATACAGCATTGTTTGGACCAAAGTATTACATAATCACATCCATGAGGTGAATGATTCACCACATGTTAATCGATTCATGCACTGTTATAATATAACTTGGTTACTTATTAATCTTATCATTTTATGTTGCAGGCTGAGTTTAGTTAGAACAGTAATAACTCTTCCTAGAGTCACTGATAGACACTGTTGAAAAATTCCGTACTAGAACCGGACAGTTGTCCTCTGATTTCTGGCATTGAATGCTTCTCTAACTAAGATCAGTTCGTGATAAAAAGCTACAAAGTTTCTAGATTTGTTTATCTCATTGAGTGTTACAGTATCCAATGTCCGATTATGTCATCGAACTAAGAATGACTCATATGTGTTTCGAACGTACAACACTCAATCCACCCACTACCATTCTTTACAGTCTATATTTATTATACTGACTCATTGAATTTTATCACCACTACTACCAACACCACCATCACTAACCCGTTTTGTAAATAGTAATCATGTGAACGTTAGTTACTATTCTCTATGTTACATTGAATGAAATTATGATGTAACACAATAGAGAAAAATTCTTGAATTTATGCATACACTTATTCGTTTATTTGATACACATATGATCACAAAACTCAGACAAATTATACAATTGTGTATTGATGTATCCAAATCACAAACTTAATTTCGACTTATAATATCAAATATATATGTATATTATTCAATTTACCATTCTATAGTTTGTTCAGTTTGATATTCGATACAATGTTGTAATATGATAATGAGTTAAGTAAAAATGTTGAAAGGATACAAGGATATAAGTGCGATTATTATTATTATTATTATTATATCAGTTTTATTACATAACTTTAGTACTTCTTTAGAATGAGTATTAAATTTACATATGTAGGTATATGATATTTGTATATATGTGTGTCTGTGTGTAAGTGAGTGTATTTTGTTAAAAATGATGTCATCTATGTAAATAGTTTATTCAATGTTCAATAAGTCTTATGCAAATAAAATAAATTTGTTTGTCCGAATGAAACAGATAGATAGATAGATAGATAGATAGATAGATAGATAGATAGATAGATAGATAGATAGTGTTAAACTAAATTTGAAATGAAAGATAGTGTTACTTAGTGAGATATAACCATAATTGGTTTTAATGTTGTTATTGTATTACTTAATAGATTCTATAAATGAATTGATTCTTTGTCTATGATTAAAATATCTATTTACAAATTTATGAACTTTGTAAGATAAAATTCACTTGATATTTGATTGAGATCATGAATCGATTGATGTTAGACCACCTTTGGTAACCTGGAAGCACTGGACGGCCGTTTCGTCCTATGACTCCTCAGCAGTAAGCATCCACAATCCCGCATGCGGGATTCAAACCTAGGATCTTTGGTCTCGAGCGCGAACGCTTAACCAACTGGACCACTGAGCCGGCATCCAATGGTGATAGTGTATTGTTTGGATTTCATTGCTAGCCACTATCCATCTTTGCATATAATGTTTACAAGACAGATTTTGTTGTTTCCAGTTTGAAAAATATTATTTTCTAAATAATAATAATAATAAAATTAAAGATTCTGTTCATTTATTCTTTATAAAAAAAATACTGATACTCAAGATCTACTGCGTTGACTTCCTTGTAACCGATTCTCAGCTGTGTCATTCAACGTCTCTAGCCAATGACTGCATGTATATCTAACAACATTAGTGAAACCAATGATCAATAATTTTGTTGACTAACAAGGAATTTTTTGATTTCGATCATGAAGCGAACAATGTTAGACCACCATTGAAAACATTTGAACACTAGTCAATCGCTGCGTCTTAGTGTGGGACTCCTCACCAGTGCACACCCACGACCCTGCACGCGGGACTCGAAACCAGAATCTTCGGTCTCGAGCGCGAACGCTTAACCAACTGAACCACTGAGACTGGCATCCAACAGTGTTAATGTTGGTTTCACCCACCCTTTAACTTTTTTTCCAATCTACATTTTATACCATAATGGGTTAGCCAGTGAACACTAGCATGGCTGTAATATTTATGAGCTTTGACTAGTCAGTTGTAGATAGAGAACTTTTTATTTCAACAATATATGAAGACATTAGAAAAACATAAGTAGTCAGTATACGTCATATTACATTCCTGTTGTATTCAGAAGTTCAATAACAATTAAAATGAATTCACTTCATAACTTCATGTGATTTTCTTAGTTTACAAACCGTATAAATTTAGATGAATATTGATTGTTTCCAAGTTACTTTCATAATTTTCAAAGCAAACAAATCATAGGTTCATGAGGCTGAGTTACTTAGATCCTTTAAGTTTCTCTATGTAGGATATCATTTAAATTTATCTAGATCATGAGAAAGTATATATATCTTTATTCATTAGATGTCATCATTAATATTATTAGGACTTCCGAAAGTTGTTCAGTTTTGAATCATGATGTGTCAGACACATCGTTGGAGGTAATGATTAACCATCATGTTATATTGCGAATTAATTGAAGTTAGAAGTGCACATCATCATATGACAACCTAGTGGTTTGAAGGCTAAGAATTCATATCAAGGCCTGAAAGTCCTGGATCTGATTTCTTATAGGTTCATGAGTATGCATTCCTGGAGATATATATATAAGAATGGAATAAGCGTTCAATACCTTTTTGTTGTCAACAGTTCTCTAGTAAAAGCCATGTCATGACGTAAAATTGCTAATTTAACAGTATATCCCACTAGTAATCGAATCCAATCCTTATGTGTTATATTTAAACCATTGACTTGATATCTAGTGATTCACATTTCATTTCGCAATATTATACGGATATCACTCTTCCTGTTAGTGATTTCTGTCTTACATTCAATGTGGCTGAACTTTACTTTTCGGAGCTTCTTACTAAAACCTTAGAAATTATTCTCCTGGTTAATTACCAAGGGATATATAATTATTATTAAAAGGAGATTTGTTATGTTTTGTGGCCCTCTAATTCTGTTATGTATATATACACAGGCCTAACCAAATACTTGAGTAAGAAAACCATCGGGGAGTATTAAGTTTTAGTTAGCTAACCCAGTAGAAGGTATATGCACAACTTGTTGATAAATATATATGACCCTCAGGAAGTTAAGTCATTTCTCAATGTATAGAGTGTATATCACACCATTTCTTAATTATCATCTAACTATGAGCTGACATGTTTGATTGGCACTGTCTATCAGAATGCTGTAGCAGATAGTTTATATCAAATATTAACCCCAGCTAGTTAACCAATGAAAACAAGTTTGTTTTTGTAGTAACTATTTTTCTCCTATCTTGAACATTACCATTATTGAAACTTATTCACGTTTACATTCATTAATTTCATATTATCATGCTGATATAGAATGGGAACTTGGTTTGACATACATTTTTACTAGATTCTACGTCGAGTATAACTGATTTGATGTTAATATTTATATGTAGCTGATTTTCTTTGACATTACCCTATTGTTTACTGTCATTAGTTATTACATAAATCATTGAGCATATTGTTTTATTTTGTGCTTTTTTTTTAAAGGATTCAAATTATCAAAATGGTTCAGCGACAATCATAACATCAACATCAACAACACATGGATTAAAACAAAGAAAAAATAGTAAAAATTTATTAACAACAGAGAATAACACAGATGATAAACAAACACGTGGATTTGTTAGACGATGGTCATCAGGATCAAGAAAGAAACAAAGAAAATCTAGTAAAAATCGTTCTGATTTTATAGATGATGAATTAGAACAAATTCCTGATACTACATTTACACGAACATTATCTAATCCAGATGAAGTATTACGTCGACGTCGACAACAACGAATACACAATCGAAATCAATGTATGGATATAACTGATGGAATTAAAAGAGGTATGTATATAGTGATCTGGGAAGGGATAAACAATGAACATTAAGAAGTTTCTCCTTTAAAATATTAATCACATATGAAGATACACTCTAAATCTATTTAAATATTAAAGTGATTTGTATGAAAAGGTACATAAAACTTATTATAGAAGAACTTATTTAGAAAGATGAAATGTATCAGAACTATATGGTATACTGACGCAATACACATAAGATTATATGTAGGTGATGAATACACTGATGGAATTGGAAACAGAGAACTGTCAGTTTTGTAAAGTCTAAATAATTTTTATAAATCGCGATGTTTTGAAGTTGTAGGTTTCCATGGATTAAATTCCTTTATTAATACCGTTTATACCCATTACTCTCACTTGATTTGTGTTCTGTTCTTCCTTCTTTCCAATTTATATATCCTTTATAAAGTTACTATCAGCCTTACATATTTACTTTGATCGCTGAGAATGGATAATCCTTTTTTATTTTTATGAATAGAATTCTTCATAACGAACATATATGGTGATGTATCTAGTTTAATCGAGATAATATTAGAATTGGGGCATAATTCCTGTAATTAGTTACTGCAGTTAGATTAAGCTACTTACTTATTCCACTTTAAACGTTTTTCCTATGTTTTCTATCGTATAGATGGTTAATCTTGGTACCTTCACTAAAACTGCCCAACAGTCGGTCTGTAGTTAGTATTCGGTTAATAACAGACACAGTTTAAAAGTCAGCTTGAATATAACCTTAATATACGGATCTCAATGTTAATTAATACGGTTGTATAGTTCATCAGAACCCTGTCAGAAATCCATTATAAACTCAGTTACAGTGATTACCTATCAGTTGAACCCATTTCAGAATTCCTTCAGACATTCGATCAAACAAACAAAACATACCATATTTCACCATTGCTATTGGTAACCAGCTTTGTATCCTGCCTCAAATGTTATTTATTTCTCTGGAATTGCTTTGACTCGATGTTGTGTTTGTTATTAGAAAACAGTAAAATATTTGGGTGTGTCGATCACTCTATACAACTAAACTTTATAAAAATGTAGCCTCCATGATTTGAATAATGGTTAAATAACCTGAATTGCTATTCTAGCTACTAATCGATCGATTTTCTCTTGTCATTTGCTGCTTGGTAATTTGTAAGCTATTTTATTAAGATGGATCAAAACAATGCTATGGTAACCTTGCAATTTAATGAATACACATAGTTAGGAAGAAAAAAAAAGAATTGTGTAGTTTACCTGAATTTATTATGATTGTATAATTATTTGTATATGTACATTCTGTTTGCTTTACTAGGTAGTTTAGTTAAAATTTACGGTAGTTCATTAAATCCAACAATACCTTACATATTATTACCAATATCAACTAATGATACAGCTGAACAAATTGTATTATGGACATTAGAAAAGTATAATTTAGTGAATCATGTTAATCCAAGAGATTACTGTCTAGTTATGGTGAATTTACCATTACGTGGTGGTGCTGGCATCAGTGGCAGTAACCATAGTGGAATGAATGGAGTTGAACGTTTACCGTAAGTTTAATGATTACCGTCATTTTTTTTATTATGTGATATGAATCACATTTGGTGTGATCAGTATATGAGTAGAATTAAAGGAAGGCAAAGAGTTATCAAACCAAGATATGACATCACCTTCATGAAAGATTACTTCATCATAAATCATAAAAATAGATATTTTTATGTTTGAAAATAGGATATTAGTCAAAAATTAAGAATCTGATTACATGTTATGTTATGTGCTGGGTTTTTTTTCAATGTTGTGTCGTTATAGTAAGGCGATTTCAGCACACAATGTTGAACACTGCGTTAAATTCCTACTAGACAATGTGTTTCAGTTGTAAAGATTGAAATTTTATCTATCAGACGTTTTCACAAGTGGCTGTTTCCCAATACTTGTATACCGTATATAGTAAATAGGTTATGCATTATGGAACACATATATTACACTCTTTATGAACTATTTTTCAATGCAATACGATGAATTCGTTCTGCTAAAATTTAATCACTTAAATCAGTATGTACTAGGCATTGTAATCTTTACTTTGACATTCATTATGTTCATTTCAACTCACACACTATGCTGACTTGAGATGTGGTAAAGTTTAAAGATGTATATTTGTCCCTGATCTTCCATTGATGAAGATTAATGACTGTTTGAGGAATTATCATCATCTGGATCTCATGACCGTACGCATGAATAAACTTAGGACCTTCAAGTCTTACATCGACTAAGTCATTATTATTATTATTATTATTATTATTATTATTATTAATATTATTAGAAGCTTTATTCAACATTATATTTTTGGTACAACATAGAATTCTCAGCATAAAGTATTTCAACAAGTTTCTTTTTCTTATATCTTGATAGATTGTGACGATAAATTTTGAATGATGACTGGTTAGATGTTAGGAGTTCGGTAATCCACATTTGATTAATGTTCATTCTTTTCAATGCATATTGCCAGCCACCATGATGTCGATGATTGTACCTTTTTGTATCACGTATAGCGAAGGGTTGTAAACTTTTCATAAACGCGCCTGAATAGATTGTGCGCACAATAGACATAATGATGTGCTAAAACAAACAACAAAACAGATAACTTGATGAAATATCTAGATGGGAGGAACAGGTAGCCCAGATATTCAAGTAGACCGCCAGTTAAGTTATCGTAATATAATAAATAAATATGATTCTACCATCTTTTGATCAACCATTTTTCAGATAATCAATTAGTTTAAAAATGGTTATCATTAAAAACCAGTATCCACTAGAAAATTATTGAAAATCATAAAATATAAAAACAGCTACTTATCATGATAGTTATCCAATATCTGAATCAGTTATTAAGAATCTTTGATTTAATTAGTATCACAAATCCAGGTCTTCACATAAGTACATCATTTAAGTAATCAAGTTATAGCATAAACCATTTGTCAGTAATTTATGGAATGATTTGTAAGAAGTATATTCACAGATTCGGCTATTGATTACAGATTGAATTAAATGTATATACTGAGATGGGATTTCAAGTTAGGGAAAAAATTCATCTTGTTTTCAATGGTGAAATATTTTATTCAAATTCTATTATTTATTAATGGTGAAGGATCAAACATTGTGATTCAAAATATTGAATTGTTGAAGTAATTGTATTAATCACTAATAAAAAAATGTAAAACGGTACTGGGTTTGAGTTCCGGAGTGAACATCTACCCTGCAGGTACATCTAGCTGACGAGTCCCAGATAGGACAAAACGCGCATCCTGGATTCCACTCCTAGCCACAATCACCGCAGCTTATAATTGAGTATCATTTATGTAATACTGACTGGCTTAATTGTTTGTTTCTTTCATTTTTTTACTTTTCTTTAATTCATCCCAATTGTAGACAAGGTGTTGACAAAGAAATTACACTACATGATAAAGATTGTGTTTTAAAGTTTCGTGAAATGATACGATCCAACTCTGGTGTATCCAATATAATACAGATTAGACATCGATATGTAGTAGGTAAAGATGGTAAGCGGCCTCCATTAACATCACCAGCTTATCCACATGCACCAATTCAACAAGCACCGATTTCATCACACTCTAATTCTTCTTCATCTTCATCTTCATTTCATAATCATAAAGATGGAAAACAATTACGTCAAAGTCAACAATTAACAGATATGCCATATTTAGTTCAAGTAAACGGTGACTTAGATCATTCAATACATCCTAAAGGATTTACAATTGATTTAACAGATCTATTTACAAGAGCATACACATTGCCTATTAAACTTGGTACAGTAGAAAGTATGGTAGGATCATATCCTAATGTATTAATAAATAAGGTATGTTTTGGTATTTCGCGCGTTCTTTTATGCAAACATGTTAATATTTCAATTGGTTTCCAAGATATAGGATGAAAAAAATATAACTTATGTTGCCTAATAGCCAGTTAAAGCTATATTGTACAATCAAATTTAAGGCAATGGTTTTTTAAAGTTTTGTGCGGAATTTAAAAAGACATGATGAATAGCATGTAGCTTGTCATGATTTAAACAAAATTTGCCTATATTTATTTATTAAGATTCTTGTAATCCACAAACACATCTGTAGTACAACCATACAGGGAATATAGTATAGTAGGAAAGCTCATTTGTAAGAAATACCTGATAGTGATTCAGATTATGCGCAAAAACGGTAGTAACGATTTAAAGTATTCCCAAGGATGTTTTTAAAATGTCTCAAGTCGTCCTCTTCTGTTAGTTACGAAACATTCAGTGTATAAAAATAGTTTATTTATATAGAGTATGTACAATCAGGAACTATAGTTTTTACTTGTGATATCATTCATTTTCATCAGTAATGTCATTTTCATGCGAGAAATGGTCGAGCTCTCGTGAAACAATGGTATATTATCAGAAAAGTGAATAATACCCTAAAAAAGTATTCCATTTCTATCAATGTCGTGACTTTATGTCCGATTTTTTATCACGTGATTTATCCACCAATCAAAATACGAATTATACAATCTTAGCACTGTGCCAAACCAATGACGTTCGACCGGTATGGGCAACCTGGCGTCCTTATTAGTCCTGTGTCCGCCTAGCCCGTCCACATGAGTCCAGAACACTAATAAACTGAAGAACAGTAAATCATGGAATAATAAATTATAGGTCAAAATGAAGCTTATAATAAGAGAAATATAAATATACATAATCTAATTATTGAATAATTATACCATTACAATGTATAGATAATATTAGTCAAATAACATGTCTCAGAAGTTAAACGTGATTTAATCTTCGCTCGGATATTATAACAATCAATAGTAGCAATGGGATTATCAATAAAATCATCAGTCATCATTAGCAGACAACATTAAATAGCTATCCAAATAATGTGACAAATTTACAATGAGACACTAAAAATAGTGTCATTTGTGGCGTAAATGAGACGTTCTTCTACGAGCGTAATAGTAGTGGGCGGTAATCCATTTCATATGGCTCTATGGATGTGAAATCTGGACTGTGAAAGTAAAAGACATACTGCAGAAGTTTGAAGATAGGTGTTTACACCCGATAGATCCCTGAATGGTGACCAACGTCGTGGATGTCAATTAGTTCTTTAGTCCCGATCAAGAAAATTTAATCAGCACTAGAAAAGTACCTGACATACTACTCAGTGAGCGGTCGATTGTAAATACATGTCAGTCCAACAGAAGGTCTTTCCAACTGTGAAGCTCGGTGACACATTTGAACCGTATTCACAATGGTTAATCATTCTCACTTTCATTCTTACGATGATTATTTTCACTTGTTTGTTAGCCATTTTGTTAAATCCACCTCGTGTTAATATGGGATGGCAAATTAGGATAATGCACCCTTTTCGTCAGACTCTTTGTCGCATATAACTGATTAAATGACTTTAAAAAAAACGTGATTATATTTTCTATTTACTTCTTATATATTACTTTATTTGAACAAATTAAGTAATATATTAACTTACCTTTACACTATTGTTTATTTCAAACCAAATAAATTCACAAACTAACAAAATAAACAGACTGAATATCCTGATATTCGACCAGTTCATTGTACATTTTGTGTTGTCCTAACAACCAATCAAATTACTACGACAAATTCAACTGTCAATACTCATGATAATACTAATAATAATACATCAAATACTACACAGAAATGGAAATTACCCAAATCTGTTTCCACGCCAGATTTAGAAAATTTTGCTAATTACTCATTACTACTTACACCATCATTGGATGGTTTTACAAAACCACCTGGACCAGCATTGATTCGTGTGAATGGTACACGTGTAACTGGTCCAATACTTGTATCAAATAATGCTATTCTACAATTAGGTAAAACATTATACTTAAAGTATATTCAACCAATGCAAACTAAATCATTGAATTCACTTATAAATGCTAATAATAATAACAATAAAATGCAAATTAAAACAGAGAATGCAAATAAGATACAACAAACAATAACAAGATTACCATCATCATTATCGTTAACGAATCGGTTAGCAGATAAACAAATTGATTTAATGAATGAAAAAAATCAAAATGATAATGTTATGAAATTGAAGAAAGATTCGCAATTCACTGGAGGTACACTGTCAAAAACACAGACTTTGAAAGTTAGTTACCTTTTCTGTATATATATATGTGCAAACGTAAATGTGATGTTTTACAGTAGACACAAAAAGCCTATTATGTTTTTTGCAAAGGTTTTTATCACTTTAGATGATGAGGATAGGGCTGACAATCAGGGTATAACGGATAATTGTCTCTCCTTAATTTTTATCAGAAAGGGTTTGTGGAGATTTTTAGAAATTTCACCGGTTGAAATCATGAATCATTTGAAGCTAGACCACTATGGAAAACTTGGAAGCACCGCGAGATTCGAACCCAGGACCTATCAGGTTTTCCATGGTGGTTTAGCTTCAACTGACTCTTGATTTCAATCTGTGAAATTTCTGAAATTTCCACAAAACTCATTCTGATAATAATAATCACCTGCTCACCAGTGACGGACTTGAGGAGGCACTCCTAGAGTTCTAGTGAGAAGCCGTTACCAGTGGAGTTCAACCAGGTCTGTTGTGAGATATCAACTCACTGATGACAATGGTGTACGGTGGCGCAACTTCGTGGGTTGGTTGAAGTTAGACATTAACACCATTGGATGCCGGCCAGCTCAGTGGTCTAGTTGGTTAAGCGCCTGGCGTGAGACTGATAGTTCCTGGGTTCGAGTCTCGCGAGGGGCGGGGCCATGGATGCGCAGCCCTGAGGAGTCCCATACTAGGACGAGACGGCCGTCCAGTGCTTCCAGGTTTTCCATGATGGTCTAGCTTCAATTGACTCATAATTTCAACCTTCTTAATTTAATGATAAGTCTACTAAGTAAATGCTCGATTCGATCTTTAAGCTGCTTCTAATCAGCGCAGACTAAATCTACACACCAACTTGAACACAAGAGAAAATATGTGAAGTCCTGAATGAAAGTTTGCCGATAAGGATTTATTTGACTTTCAAAATAAGTAAAAATGATTTATGAACACACCGTTTTTTATATGATTTATATACAGTTAGATTAACAGCCAGATATTTACAAATAGAAGTGAGTTATATTTAAAAATATTGACTCAATAACTTATTATGCAAATACATATTTACCATGTTATACAACTAAGCATTTACATTCCTTCTTAAAATGTGGATACATGTAGCATAGAGTTGGAAAAAAGAATCCATCTCGTATGTCATTCACACTTCAATCTACTCATCTATTACTCACTAAAAGTTTCCGAACGATCAGGGTCATATAAAACTCTGTAAACACGCTCAATCCTCTGCATATAGTTAACTCTGAAGTGAAGTTCTTATTCACACTTCGCACTATTTCTCTCTCATTTCAGCTGAAGCCTAAAAATATTGTATGACTATAGAAAGTTCCTAGAAACTCCGTAACTACTATTCAAACAGAAGGCTTATCGGATCGTTATATTCACTTTGAATCTCGATATATTTTTGAAAAATGTTGAACTAATTGAGTAGCTTATAACTAGCTGCTTGACCAGTTCTCTAATTACTAAGTTCCCGTATGTCATCTTTTGACACTGTCTCATCATTGTCTTCACTTGTCCATAAATCATCAGTTATTTTCTTTGTTAATCACAAAACCTTCATTAATAGGTAGACCTTGTTTTTTTCAAAGATGGCCTATAGTAATTCTCAAACATAACTTAAAGATATTCTTCTATTGTTTACATTACGGAGTGAATTTATTTAAACAGCTATTGAAATTCAAACAAATAACTGAACCACTTTTTCGCCCTAGTATGAGACTCTTCTACAGCACCCATCCACAACTGTAGCAGGAGTCAATAGTCCTCTAACCGAGGTCTGTTCATAACGGAAAATTTCAAAATTAAACAATTCCTACAACCGCACACAATAGAGGCTTGATTAATAACAAATACAATTAAGAATTTCATACTGTTTGCATTCTGCGCATCAAGCGTAGAACCTTCAAACCAAGCTACAAGTGCCTAATCTTTAAACCATCGAGTCAATTTATGTTTCTAACTTCAATCATTATGTCACAATTATCTTCCAATGACATTCATGGGTAGCTGCATCACAAGCGGTTTAGTCTTTGATTAGGATCCTCGAAATTACCTCACAAAAAGGGGTTTTTAGTTAGCACTTGACTATTATAAGTATAAGGGATTTATAGAGATTAATGAATTTCATAGTTTGCATCACGAACTGACCCTAGTTGGATAATGTACACATAATGTTTTCTTGATACATTAAAACTAATTGTCGTCCTTATGATAAAATAAACAGATAAATCTGCTCCTAGATAAGGTTATCAACAACATTTTTAGTGTTGACTCAGTATTTCATATCCAGAAAATTCAGTCATTTCTTGGTCGATTCAATAAGTGACTTCTGTTTATCAGTGTAATTCTGATTAACCTCCTAGCTTCTACTATATTTGTGTTTTTCATCTAATATTTCGGGTTACTGAGAATGTTCACAGTAGACAGTTAAGATCTACTCCAGTTACTTGAAATGAAATTTTCAAATAAAGATTTACTTTTCAATATGCACTAATCCACAAATAAATCACTTGGAAGAAAACTGAAAGTACAACACACTGATTGAGTATTGGAAAAATTGCTGAAAACTTCAGCCTTATTCTCATGGTAGATAATTTAAAAAATCGATTCATGATTATATATATATATATATATATATATATATATATATATATATATATATATATATATATATATATATATATATATTTGTTTTAAAGCCTGGGAACGATATTGCTTGCCAATTGGCTTTGTTCCAACTCGTCGCCTCCCAAATAGCTGGTTGATAAAACCCTTCTGCTAATGACTGTGAAGTTGGCTACCGCGGGTCGAAATCCTATTGAGAGTACCAATCCCTTCAAAATTGCATGTCTGCCTTCATGAGCGGCAAACGGGATGGAATTTTGAAATCATGGAGGAACCTAGGTCAAATAAGATTACCTGTTCCTTACGTCCAACCACTTAACATCTCAATATCAGGCACTTGATACCGAATCACTAAGAATAGAGGCCACGTTGACCGATAGAGTTTGACCAATCCTAAATGATTAGATAAACATGCCATTGATCACTACTTCTCAATGGATTACCTATTATATCAATTTATTACTATATGGCTCTAATGTTTATATTTGGTGACTATTATACAATGATAAAAATCGCTCTCGACTGGTCATCTTAGTCGATCAAATTCAATTGATCAAATAGAATTCCAACCTCTAATCTAAGTGATACTAAAGTGTGGTTCACAATGCTTGATAGATGGTGACAATTGGTGAAAGGCTATAAACCTAGGTTTCAAACTAAAACCCAATTGTCACCAGAAGTATACACACAATTTTGGGTAAACCGATGCTCTGAGTGATGTCAAAGGTAGTTTCATCAAACATCATAATCAGATATATTAAGTCTGGTTACAAAGCCATGACCCGTCACAAGTTATTAAACTAGAAAGTTATTGAAATGCTTTATTCGATCAGTTATATAGTCGTTTACTATTTTATAGATATCTTTCCAAATTTTTAATAAACTAAACCAACCAGTTTATAAGCTTTTTTTAATTAATCACTTCAATTGATTCATAATAATCTGAAATATTTGTATCATCAATTATCGATATCATTAGTTCACCTTTTTCACTGTAAAGTTAATTTTATCATTGTTACTATTTCTGAATATTACTTATTATAAGAGAAAAATTCGACTCGCTTCATATCTTACTTTCTATGAACTAATTCTTTCTTTCTTTCTGTCTGTATTATATCCTAATACAAAATCTTTCCTTTATATTATTATTATTATTATTATTATTATTATTATTATTATTTCAACACATAGATATTTGAACAAAGAGGCACCAAATACGTATGCGCCACACAAATCTCATTCGATATGTGTGAGGGCTGTGATACTGCCCGGGTGCCGAAACCGAATCAGGTGGTTTTCTTGGGGGGGGCCACACCCTGAGCATTCGACCTGAGGGTCTGATCCACAAGGCAGTGGAGCATCGTAAGGAGATGCAGTCCCATGGAAGCCGGTGACCAACGATTGGTTCATACGCCATTTTTTCCCGCAGGATACTGGAGCCCATGTGCATCATTGGTTTGGAATCCGGTTAAAGCGCCGGACATTCGCTTTTCGTCCTCTCAATTTCGTGAACAACACCCCCGCCACAAGAAGGCAATGAGTAATACTTCCCTGGCAGAGGCTATATACGCGTGACCATGTGAGAGCATTTCGAGAGGGAGAGCGGACTCTCCCCACTCTCGGCCGTACCAGGGCATTTAGGGGCTTTATATATTACACCATTAAGTTAACTGCTTCTATGAATCCGGTGTTCTTCTTGTTGTGCTAATGAGGTATGATAACTTGGACCAATCGATATATGTGCCTGGTCTCACGATGTAACTAACTGACTAAATTGACTGCCTGAGTTTATCTATTTACCAAATATGAATACTTTTAACATACTTAGTATACAGTTATATTCAATTCTATCTTAAATATCTTATCAAAATATATAAAAAAATCATTACCTCAAACTGATACACAATGGAAATATATAAACATTTACCTTGGTAAATAATAACAATGAAATTCATGATAACAATTGAATATTTTACCGCCTCTTAGTTTCTTTTTTGTATTGGGTATTATACTAACTGACCTTGAACCGACCAATCAAAATCAAATAATTCTTATCATTTATTTCTTGATAATAAAGATTTACTGATTGAAATCATGAGTCAATTGAAGCTAGACCACCATGGAAATTTCTAAAATCTCCACAAAACTCATTCTGATAATAATAATCACCTGCTCACCAGTGACTGACTTCAAGAAATACTCCTGGAGGTCTAGTGAAAAGCCGTTACCAGTGGAGTTCAACCAGGTCTGTTGTTAGATATTAGCTCACTCAAGACAATGGTATATGGTGGCGCAACTTCATGGATTGGTTGAAGTTAGACATTAACAACGTTGGATGCCGTCCAGCTCAGTGGTTTAGTTGGTTAAGCGCCTGGGTTCGAATCTCGTGGGGTGTTGGATCGTAGATTCGCATTGCTGAGGAGTTCCATACTAGGACGAAACGGCCGTTCAGTGCTTCTAGGATTTCCATGGTGGTCTGGCTTCAACTGACTCATGATTTCAACCAATGAAATTTCTAAAAATCTACACAAAACCCGTTATGATAATAATAAAGATATACTTGATTCATTTTAATGATAAATTTTTCTGATCAATAAAACATGGATCTAAGTGTTTGTAATTGTAAATTTACAATTTTTGGATAGTATTGTTAGTTGGATGTGGGGGGGTAGGGTAGGGGAGTAGGTAGAGCTTCTATTGTCTTATCAGTTAGATATTTATTAAATTGTCACAATCTGAGATCTCTCTAATGGTTAGAAATAAACCAACTGTTTACAGATGTATCTCATAAAATGGGAACTTTCAGTTATGAATAGTTTTTTTCATGTTCAATTTTAACTATTTCCTAATAAAAATTAATGACAGAAAGCGTAATTTAATTGGTAGTTTGCATTTATATGTAGTTGTTACTCGACTCGTTTAAATCCATCAGTTCGATTAAATGCTTCCTAAACATTTGAATAATTAGAAAGCTTTACATACTTGATCTGAATAAAACTGTACACAACTGATGTGTATATATCTATATTGATAGTCAATGACCAAATAGCATGCATCGTTTGCACTTCTCGCCTACCAATAGTTCTGAGGCATATGATCATGTCAGGTCTTCTTAACATATGTGTATTCGTTTAGCTTATAGCCTTCTTCTCCTGGAAGATTTTCCTCTTGATATCCAATTTAAATGAAATCAAATTATGGCCATAACTAAATCAGATAGATGATCGATTGGAGATATCTCCCAATATGTATAATGATTTGTTCATTGTAACACTTTTAATCAACTACAATTATACATTAAATAAGAAAGAAAGATTAGTTCAGCGAAGAGTTCTCTTTTCGGCGAATTCATTTTCAAAGCTGTACAATCGCAAATATATATACTTATTTTTACAGGGTGATAATAATACTGATAATAAACTTATGTTATACATAGTGACAGTGAGGTTAAATAAACAAACAAAGGTATTAGAAAAAAAATTTTAAACAAGGAAAGTTTGATAGTTAATTGCTTAGGTATTCATTGGGTAAGGATAGCTCAGCATGATAAAATAACATAAAATGTTGAAACAGAGATGAAATGTAATCGGAATGATAGTGGAAATAAAAACAAACCGGTTGGGGGTACAAGATTTGAAGGGAAGATGGAAGGTGAAGCAGGTGGCTGTAAAAGAACAAGAGTAATGAGAAAGAGAAAAAATTTTTAATACATTAAGACCATGGTAAAAGAAGAGGTTGTACCAGTCTCTTTTGCACACATAATTCTGGTTTTACAAAATGTATGGCTATTGCTTCGGCAATGCAGAGAAGATGCAGTCTAATTGTCTTAGGAAAGCTTCTACTTACCTTGTAGATGACTTTGAACGCAGAGTCTGTCTTGATTGAGTGACCTGTGTTCACAAGGTGTTCGATTATAGAACTTCTTATTGAGCTGCTGCCTCCTCTTCTTAGCCACGCCGGACAATGTTCTTGAATTCTTTTGGATAAAGTACGCATCGAACGACCTATATACCTAGCTCCACAAGAGCAGGTAAATTGGTAAATGCACATTGAGTTGGTCAGATGCGATAATTTATCTTTCAAATTATTGATGAACAGTGATCGGCTGGAGAATAATATTCGCAATGTTGCTGCGAAGAATGTTCTTTTTAAAGAATCCAAAATTCTCCTCTTTAAGATATATGCGGCTTTATCACCTTTGAAATCGATGTTCATGTATAAAATTTTCTTTTCTACTGCAATTGTTTGTGGTCTTGGCATTTTCGGTTTTATGTTCTTATCAATGAATATAGAAGGATATCCGTTTTTGATAAGTATCTTTTAAAAAACTCAACACTTCCTCTACGACCTCGGGGCTACAGATTCTTCGTATTCTTGTGGCGAGAGTTATTATTAAGTTTCTTTTTCGGCTGATTGGAACCCAACTGTGGAAATTTCATAGTTGGTCATTCCACATGGGTTTCCTGTAGAAAGATCTTTTTAAAGTACCATCTTGTTTCCTTGTTATATCTATCTATATCAAGGAAGTGAATATTTTGTTTGCTTTCAACTTCAATTTTGAATTTTATTGATGGGTGACAATTATTAAATGTATTTAGGAGATCACTTAAATTACATTTGTTATCACAAATGATAAAGATATCATCCACATACCTTTTATATATACATTAAACGTTCAATCATGAAATATTTCTTATATGTTTAATTTTTCTTTCAACATCAATAGGCTTCTTCATCAAATTTGAATTTATCAACAAAAAACCAAGAAATTAATGGTTTTAATATTGATGGAAGTAAAAAGTCATCTCATAAATTACCCAATACAACATTGACATCATCATCATCATTATCTAAATCGGATCAATTACCATTATCCATTGAATTAGAACATACAAATGAATTACCATCAGATACTTTAATGGATCAATATATTAATTTAATTGATCGTATTCTAATCTGTACACAATCAGATTTGAATAACACACAGAAATTATCATATGAAGATCCTGTGAAAAGTCGTTCATTCTATTTATCACTTGCTTATGCATTGTATTTAACTTATAGATCTTTTATAAAAAAATTAAATACAACAAGTCAATGTCAATTAACTGAACGAGAACATTGTATATCGCATTTAACAAATTATATGGCTAATAGAATCTATGAAGTATGTTGCTATCACTGTGTAAATTATAATAAATTAATCAGTTTGATTTTCATCAGGAGGGGGGGTTTGTGGAGATTTTAGAAATTTCACTGGTTGAAATCATGAGTTGTGGATGCACACTGCTGAGGAGTCCCATACTAGGACGAAACGGCTGTCCAGTGCTTCCAGGTTTTCCATGGTGGTCTAGCTTCAATTGACTCATGATTTCAACCAGTAAAATTCGATTTTTATTAATATGTATGATTTTCTTTTAGTTCTATTTGAATTTTCAGATAATCGTAAGTGAAATTATCAACATCATAGTCAGTTTCTCAAGTGTAAACAACATAGAATTTGAAATAACTAGGTAAAGGGATCGGTTTGTCGTATTTTACATCAACGCAGCAATAAAAATGTTATTCAGATGTATTTTAAAAAATTTGAGATAATATAATAAAAGTAATCTAAACAAAACGCATAAAACCAAGGAACAGTGGTAAAGTATCTATCTGTGAAGCAGAGTGACACAAGATCGAATCCACCATGGAGCATCAGTTCCCTTAAGATTACAGGTACACCTATCTGACGAGTGCTTAATAGCACAAAACCTAGGTCTAGGGTTTCTTATTGATTACCTCAACATAGTGCATGCAGTGCCGAGTCACCTAGTCTAGTGACCACATTTCAACTTGATCAATAGGATTCAGCCAACACTAAGAAGGAATTGGAATACGTCACACTAGTCACTACTCAATGATCAATCAATTACGAAAAAAGCATGAAATTATACTGCGACTCAAGTTCTACTTTAAAGATAAAGAATGTATATATTTACGTTCGCTAAGTCGTTTAATATAATGTCTTCAATAAGTTTATGAATTGACTGAAGATTTTATTGTAGCTGTGTTTATTTCCATTTCAAAATAATTTTATTCTAGTTAGTCAACTATTAAATTACTATAATATCCACTAAACCCTTTTTTGATAACAATCATCATATGCTCACTGATGACTGGGTTCAAGAAGTATGTCCTGGAGTTCTAGTGAGAAGCAGTGACCAGTAGAGTTCAACGGGATTTGTTGTGAGATAGTACCTCACTGTAGACGATGGTGGACAGTGACTCATTTTCATAGATTGATTGCAGCTAGACACTAACAACGTTGAATGGCTAAATGGTATAGAGAATAGGCATTCGCGCGCGAGACCAACAGGTCCTAGGTTGAGATCTCGCGTGGCGGTATTATGGATGCGCAGTGCTGAGGAGTCTCATACCAAGACGTAACAGCCGCCTAGTTCCCCCACATTTTCACTGACGATCTAGCTTCAAATGACCCATGAACTCAATTATTAAATGTACTGGATTTACGGTCACTATTATAAATGATCATCATGATTTTTAACTTCATAAATATATTCAAGTAAAATCCAAACGATAAATTTAAATTACATCGTTAATATTCAACTCAAAATCATAAATTGCTTTTTACTTTAATATCTACAACTTTATACAGTTAGTTTATTAAAAGATTCTCTTCATGAATGTAATAAATCAAAATCAGTTCTTAATATTAAAAATGAGAACAATCCCATATTAAACCAAGATAGTATTACGTCAAATCTTAATGAAACATTAATTTTTATTGTGATTAGTTGATTGATTTTGAATAAGACTTATCAACTTGATTCTCTGAAATAACATTTTTAACAAGTCATGTATATATATCACAGATTAATGACAGTTGCAGTACTGTTGAAAACCAAAGATTACTAAACTATCGCTTCATCCTAGCATAAATAAGATCAATGTTGAGCACCCATGACTGTTGAGTCGGCCTTCCAAGAACTGCAACGGAGCCCCCGGAGGCCCTAAAGAAGCCGAAGAGTCCTAGCTAATCATAGCATGATTGAGTTTTTCAGAATGTCAACGTGGCGTGCTCCTATTGGTTAGTAGCATAATATTTGTTTGAGCGGATTGGCTAAAATGTGATGTTGATTTAACAAATGTTAACATCTATAAATATCCGTATTTTTCTGTACAAAAATGAAACTTTGGAGTGAATTGTTTTTCGCTTATTTCGCGACATTTCTCTTGAGTTCAGGTTGCGGCGTAGTTCTAGTTTGCGGGTTACCAGAATAGCTTAGGAACCGAATAAAGCGTTCAAATTAACTAGACTTATCAATGACCCAACCAAGAGTTCAATCCAGGACGTATAAATCCCCTGATGAAAGCCTAGACACTGGAATCATTCGACTAATCTCGATTGATACAATTACAACTCAATCAATTTTTTTTTAACTCGATAATCATTCAGTTCCATTAGTGGCAACTATCTAACTCTTGACATATCAGAAAAATATTTTTAAGCATTATTGTTCATCATCTTAATCCACTAAGTAAGCTTTGTCATTTATATTAACATTGATTCTAGCTGTTAAAATAAAATAGCTTTCTAGTATTGCCTGATATTTACTAACACATTAAATAATGTCAGTTTGTGACAAAAAACATACACAGAAGTTTTGCAAACAATAATTCAATCTTATCAACTCTCCTCGAATGTAATTGAGAAGCTTGAATCTATACTACTGTTATCCTTGTGATTGTGAATTTCATCTTAAAATATACACATACGTATCCAGTATTTAATTTCTAGATTGTCAAGTGACCCGCCACTTTCATGTTTTACATCAATGGTTTGTCTACAATTCACTTATTGTAGCAATGCTTGCTTGAATAGTATAGGTTTATTGTTTACTTGATATATATATATATGTACAATCTCAGTTTCAATAATATTTTGTTTGTATTTGTTTATCAACAATCTATCCCCGTTTTCTTTTTCTATTTCTATAGTCTGTACCAAATTTCAATCGTAATTCTAATTCAAATCTTTCACTTCTTATTAAACCATTAACATATTGGCTTGGAAATAGTAGTGAATTATTGCATTTTTTTAAAAATGATATTGATCTTTGCTCAAATCATTCTAGAACTAATCGTTATCAAAATGATCAATCAGGATTATTAATACAATCAGTAATTTGTCGTGATGCATTACATTTATTAGCTGAAACTGTAGATCATTGTTTTTATTATTTACGTTCAATTATGTGTAGTATACTTCAACCATGGTTATCATGTTTAACATATCCTGGTGATTTAGATTTACAAGTAAGTTTTCTATGTTAGATTTTATTTTACTAAGATAAAAAGTTTATACGTTTGTCCAATGTTCATATCACTGATCTTAGTTCATTGAAGGTATTGGCATTAACCATTCGATTACATGTGCAGTAATCCACTTGGAATAACTTAATTGATTGGTTATCATTTATCAATTAACATTTGATTCTCAGAATGGGTTTTGTGGAGATTTTAGAAATTTCACAGATTGAAATCATGAGTCAGTTGAAGCTAGACCACCATTGAAAACCTGGAAGCACTGGACGGCCGTTTCATCCTAGTATGGGACTCCTCAGCAGGGCGCATCCACGACCCCGCACCACCCGGGGCTCGAACCCCGGACCTACTGGCTTCTCGCGCGAGCACTTAACCATTAGACCACTGAGCCGGCATCCAACGGTGTTAATGTCATTTGTCAAGTTTGATAACAATCCTCTATAGAAGAATTGCTAATTGGTTTACAACAACCACTACTTATGTTTCAATGAGACTAGTATTGATATATTTGATTTTAGAATTGATGGTAATAAGAATTTTGACTATATGAATTACTAACTTTATTCTAATTAGCATCAGCCAAGTGAAATAATTGTTACAATAACAGAATTCAATCAGAACTTCTTTTTACGAATTTCCATCGATTACAGATTCTTAGATAATCATTTAGCATAAAACAACTGTTTTATCCCTCTTTGGGGAATATTTGTTATGAAATAGAACCCAACAGCTTAAGGTTTTAGATGAGCTTGGTAGTAAAAAAAAGACACTAATTGCAAATTTGACAGTCTATCTTTCCATCTCTGTATTATTATGTAACTATTCTTAATCCCAATCCCTATAAATGAAGAATTCTATCTAATATTCATATGAAACCTATCCATCTACAATAAAACTATTAGTGATTTATGTAATAATAATTTTATATTCTGAAAATAATAATAACAGAATTCATACCAGTTTACAGGCATGATCAATTTGATATAAATAGTAACATCAGATATACAGAACAAACATGTGATATAAGATAGTTTTAAATATACTAGTTCAGTAATTGTTTAGGTAGTAGATGTATTACAACGATCCAATGCATCAGCCGGGAATTTTTAATTTTTCTTAAATGGACAGCCTATTGATTTATGAACGGTGTAATTAAGTTCATTTCGTGTGCCAGTTCGAAATAATGATAATTATCTACAACTAGAGAAATTAAAACGAAAACAGAGAGCACAGAACAACAAAGCAGTAATTACCAAAATATGTCAATCAGGTCTACCAAAATGCGTGTGTCATGTGACACAGTGATATACTGTTGATGTTCTTCAAATTAGTTAAACTTGCTAGGGGCGGTGTTCACAGAAAGTAAGTGGTTTTACTTAGGGAATGCACTAATAAAAACGGCTAGACATTTAAAGTTCTTATAATATCACTTGTGGAATGAGATACACTTACAGGTGCTAGAACATTCAATGCATTTTCAGAGGAGCAGTATGCATCGATGCAGCGAACAAATAATGGGAGTGATTTTATCGTACGGATAGATTGTGGTAGGTTATTCCAGAGTCTAGAAAATGTACAGGTGAAGCAATTCATATAAAGAGATGATTTAGAATAAGATTGTTTCACTAGTGCCAAGGAATTACGGATGTAATAATGAGAGGTTTCTGCATATTGAGTCATCTGATTGGATGTAAAAGATAGTTTATGAAGTAGTTTGAAGAAAAAGATAAGATTTAGTTTGAGTCTCCTCTTTCATAAAGTGTCTAGCCCAAGTTTATTACATCTAGAATTATAAGTTAAGGTACAATCAGCTCCAAGAATACGAAGTGTAAATCGTCTCTGTACTGATTCTAGCCTTAATTTATTCTTTATGCGCGCACTGCTAAAAATAAACGTGAAATATTCTCGAAGACGTCAAGCACAAACTTTGTACATTAAAATACGTGACTCATTGTTGTAAAGGTTTCGAGTTATGTAACCTGTTAGACGTTGAGATTTAGAGGTCTGTTTTAATATCTGTTCAAAATATCACAATTTAACTAAACTTAATAAATATTTGTCATCAGATTCCTGCTGAACAATCAAGAAGTATCATGCTAATCACTAGATCTTGAACTCCTGAGTTTGATCTTTGTTAGAGTCATAGATTTGCATTGATGCAAAATCTTATACTGGTATGAATGTATTATTTGATGTTTCCTAGATTTCACGGAATGTCTAACCAAAGTCAATTTTTTGTAGTGAAATATCAAGTTTTTATTTTTCTGGTTAGCGTTTTTTTTTTTAACGAGTTAGTTTTCTACAGGATGGGGTCGCTAACCCTATGCTCAACTCTTCTCCTTTACCCGGGCTTGAAACCGGCAGTAACTCTAGAAGAGTTACAGGTGGAGTTGAAATATCAAATAGATATATGTATACTTTAATCAGAATTTTAACTTTTACTAGATAATCTTTTCTATTCAATATTTCAATTCTTTAATGATCAATGTTACTTATACTGATTTTTCATACACTTACCCACATACAAACAAACACACACACACACACAAACACAAATTGTAAGCTAATTTTAGTTCAAATCTTTTATATTTTTCATATATAATTTCAATGAATGAATTATGTTAATTTTTAATTAGTTACCAGCACTTAATCAATAAATGATATTTCACTTAGAAACAATGAAATGAATTTTGTCAACATGGATATATTTGTTTAATTATATAATCAATTGAAACAAAGTTATAAAAAAGAAAAAAATTCTGTTTTTATTATTTGTTTTATCTTTTATTATCAGTTCATTTAAAGTAAGGAAAAAGGATTCAATATCAGTAAATGGATCCATATATATATATTCAAAGATCAGTCAGTATTATTATATATCATTGTGTAGAATCTATTAATTAGCATTAAGTTGATCATTTCAATAGGTTAAAGTGTATTTCTAATAAAAAGATTTATGAAAAATAAACTGTTTTATATCTTTATTTAAACAATTCAAAAGTCAACAAACACTAGAAAGATTATGAAATATGAAATAATTAAGCTTAAAATTATTGAGAAGTAATTCATAGTTATACTAATTAATACTAGATGGGTTTTTTCGATATTATAGTAATTTCAATGATTAAGATCATGAGTCAGTTGAAGCTAGACCACCATGGAAAACCTGGAAGCACTGGAAGGCTGTTTCGTCCTATTGTGGGACTCCTCAGCAGTGCGCATCCACGACCTCGCACCCTGCGAGATTCGAACACTAGAATTACTGGTTTCGCGCCCGAGCTGAAGAGTCTCACAATCGAACGAAACGGCCGTCCAGTGCTCCCAGGTTTTCCATGATGGTCTAGCTTCAACTGACTCATGGTCTTATACTAATTAAGTTTTTATTCTAATTTATGTTAGTCATAAATGATTTTGTTTGATCGACAAAAGTTTATTCGGTCATCCAAAAGGTAAGTTACAGAATTTCGTTTCGTGATTAATGGTTTTTTCAGTTATAAAAAATAATAACAATAATAATCAACGTATTTGGAAGGATGTTCCCTTTAGACAAATTACTATTTACATTAATATACTGGGCCAATTATATGAAAATGTCTTTTGTTAAATTAATGTAGCCTTTCATCAGTCAATCGGTTAGTTATATGTAACGTAGGGACATGCACCGGTTAATTTTACCATACCAGATTAGGACGACGAAGTAATAGAAAAGATTAGGCAAAGAACAAATAAAAAGAAGGCACAAAGAGATTTTGGAACTCAGATTCTAGCAAAATATAAGGATCGAATCAGTATAAATGTTAAACAGCGCCTATAATATCACATGTTTTTGTTTAAAATCCCTTACTACAACAAAGTATATGATGTTCAATACAACAATTAGTATCAATGATATAATTACCATCGAATAGAAACTTACTGCCTCATTCTTTTGAATATATACATTTTGCCTACTCGTAAGTAGTATGTGAATTAAATAAAATATGTCTGTGTTTAATTTCCTAACTACATCCTTATTTTATATTAGGACGATGTACTTCTAGATGACAAACCAATCGATCCATCAGAAACATGGAATAAACACAAAGAACCAATAAGTATGCAAATTATTCTGCGGAATTTTACTTATTTAATGCAACAACTAAGAAAATCACGTGTCAATCCTGCTTTAACTTTCCAGTTGTACTCACAATTATTTCATTTAATTGGTGCATATATATTTAATACAGTACTAATCGATACAGAAGCTAAACCCAGAAATGTTTTAAATGACGGTAATTTGTGGCTTACAAGACTTGGAGCATCACGTCTGAATAGACGACTCGATCGTGTTAAACGATGGGCACATAGACAAGGATTAGAACTGGCAGTTGAATGTCGTCTTCAAAGATGTACACAGGTAGATTTTTTAGAGATATGAAATTTTCATTGAACATTTATATTTATGCTTTCAAAGTCAAATTTGAAACTGGACTTTTGATGTCGCCTTACGCCTGTTACTCCCGATGGAGCATACACAGCCGACCAACATTCTTCAACCCACTCTGTTATAGGTCTTCCTTTATAGTTCTATCCAATTGTTGTTCACTCTTCATATATCTGCCTCCATTTCTCGACGTAACGTGTTCTTTGGTTCTCTTCTTCTCCTTTGGTCTTGGGGATTCCATGTGGGGGCTTGCATTGTGACACAATTAGATGCGCTCCTCAATGTGTGTCTTTTCCACTTCCAGTGCTTCCTCCGCTGGAATCTGGTTGGTGCTCTTCCACAGTAGGTTGTTGCTAATAGTATCCAGTCAACGGATGTGAAGTATTTTGCGTAGACAACTGTTAATAAACACCTGTATCTTCTGGATGATGGCTTTCGTAGTTCTTCAGGTTTCCGCCCCATACAGTAGAATTGTCTTGACATTTGTATTGAAAATCCTGACCTTGGTGTCTGTTGACAGTTGTTTTGAGTTCCAGATGTTCTTCAGTGTATATAGGCTGCTCTTACTTTTCCGATACGCGCCTTCACATCTGCATCAGATCCACCGTGTTCATGAATGACCCTGCCCAGATATGTAAAGGTTTCCAAAGCCTCTCGGTCAAGTGTGATTCGATTAGTCCATGTTGTGTTGTATCGGAGAACATATCTTGTTTCATGAAAGATAATTACATAATCTGTATCTTACAAAAAAATTTGTTATAAGCTTAGATTTTCCTTTCTATTATTAAGTCCACTGAGTAATTTTAGGACTCGGGGAAATTCCTTGGAAGAATTATTTCTGGTTTACCTATCTGTGCATTAATGTTTCTGAAAATCAATTCAAAATTTCCTAGAACTAAGTAAACAATGTCGAATGTGAGGAAGGTATGCATCGAAAGCAATAGAAAATAATTATGCATTATAATGGACTGATTGAAATTAACCTTGAACACAGTCGAATCTCGACTCGATGGTCTAGAAGTAAAGCGTTCATGCGTACTATGAATCCTACACTGATGAACTTTTCTAACTTATATTATTTTAAGACTTAAGTAGGGATCACTCGAAAGTAATGATCTTACTAGCTACGTTGTACACATATTTCGTGCGGATTTATAGGGTGTTTAACCTCCATCCCTTAACTGTGCAGTTCGAACCCTACACCACTTACTTCAGTTTACGTAAAAGGACCATATCTCGAGTTTTCACAGAGGAAAATTGTAGCTCTAAGCTTAATAGAAAAGGCTTTTGTTTTATGAGTAAGTTAGATTGTTTCGTTTTTGAAGAGAACAAGAACAAAGAATTGAGCAGAATCCCATGAATTCATTTTATTTCATTTGGTTCTAATCAAATGTTTATGAACCATCATATTTTAAAATCAAAATTATTATAAAGTTAGCATATTTATAACAGTGTAATTGGTTAAATGTGAATCTGCAACGTAGGACCGTCTTTCTAATCTACTAATGCAAATGATTTATCAGGTACATGTAAATTTATTTAATCAGTTAGCGATAACATAAATAGGGTACCTATTGATCTCTAATTACAGTAAACAGCCTATTGTTTTGTTCGAAATATTCAGCATGGCTTCATTTTATAAGATTATTTAAATTAATGACATTGATCTCCAGTATCACATTGGTAGACATTACCAATAAGTTATCTGGATAGTGTTCAACTAAATTTGATAATGCCTATTCTTTGAGTAATTTTTCCCTTTCTACATCATACTAATCTTTCAGGCATGTCAATTGATAATGGCTAATCGTACTAATTTAGATGAATTCTATCAACATTGTATAAGTTTAATTTCGTTAAATAGTATTCAATTAGAGTGGTTATTAGCTCATTTATCTGATCCACCACCCGTCCCTGATGAATGGATTGATTTAATTGTGACTGGAGCCAAGGAGGTAAGTCAACTTGAAGTATGATTATAATCTAATGTGTTGTTCTTTGTATGATTATTTTAGATTTCGCTTTCTATTAGGTATATACTCGACTAATCACTAGGAAGGAAATAATATCTTTGTTTACCTACTCTTTATCGACCAAATTTAACTATGGGCATTGTTTTAAGTAATTCCAAATCATTATGTTGAAATGTTGGGTGGTTGGAGGTAAACGACCACAAATCCACATCATGTATTTGATGCTAGTTAATATTCGTCAACATGACGTATCTGTAACCCATTTCTCCATACTGATGGAAGCCAATCAACACTAAACATTACATTGCGCACTGCTCACTGACCAATCAAATGTAAATACTTTATTCCTACAAGACGTCAGTCACAGCTATTTGGTATTCATCAATATGGGACACTAGCAGTTTCAAGGAAACTTATACTTCCTGTACACTTGAATTTCCTCGTTATAAATTATTTTTTTGTAATCATATACGTTGTAACAGGTAAACGAGAAATCTACATATGATAAAGAAAGTATGAAATCTCACATAGTTTTGAACTGATAGTTTAGCGCCCATTGAATTTAGCATGTAAATGATGGTATTATATTTAGAAAGATATTTTAAAGCTAGATAACACGAGTTCAAACCTTAGAGGGTGCATTAATTCACTCAGGAAGAATAACATGAAATCTAGGTTCAGGATCCTTACTGACAACCACCAAACATCAGTCATCTATTTATCTGCCATAAAACATTTGTTTTATCAATTTCATCTGCCTGATACAGTAACAACCTTTTTAGTGAAGTTTCATTCTCTGAACTGAGTGGCTTAGTTGGGGACATTTCATTGTTTGTCTTGATCAATAACGTCTTCAACAATATAAAATCCACGATAGAAAAGGATCCGAACAATAAACTGTCATTCATTGATGTGTTGATAAACAGAAATAACACAGGAAGACTGGAGAATCAAATATATTAGAAGCCAACCCGGATAGATCAAATTCTCAACTACTGTAACAACAACTTAAGAACTCATAATCAACTGAGTATAAACGTTATTTAAGAGAGCGAAGACGCACTGCAGTACACTTGTTGAGTGAACAAATAAAAAGAACTTATTTAATGACTATTTTTTTAAAGAATGACTATCCATGCAATTTTAACAAAAAAATATCAGTCGAACTCATTATCAACGACGAAGTCAAATGTGAAAACTAACAAATGGATCATCCTACTATATGTAAATGATGTATGAGAAGTTAGAATAAGAATTTGAAGGTTGTTTTGAATACATGTAGAGCATAAATCAACAAAATAACTTCATTTAATTTTATTAAAACTAAAGGATGACTTGAAAACAAGAAGAAAAACTAAACATCATCTACAAAACGAATTGTCAAAACTGTGAGGAACACTTCATCGGACAATGTGGGTACCTTCTTCGTGTTCGTATGCATAAACATCAACTAGCTATCAAAAACTATGATATATATTTCCTTATATCCATGCACAAGGACAATTGTGGACAAATGTTAATATGTGAAAACGTTAAGATTGTAAGTAGAACGAAGACTGGAGAATGTTTATAACCTTGTCATAATCGTCCTAATTTATCAACCAATTAGAAAAATCATTAATACCTTTAAGATCAAGAATCAGATCAAAAGAAGAGACAATCAAAGACAAAGATCAGCAAAAAATTAACGACATCGAATTCGACAAGATAAACCGTCAGTCATATGAAAAGAAATTTGACTACTTCACTTTTATCTGAAATTTGTACCAATGATATTCTTTAGAAGGACAATGAAAGCTTCACGATTAAATCATTCAGCTCACAGAACGAATATCCACTAGAATCATCCACTTGAGAAATAAATCTTTTGTAACATAGTAATAACTCCTGTGGTGGGGAACATTTTCCCCCTCACGATTACAGTTTCGCTTAATTGATGAATGTTAAGTTGCACAAAACCTACGATCAGAGATTCTCACTGGTTAGTTCTAGTTATCTGAATATAAAACGCAGTGTGTACGCGATGGTAAGTGACTTAAACTAGTGACCATGAACTTACTTGATCATTAGTAATGAATAAAGTGACGTTGTTTATTAAGACTGTATATTGAAGTTCAATTATGAAATATAGATTGCTAGATTGGTTAAAGTGACCGAATTAATAGGTTGCTCACGTCACACTACTATTAAATAATAAGTAGTTTCAATATATATTCTGATATTCCTGCAGCTCATGTGTGTTGTGACTAGAAAAATTATTTTTCTGTAACAAACAACTAATTCTGTTCATTTTGGTTCTTTATGAGTATGAGAAACTATAGCTGGTAAATTGGAAATAAATTAAGGATCGTAAAGCGCATAACAGTAACCAATAAGTCTAATGAAAGCTTATGATGAAAGTAATATGAATATTCAGATGATATAGTTATTTAATAGCTATTCAATAAGAATGACGTAATAATAGTCCACAAAAAATTCCTAGCAGTTACCATTCATTTACTCTTCATTCGAATCTAACATTTACAGTATCTCGATAGTATAGTAAAACGAACTAATTTTTCTCCGTTTGTTTTCCTCTTATTAACTTATATTCTTTTTTAGGTTAATGACCGTGCATATGCTGATGAAATCGAGCATTATAATATTAATACAGGACAATCTGATCATACATTATCTGAATTACAATTGAATGAATTAAAAGAATTACCAATTCCTTTATTATTACCAGCTGATGGTTATGTATCCGATGCTGTACTTAGCGGTATTCCAGATGGTCTGTTGGATTTTCTACATCCTTTAATTAAAACTGGTTTAATTAAAGTAAGAAAGCATTCAATTGTAAATGGACAATTAGAGAATAGACCATGGACTAATTGTATGCGACTATCAATGGTAAGTAAACATTTAAGATGTTTTGTCATATTTTTAAATTATTAATATAATAACTAAATGACTTTGACTGATGCTTGTATTAAATTCCTAACTAAATAAAATTGGATGGTTGAGCCCCTGCATTTTTTAATAGTTACTGAAAGACCTGGATATTCCTGGGTTTATTCTTATGCTGTAGTTAGGGATGTGCAAAAACTGAAGAGTCCTGAACCATGAAACAAATGAGTAGTATATTAATTGATGTCAGATCATGTTGAAAGTTTACTTCATAAGTAAATAATCTTTTCAACTAATTATCACAATAAAATGTAAAATTTTGATTTCTGAATTCCAGACGTTGTAAATAAGGAATATTATATATAGTTAAGTTTCTTTAAACAACAAAGGGCATTAATTAAGTCACTAAGCAAAATGAAGATGGTTCATTGAAGAAAGCTTTTCTTTTCATTTATGTTATTTAGAAAATATTATGTAATCATTTTTACAATCAGTTTTATGTAAGATATTGCATCGTGTAAAATAGAATGATATTATGTCACTAAAAATTATTAAACATTGTTTTTAAAGTAACTCACTGAAAACAGTGGTGGATGTGTCGCTCAATTTCATGAATTAATTGAAGTTAGTCATTAACACCGTTGGATGCGGGCTCAGTGTTCTGGATGTACCTGTATCTCAAAGTTGATGTTCACTCCGGGACTCAAATTCGGTACATCCGGCTGATGAGTCCCAAATAGGACGAAATGCGCGTCCTGGATTCCACTGCAAACCACTATCTATGTTGTCATCATTCTGTTCTTAATGATCGAATAGATTTCTTTCATTGTTTTGAATGAACATGTAATATTTCTTATTCGAAATGCTTAAATTTTAGAGATGATTTTATCATTAATTTTAAGGTAGTTATTTATAGGGACTGCTTAATTATAAAGCAAACCGGTAACATGATCTGACATTAGATAATATACAGATTTATGTTTTTAGTTCAAAAATCATCAGTTTGTGAGAACTAGTAACCATAGCATGAGATCAAACCCAGTAACATCAAAATCTTCAATGGGTACAATAACTACTGAGCCATTCAGTTAAGAATGCCATGATTCCGATTTCTGATTTTAGTAACTTAGAGAATTATTACAACTTTCATCAATAAACATCAGTGTTATCTGCTCGCGCACGAAATCAATAGGTCCTGGGCTCGGATCTCGCAGCGGGCGAGGTCGTGGATGAGCACTGCTGAGGATTCCTACACTAGAATGAAACGGCCGTCCATTGCTTCCAGGTTTTCCATGACGGTCATTTGACTCATGATATTTAACAAATTATACTAGCCCTAAATATCAAGAACAAATTTTCTAGATTCTGTAGTTCACATGGATTCTGTGTTATTATTACAGTTACATAATAATGATTTGTTTTCGTTTTTCTAACCAATCCTCTTACAGCATGAAACTGAACATGACAATCATAATCAACATTCCATATTGAAAGCAACACAAAGTCAAATTCATAAAAATCGTAATGATAATAATAATAATACTCAACAGGTTTTACAACAAAAATGTGATCAAAAATTAAAACAAAATAAATTGGATACTGATCATTTACAGAATAATCAAAATTTAACAAATTCAAATAGTAGTTTAAATAGTACCACAGCAACTACTACTGATAGTGTTGATAGTAGTGGAAGTCATTTAAAAGAATTTTCTACACAAACTGTACGTTATCAACCAAATAAATCATTAAATGGTACTTTACAAAAATCAATAAAAAAATCAATACCAATTCATAAAGATATAAGAACACATATATCATTACCTGATTTAAGTTATGCTAATTTTGAACAATTAGCTAAAGAAGCTAATGTACCAATCAAATCAATAACACAAATATTCTTAAAAAAAATCAATAATAGTTTAGGATTAAGTATAGTAGCAGCTAAAGTAAGTGTTAATATAATCATTAATTATTATTTCATTAGATTATTATTTATCATTTAATTGATCTATATTGTTTTATAAATTGAGTGATCAGTTTTTTAGTAATAAGTATTGTTAAATGGTTATAAGTAGTCTGTCAATCAGTTAGTCAGTCAGTCATCTACAATGTAGGACCAGGCACATATGTACATCGGTTCAAGTTGCCATACCACATTAGCACAACATGATGAACAGCGAATTCATAGAAGTAGTTAATTCAGTGGTGATAATATATAAAAGAAAGATTGCATATCAAGACATAGTACAGGAAGAAAGGATTAGTTGATAGATCGAAAGATCTGAAGCGATTTTAATCTCATAGTTTAAGAGAAGACAAACAGTCCGATTCGCCATACCAAATTCATAAAAGCCGTTACTTCAATGCTAGTAAAAAAGATTTCATCAAAGGATATAGGGTTTTTATAGTATTTTACATGTCCTTGGGTTCCCCAAAAATTCAGCCAATAAGGAACTGTTCACGTGACTTTTCACTTTCTAGATGTTTCTGGCAAAACTTCTAGTGAACGCTGATTGAATAAGATGTTTCCCAGTGTTTTCAAAGCCTTTCTTGTCTTTTTTTCGAGGAGTTTTCTGGATCTCCTCAACCGACCATCAAGTCTCATGTATAAATATTTATTAGTTTACATTTCTAACTTCAATTCATTCAATCAAAATAGGAATTTTTGTTTTATTTTACAATTTATATTATTCTTCACCATTTACCCCTCTCTGCCCCCTCCCCCAAACCGCCAATTTCAAATAGGCTGAAGGTCATCGTTTATATGGAATATATATTAAAGATATTGTATCAAATGGTGCAGCTGATCAAGATGGTCGTTTAAAAACTGGTGATCAAATATTAATTATTGGTAATACAAATTTAATTGGTTGTGCACAATCTGATGCTGTTGCAAAAATATCTAAACAAAATAAATCTGATGATGGTATACAAATGATTATTGCTAAGAAAGCTGCTTATTATCATAAAATTGTTGAATTAATTAAATCTAAAACAATAATAAATTCAACTTCTAATAATAATCATATAAATCATGATAATAGATATATACAATCAACTGAATTGTCTTCAATTCCTTCAGAGAATAAACATCGTATTCATGATGTATTACATTTAAATCAAAGTCAACCCGATGTAAGTTGAGCACTTTTTTTTCATACTAAAAAAAATTGACGACATTTTAGTGTAGTTGAATTCACTGAATTCGGCAGTGTATTTATTCATTTAAAACACATAAACACTGATAAAAGGAGGTATCAAATAGATATTACTTAATTACGCCGGTTACTCCTCGTGAAGGGGCATAGGCCGCTCACCAGCATTCTCCATCCAACTCTGACCTGGGCAATGCTTTCCAGCTCCTTTCAATTGTTATTCATCTTTTTCATATCTGATTCTATTTCCCGATGTAATGTGTACTTTGGCCTTCCTCTTTTTCGCTTCCCTTCACGATTCCAAGTTAGGGCTTGTCTCATGATGCAGTTTGACGATTTGCGTAATGTATGTCCTATCCATTTCCATCGTCTTTTCCTAATTTCTTCTTCAGCTGGAAGTTGGTTTGTTCTCTAACACAAAAAGCTGTTGCTGATGGTATCCGGTCAGTGGATGTTGAGTATCTTGCGAAGACAGCTATTTATAAATACTTGTACCTTATTGATGGTGGTTGTTGTAGTTTTCCAAGTTTCGGCTCCATAGAGTAGAGCTGCCTAGACGTTCGTATTGAAGATTCTCACTTTGATATTGGTTGAAAGCTGTTTTGAGTTCCATATGTTCTTCAATTGTAGGAATGCGGCCCTTGTTTTGCCAATCCTTGCCTTTACGTCTGCATCTGATCCTCCTTGTTCATCGATGACGCTTCCCAGGTACTTGAAGGATTCTACGTCTTCCAGAGTTTCGTCATCAAGAGTGATTTCAATGCTGTTCTTCGTTTTGAATTTGAGAACTTTGGTTTTGCCCTTGTGTATGCTGAGGCCTACTGATGCAGAGACTGCTGCTACATTGGCTGTCTATCAAACAGATATGCACCACATAAATTATTCGATTTGTGTGAGGGCTAGCGTACTGACTGGGTGACTAAACTGAAGCAGGGAATTAGACAGTGTAGTTGTAGAAAGTTTCAAAATTATTCTAGACATGATCATTAGTGATCAATTACTTCATTTAAGATCTACTTATACATGAGATGAAGAAATGAATTTGTTTAGAACGACATTGAAAGTCCCTGCAGTTAATTTATATAACTCAAAGAATTTAACGTTAACGCTAAATGTTTTGTTCGTCACCTCAAATAACTATTTAAGCAAAATAATGATATATCAGAACGATGATTAACGAATGGTTTGTAAATAGGTGGATTAATATGAGTGAAGTATACGTTAGTTTAGGTTTAATTATGTCGGTCAAAGCATATAATTAATCAAGTCTAGGATGTTAACCTATAGATCAAATAGTGGGCAAGGGATAAAAGAATTCTCATCTCAAACCATAACAAATTCCCACCAAGTATATCTTTCACAAAGGTCATAATCATAAATAAAGTCTTAAAATACACAAGTGAAATCTGTAAAGATTGCTAGGATTCAAACATATTCCAACGAAGGTTCAACAATGTCATTTAAGCTATTAATAAAGAATTATAGAACTTTAGTTCAACGGCGATAGTGTAGTGAACAAGAACACCAGTGGTGACAACCGAATATATTTGACACGAAATTACACAGCATCTCAATAAAATCTGAGAACCATATAGTAAATTGTTAATTTGTAAAATAGCAATCCATCGTCTCGAATTTGACTGTTCCTTTTGAAAATATCAGTTCATTGTCTCAGATTTCATTGTTCATACATTTTCATACTAATTGCCTTACGTTTCCGTTCTTTCCTCATCGATCTTCTACTGGAATACATTCTATGCCTGAATACCGTTGTATACTACTTATGTGGATATGTGTAACCCACATCACAATAGTAAATTTGACGTAATAAGGGATTTTTGCAAATAGCTAAATTTTATAAGTCACATTGTGGACTGATCTTAGTTAGACAACAAATATTGGGTTTGAGCCAGTTATTCAGCACTAATATTGCAAAATGGTTTCACATTATGACGAAATGATTCTGTTATGCCTTGTGATCTATTAATATATCAAGAGATAATATCGCCAATCACAGATATTGACTTGTACGACCAATGACGTGTACACCTGTACGAGCAGACTAAAGTTCATATTGGTCCTTTGAGATAGTAGCTTCTTGCCTAACTCAACCGGTTCAGTCTAGAACGTAAATATAAGCCTCCGTTATATGAATCATATATTTCAGACATACTGAGTTTATATGCAAACGAACCAGACCGCATCATATCATAAAATAGAAAATAATAATTACACAAAATCAGGCCGGAAAGTGGCTATTTGGTATGAGGGACTGTAGCTAATAAGTTGGGAATAATTCGGGAATAGTAAATAGTATAAGAGTAGTCAATAAATCAACTGGAAGCTTATAATAAAAGGAATATGAATATACATATAATATAGATACTTAAAGGTTATATAGTAAGAATATAAATATAATATTAGTCCATAAATAACTATTAACGGTTACCATATATTCTTCGTTCGGAAATTCAAATAACAATTATTAACCACTGAATACTGATTATGGTCCACCAGGGTTCTTGGTACCTGTGTGGTTGCGCCACAGGATTAAGCTGTACTATTCAGATTGTAGCGTTAAAGCCTGTACGGTTTCTGGTTCCCCTGCTAAACGGGGTTGAGCTGTACTGTTTGGGTTTTTACGTGAAGATCCGGATGGTGTCTGGTTCTCCTGAAAACCAATGTAAAATTACCCTGGCCCACAAGGGTATATTATATTACTGTGAATACCGATTAAGTGATCTACATGTTAAGCACTCCACGCAAGCCTTGAAGGTAATGAGTAGCATAACTGATAAAGTCATCGATATACATTGTTGAGAATTCCCATACTAGGACATAAATTTTATCCGTTTTATCCAAGAAAAATCTAATTAAGATTTACTTTTAAATACATAAATCGGATTTCATACACTTTATAGCTATTACATTGAAAGACATGTGTTAGTCAAATAACTAGAGATTATACTACGACACAATTTATTTTCCCCTTTGAGATTATGTCTTTCAAACTATATTCAAAACATCAAAAACATAGCTTAATTTATGATCTGCCAATCTGACGACTTTGATAGATAGACGTAAATTTATACTCACAGATGATAGTAACGTGAAAGAGACACTTGTCAACACTTTTGATTGTTTTAATGGATACGTTTTATATAAGATGAATAGTTTGGTGACGAGATAGGTTTTGTCTGGTGTACTGTTATTTTGAAATTAATTATTCCTGTAATATCGTTATTAACTTAGCAACTAAGGTGAATAAAAATGGTTTGTCTACTGGTTGTAGCTTCTTTAAACTTTTCCACCTCAATGTTCTCATACTTATCAATGGAATTTTATGAATAGCCACCGTTTCTCAAGTATTTCTCTATAATTTTGCTTTCTGGTTTATCGGTGGTGTGTCATCTTTCTTTCTTGAAAGTTAGCGGTATATTCACTAATATTTTTTTGTAGAAGACTGAATATAATTTGGGAAAACTCAGACGAGATTCATTTCATACATTGTTTTTGGTAGATGAAATGTTGATTTATACCATTTAATCTAATAACAATCGAATATTAGAACAGATACTGTGTAGATTTAAACTGAGAAAGTGTCGGTAGATATTTCTTACACTAGACATTTGCCAGAATATGTTGTGTATCTGTTGAAATTTGTTAAGGGATACTAGATGAATCGTAAATAGGTTTTTATTTCTACTTATCATCAAGACTAAGTTGAGGTGACTTACTGCACTCAAAATAGTTCTTTATATTAGTCTTCTCCATAAAACTACACACATTTGGCTAAACAATGCATATTGCTTGAATTGGATTTAATAATCCCGAATCTTACAAACGTTATCTATATTTTTATGAACTATAAAATAACGGATCATCTGAGATTAATCAAATTCACTTTCTGAATTGTACATATATCGAGGTTTCTGTGCATATATCTGATAGCATTCTATTCGTTATATCTGACTTATATTTTTATAATATCTACAAACAGTTGTCAGTAGAGAAGATTCAAGTAAAAACAATATCAAGTGAATTAAACTTCACCCCATTGCACAAGCAAGTGGCTATCAGGACTCAGTAGCTAAGTGGATAACGCGATGGCGTTTGAAGCGAACGGTACTGAGTTCGAGTCCCAGAGTGAACAACAACTCTGAGATGCAGGTACATCCAGCTGACGAGTCTCAAACAGAACGAAACGCGCGTCCCGGATTCCACTGCTAGCCACTATCCATCTTTGCTTATAATGCTTGTAAATTAAGGCAATATCGAGGCATACGCACAGTATGCACATATGCCAATAAGAGACTGATCAATTTCAGTCGTAAAACATCAATGGGAAGATTCAAGTAAAAACAATATCAAGATGTCAGTAGAGGGTTGTGGAAATCCTTGAGTTTCATTGAGATCATGAACCGATCTAGGGATTAAGCGTTCGTGAGCGACATCGTGGACCCTGGGCCTAATTTCCGCTTGTATAATAGTAGATGTGCATTGATGAGGAATCCCACACTAGGATGAAACGGCCGTTCAATGATCCTAGGATTTCAGTTGTGGTCTAACTAAGTTCATGATTTCAATAAAAATCTACTAATTGAATTCACTATGCAAATTCAATTTTTAGTTTATAAGACCGTCAATCATTGAAATAGATTTGAGCAAAGTAGTAGGAAGTCAAAGATTGTCAGATCTACAACATATCAGTATTACGAAATCATTTTTTTTTAAATACGATAAGCAACAAGTTTTATTGTATGTTATTTGTAATCACGATAAAATCAAATAGTTCATTAATAATAAAGGGTTGTATATAAATGTATGAAACACCTTGTTACGTAAGTTATTATGCAATATAGAGTTTTTTATGCATTCCATCTGATATAATAACGATGAAATTATGCATTTTCATGGTTCAGTACTGAATACTGTTTAAGGTTTAGTCTACTTCTGATTTATATAAGTAGTATAAAAATTAAATCTACAAACCTAAACCGTTTCTTTTCCTATTATAAATGCTACAGTCAATTTACATTGTATTATAATTACATGTACATAAATTTTATTTGAATACGTATATTCCTCAATCATGTTAATTTTAGCTTCGGATCCATACTCAACAAGACCAAAATACTGTAAATAATCTATCAAGAAATACTACAGATAAAAAGGCTACCAGAAATCATTCCATTTCTCATCGCCATCACCACTATACACAGCAACAGACAGATATTGATAAACCTGAAAATACATACACATCGCGTCATAATCAATATCGAATTGATAAAAGTAAGCAGTTAGATAAATCAAAACAAAAGATTGGTTCTTTAAGTCGATCTACACCATCACTGAATCTAGCTCAAGTTGGAATGGATGACGATATGGTTGAATTAGACGATAATGAAAACTATACGGATAATAATCCAGTATCAAATCATTCACCCAAACGTTCAAGGAGAAATAGAACTCGTATTTCAGAAAAAAATGAAAGAGTAAGATTAGTAGTAAAAAATTAATTACTTATACATTTATCCCGTGCAAATATTTCAGTCTTCCAGGAATTGTTTTACTATTCGGATATTTTATTGATAATATACAATACTGTGACATTAGTTAGTGAATGTAGAACTCTCGTTGGTAAGCATCAGTTCCACCTAGATTATAAACATGCTTTTGTAGCATGCACTAACGAGTATAAAATCTTGGTTCACAACATTTTTCAATAAATATTGATCATTATAATATGTTCAAATTATTTAGGATTGTCTATAGAAAATACATTTAGATGACTACACAGAATAGTACTCAGCCATTTCACAGAATATCATAAGATTTTCATTCCTTTGAACCTATTTATAAACTTAAACATTGAATGTAAGATCTAAGTATTCAAAAACCTATCAGTATAGTGTTGTGGAGATTATGAAGTTATTGATTGAAATCATAAACCAAGTGATGTTAGACCACCATTGAAAACTTAGAAGCACTGGATGGTTGTCCCGTCTTATTGTGCGACTCTTGAGTAATATGCATCCACGATCCCACTCGCGGGATTCGAACTCAGAGCCTTCAGTTTCACGAGCGAATATTTAACCTACTAAACCACAGAGCCAGTGTCCAGTTGTGTTAATGTCTAACCTCAATCAATCCACAAGATTGCGTGATCATCTACCATTGTACTGAGGTAGACAATTGTCTCTACCCGACACGGATTAGCTCCACTGGTAACGGCTTCTCACTAGAACTCCGAGAATTCCCTCGCGAAGCTAATCACTAGTGAGCACATGACAATTATCAGCATTCAAAAAATGCTTAACTATAAGAAAATATACAGATTAAACTGTGATTCCAAGAGATACATTGAAATCTTTCAAGATGATTTATAAACAATCAGCTGAATATATAAAGACCAATTACTTAAAACTAAAGTGATATGTTCAGAAAGAAATGCTGATACATCGTTCTTTACTCTGGTATTATATATTATATCTAATTTATTGCATCACATATTATTTCAACTTGTTCTCATATTCTGATTACATCATTACTTCATTTCTAAGGTATTCATTATTGATTAATTTTCAAATGATATTATTCTTCATTATCGATTGATTTATTGATTTATTACGTACTCCTATAAAATTTGTTTTAATCATTATTTCAATGTTCTGGAACTTTCCCTCATACAATTCAATTAACTGGAACAATTTTTTTTTCAATGGTTGAGATCATAAGTCAGTTGAAGCTAGACTACCATGGAAAACCTGGAAGCATTAGACGGCCGTTTCGTTTTATTGTGGGACTCCTCAGCAGTAGGTCCTGGGTTCGAATCTCGCAGGGGGCAAGGTCATGGATGCGTACTACTGAGGAGTCCCGCAATAGGACGAAACGGTCGTTCAGTGTTTCCAGGTTTTCCATGGTGGTCTAACCTCAGTAACGGTCTAGCTATGATCGACTCATGAATTCAACTGTGAAAATACTATTATCTTCACAAATCCCCAGTGGAGTTCAACCAGGTCTGTTGTGAGATAGGAACTCACTGAAGACATTGGTGTATGGTGGCGCAACTTCGTGGATTGGTTGAAGTTAGACATTAACACAGTTGGATGCCGGCTCAGTGTTCTAGTGGTTAAGTGCTCGCATGCGAAGCCAGTAGGTCCTGGGTTCGAACCCCGTGTGGTGAGGGATCGTGGATGCGCACTGCTGAGGAGTCCCATACTAGGATGAAACGGCCGTCCAGTGCTTCCAGGTTTTCAATGGTGGTCTAGCTTCAAATGACTCATGATTTCAATCTGTGAAATTTCTAAAATCTCCACAAAACCCATTCTGATAATTATTATATGAATCATATTTTTAATTAATATTCAAAACAATCTGATGTGTTTTTCCAAAGTGATTGTTACTCAACAAAAAAGTAAAAATTTAATTTTTTTCACACCCCTTTATACATTCATAATCATCATCATCCTCCACCACATATGGTTAATTTGGTTGTTTGTTACAAATTTATGACGACAAAAATGTAGTCATGGTTTGTGTTATGTGATTTTCACTCATCTTGTTGTTTAGATTCGGTTTAAATCTGTGGTTGTTTTTTTTAATGATTATTACGTCATCCATGTTGCCAATTTTTTAGTTCATCTATCTCACCTCCCTACATTGTTTACATGTACAAGGGAACACTTCTAATAAAACAATTTTATTGATGAAATTCATGTTAGTTTAAGTAAATAACATTATCAAGTTTGATTATGTAATATTGACTTCATTTTTTTAATTGATTGATCAATAAGTTTAACTCATTTAATAGTTTGAATTCATGAGTCAATTGAAGTTAGACCATGATGAAAAACTTGGAAGTACTAGAGGATCATTTCGTCCTAGTATGGAACTTTTCAACTAATTTGATTAGAGTTGTTAACAATTGATGATAATAATATATTATTTATTCAGTTGGTCTGCTTTATTGATTTATGAACTCAACTATTACATTGCTATCAATATCCACAAAACCGTTTTCTGATAAATGTGTATAAAGCAAGAACGAGAATATTTGCAAAATATAATGAATTCAACGTAATACATCCATATTAAACATTGAAACAAAATTAATTTCCACAGTTAAAAAAACTTGTTCAATAAGACAAGACCTGAAGGTCTGAGGACCAATTAATGGAGAGGATTTATTTATTTTAACCCATAGATATTGGTACAAGGAGGCACCAAATACATGTGTGACACACAGATCTCATTTGATATGTGTGAGGGCTGTGATACTGTCCGGGTGCCCAAAACCGAGCCTGGTTAACTCAGTCGGTAGATCATTAGACTTTTAATCTGAGGGTCGGGGGTTCAAGTCCCCCATCGGGTGCAACGGCTTTTGACCAAATAAAATGGAGAGGATATGTGTGACAAATATCACCTAGAAATTCTCAGATCAGCAAGTTATTTTTGGTTCACACAATACAATTCGAGTTTTAATTAACTTTCATTTTTGTAAATTAACATATGACATTCTTTCAGAAGTTACCTGTTTTTGTCAACTATTTTATTTTCATCTGTAAATCCTCATTGACTGAAGTAGTTAGGACATATATTACGTATGTTCAAACAATGCCTACCTCAACAGATGATGTTAGCAAGTACAGACGTAACCTGGAAGAAAGCCAAATATCATCAAATTAAAATGTGCCTTTAACCTATGAAGTCATGGATTGTTTGTCTGAGTCGTGTTGGTGGGTTCGGGCATAAATATATATGCATATATTTTCACTAATTTTTCGAAACATACTCTCAGTGTCTGCTCAATCACATTGTCACTACTACTAAATCATTTTGTATCCTTTAATAAACGTCTTGTCCATTTCATCTAAGTATGTTGATGTGGCATGGTAACTTGGGAAAATACACATTTATGTCAGGCTGTATTTTGACGATAACTGATTGGCAGGTTTATTTTCACATCCCTTACAATTTCACTCAAAGTAACGAAACCAAAGGAGAAATCCTTTCTTCGGATTAGAAATAACCAATGCAACTAAAAGTCTGCTATAGTTCACTTGGATTTCTCTAATACTTCTTGCTGAAAAGTGAAAATAACCTATACTTTCTTAACCTTCACTCATTATCGTGTTGACAGTAACTCATAGTCCTTTTATGTTTTAGTTACTGATGAGGATTGATTTAATTTAAAGATTATTGCTCTTCCTCCTCCTCCTCCTCCATAGTCTGATATCAACTGAAATGCAATTGAACACAGGGGAAAATCTAATACTGGTTTCGTTCTTTAATAGAACTCATAAGCGTTAATAATTGCATGAAATTTTTCGAAGGCCCAAATTTGTATTTTATCTTCTCTGGGAATTTCTCAATAGTACTCACCTACTACTATAAAGCATAGATATTTCAGGTTAAAGATTGGATCTATCCATAATATTGAGACCGATTTCAAAACATGTCATATAGCTTCTTCAATCACTGATTATGATAATGGCGTAAACCCTAAAACCAGTGGTACGTTTACCTATTAACACAGCTAGGTCCAATAGTCAAAGATTTTATAGACTTATATTACGTCTTGGTTTCACAGCCCCTATCTTTCTCCATAAACCACACCAGCAAACATCGAGCATCAATGTAAACATTTGTTGAATATCAGTAATACATTTGACGAGTAACTGTTTCATACTTCATATGGTTATTGCTCAGTTTGGTATGAATAAATAAACTTTAATATGAATGTCCTCACAGAATACGATTTTGTTTCCTTCATATTTATGATTAGCCTCAAAGTGTTGGTGCTCGATCCAGTTCACAAATTAATCAACAACACTTACTATCGAATTCTTCATCATTTAGCACTACATCATCGGAATCAGATATTATTGTGAATGAACCGGAAGAAGGTATCGGACAGTATCGCAATCATGAAAGTAGTTTCCGTAATAGTTACTTATCAACGCGTCAGCAACAAAGTGAAGATTACAGAAGAACAGAATCTCCAATCAAATCATTTAAACAGAAATACAAATCTCATAAACCTTCTAATTCACCATTATTATCATCTCATCATATGTCTGAAAATTCTCACTCACAACTAAATATGTTAAACAACGTTTGTATTGACAATGAGGATAATACTGATAATGTACATGAAAAACACTCACCTGTAAACAGTATTAAATATCCTCCTCTTCCTCATCAACAAAATCACCATCAAGATGAAAGACCTCGACCAATTGTTGAATCAATAACGAATGATTTAAGTAGTTTGGAATCAGTAACTAGTCAACAAACTGTTTGTAGTTTAAATGAATCTCAACCAATAACTGATTCTTACGATAATATGCAAAATAAAACAAACAGTAATGAACATCGACGTATTCGTCATCAACCACCTCCGCCGCCACCTCAGTCTAATCCATCATTGAATCATGAAGGTGAGTTTTAGTTATTTTTTGGCATTTCTTCTTACGATTTCTGATTAAATTTATTCACATTTGTTATACACATAATACTTGGTTTCATGTAAAACTTAAACTTCTGATCTACTAATATTAATCCAGTTTAAGATGCTGATAACTTAGAATCCATAAGAAAAAGCTTTATACTCTGAGTTTCATGATACAATCATTCAACTCAAAACAATGATGAACTCTAAAGCCGAAATATTATATTGATATTTATAAAAAACATTATATACTATTGATAAATTTTAATTATTTGACTAAAACTCAACTTATTTCATGAGTTTAATATTCAATTTGTAAGGTGAGACTATAATTTATGGACGACCTTTGAGCTAAGCTAGACTGACCTTGAGAGTGTCCATTTAATAACCAGGACCTAAATGAGGGTTATGAATTATAATTATAATTTACAACTAATGATTAAGGTTAGAAATTAGATTTAGAGTTTTCATCACGAACTGACATCAACTATAATGCCAAAACTTTATTTATTCAAATGAATGAGTGAATTCTGTGCCAATATCCGAGACCTGCTATCTTATTCGTGCTTGGTTCGTCCATGAATTATAGTCTTACCAACTGTAACACATTTTAACTTCAAATATATTACCTTAATGTAATTTACATTATGATACTTATAAGCGAATTTTAAAAAATACACAAATAATTCAACCAAACAATAAATTATCTTTATTCATAGTTGATTGTATTTTAGATTATGTATTATTATGTATTATGTATTATTATTATGAATGGCTTTATTCAATTTTCAACATAAAGCATTTCAACAAGTTTCCTTTTCTTATTTCTTAAACGATCCTGACAGTAAATACTGAGTGATCGCCATCTTGGATGTTAGCAATTCAAGCATCGACATCTTAATAATGTTCATACTTTTCAATGCATATTGCCAGCCACTGCCTATATTTTTTTTGTAAGATGTACAGCAAAAGATCGTAAACTTTTCATAAACGTTCCTGAATGGGTTATGTGATGTTCAAACAAACAAATAGCAAGGAGCTTGTTGAAATATATAGATTTCAGGAACAGGTAGTCCAGATATTCAAGTAATTCGTCAAAGTACTATAATGAAATGAAAACTGCTTTTGTAGATCATACTCCCCATGAAACTAATAACATTAATTTACAGAGTTTATATTTTTGATAAATACAAACAACTAATCTAAATTTACTTGATATTGTTTTATTTGAATCTTCCCATTGATGTTTTTAGGACTGAAGTTGATCAGTCTGTTATTGGCATATGTGCATACTGTGCGTATGCCTCGATATTGCCTTAATTTACAAGCATTATAAGTAGTATATATATATTACTTCCTAGAAAAAAAGAACATCCGAATTTTCATTTTCATATTAATAACAAGTTTCAAACTGAGATGAACTGATCAAACAGTTTTTTAAACTTTTCTTTAGCTAATTCATGTCACTCACTGGTAAAATCTGTTTTTCAGTTTCTATGCCAACAGTTAAGGTTATTCGTCACATTTAATCTATTCAATTAATTATGGTATACTCAGTAATTTCATTCACTTTTCAGTTCATTTAGTGAATGAATATTATATATTAGAGTATAACTCTTATTAAAGATCTAATTTCATATCATTTAAGTTATTTCCAACGATTTGCTATGAATATGTCAATCTAGTACAGTCCAATATGATAGATGGAAAAACATAAGTTTAATGCAATAAAAGTACCCTGTAACCTTGTAGTACTTATTCACAAAATAAATGAAATTACTGAATATAACATATTACTTAAGCATTGAAAACATTATAGATTACACTAAAAACATGAAATTCAATGATAAAGATCATTTCTCAATGAATTTTCTATTGAACTTTATCAATATACTTTATAGCTTCATTTCATGAAGGAATATAGTTAATGAATATTCATGATAATCATATGGAAAGATTTTAATATTAGATTATATCAGATAAACCTTGTCTGATTATTATTGCTCCTATTCTCTCATTAAATGATGCCTTAAAAATTCATTAACATGATAATGAATTGTTAGAAGGGGTTTTGTGGAGATTTTAGAAATTTCACTAATTGGAATCAAGAGTCAATTTAAGCTAGATCACCATGGGAAATCTGGAAGCACTGGATGGTCGTTTCTTCCTAGTATGGGACTCCTCAGCACCGCTCATCCACGATCCCGCCCCCCACGAGGTCCGAACCCAGGACCTATCAGTTTCGCGCTAGGCGCTTAACCAACTAGACCACTGAGCCTGTCGGCATCTAACGGTGTTAATGTCTAACTTCAACTAATCCACGAAATTGAACGACATACCTACCAATGTCATCAGCTAGTTACTACCTCACAACTGACCTGGTTGAACTCCACTAGTCACGACTTCTTACTAGAACTCGCAGAGTATCTCTTGAAGTCAGGACGAGACGGCCATTCAGTGCTTCCAGGTTTTCTATAGTGGTCTAGCTTCAATTAACTCATGATATTTCAATCAATAAAATGATAATGAATTTTTTTATAAAAAGAGATTTATTTACTGAATGATGTACTTTTAATCTATTTTTTCTCAAATTAATCGATTCTGTCTATCAACTATTCGGTTCATCATTATTTCGATGGTATATAATCGTTTAACTTTCATAGGGTTATCATTTTTTTTGTTTGTTTATGCAATATATGTATCTAATGATTATATAATACTATTAGATAACCAATCATATTAAGTACATTAACATTAATCTGTATATAACAATAAATGTATACATGTAAATGACTAAATGAATCTACTTTAAAGGTTAATTACTTTCTAGTATATATTTACATATATAAAAAACAGAACCATTGATTGGACAATTATAAAATGAGTATTTCTCACAAAATCAATAATCATTCATTATAAATAGACAGTGTAATGGTTGTTGTTTTGTTCTGAAAGCAAATTCAAACATAGATCGATTGTGTGTAAAAGTGTGTTTATATCCATATATATATATATATATATATGTGTGTGTGTGTTTAACAGAGATCCACATTGTAATCAAATTTAGAATATAATTCTATTCAACAATGTCTAATATTGATCAAGATCTATTTTCATATTTTCGTTATCAAGCTACAAAAACTGATCTTATTTTAAATAAAATAGATGGGAAACCAGCATGGCGTGAAACAGATTTAGATCATGTTACAATAAAGAATTATCATAATAATAATCATGAAAACGCTAATCAAGATAATAATGATGATTGGAGTCAACATAAATCAATTGAGAATAGAAATCTCTCTTCTGTAAAATATGAAAGTTCAAATGATATTTCAAAGTAAGAAAGATAATTTTTCATAATCTCTATTGTCTTCTATACATTCTGAATAGATTACTTTATTATATAATAGTTTATTATAATGAATATATATGACTAATAATGAAATTCTAAAATGTTTATTTCATTTTAAAATTTGAAATATTCCCATATTGTAAATTTAGAACAACATATATAAGCGAACAATATTGTTTTCGATTAGATCCTGATTATGCCACTTCTATGTGTATCTACGAATTCAGCTGCTTTTGTGGAGAAAGCTATATTGGGCACACTACCAGGCAACTGAACCAACGAGTTAGTGAACACATCCTATTGTGGTTCGGAAAAGGTTACGTCAAAACAATACGCAGCTCGGTTCTATCACACTTGATCGATAGCGGTCATATAGTAGACAGAAACAAGTCGTTCAAAGTTATTTATCGGATTCCCATTAGTTTTCCTTATGGTGTTCGATCTCGTCTCTTACACATAGCAGAAGCTATAGGAATCCGAACCAACAAGCCAAGTCTTTGTGTTCAGAAGAAATTTGTAACTCCCTTATCTCTCCCTTGGCCTTAATTAATAAATGAATTTATTCATTTATTCCTTTTCTGACTTTCTCTTCGTTTATTATTTTTCTTCACACCCTTCTACCACTTTATTTTCTCTCAACTATACGTTTCATGGTCCAATTATCTGAACATTTCTTATTACGTCATCTTATAATTTTATAATTGTTATCGCAGTTTCTATATTTTTCTAATCATTGACCTATTTCAGATTATGTAACATTGATTTGAACCTTTATTATCATTGCTTATCAAAACTAATGTACCTATTGTCACACCATCAATTTGTACTTTTCACATTTTACTTATTATATAATCTTTTCCATTGTTACTCATTGACTTATAAACTACCTTGATTGGTTTAATTCATTTCGTATATGCATATAAATATTACTGTATATTACAGTAAAGCCTGATGAGGATCTAATCGAAAACAATATTGTTCGCTTATATATGTTATTTCATTTTAATTGAACATTTGATAGGATAAGTATTCTGAGTTGAAATGTAGATGCATCATTTTTGACAAGTTCTAAATAGAACAAAATATTAGTCTATTGAATTTGTCTATTTGAATCTTGACTGTTTGATAATTACACTTTATTATAAGTTTCTATTTACATTCGATAATTCCTTTGATGGATTTAGTTACAAAATGTATTTATTTTATTTTATTTAAACACATAATCATTCGATTTATATGAGAACTGGAATACTGCTTGGGTGTTCAAACCGAATCAATTGATAAAGTAGTGAAACTTCATCAGTTGAGATGGCTGGGACACGTGTTACGTATGCCCAACGACCGACTGCCCCGACGTGCGATGTTCAGTGGTATAGGAGTAGATTGGAAGAAAGCTAGGGGCGGCCAGACCAAAACATGGCACAAGTCCATGAAGTCACTGACAAGTGGTCTGAGTCATGTTGATAGGTGTAGACTACCTGGTTGGGGACCGCGAGATTATAGCAACCGATGGTTAGAGACCCTGAATGACATGGCTCAAAATCGTTTGCAATGGCGCAGGTGCATTCACTCTTTGTGTTCTCCCGAATTCTAATCTTCTGAATTCTTCATGTCCCTTTTTTCCTCTTTCCAAATTTATTTCACTGAATTATACTCTTTAAATAACATCTCCAAACCCTAATCTTCCCTATCACTACTTACACCCTTGCTACCTCTACCACTACGGGATTTGGATCGACAACTGCATCTCTGTGTTAAGGTGGTGTGGCAACTCGAACTAATGTACGTACGTACGAAGTTCTACGTTGTTACTGACTGACTGACTCAAACCGAAGTAGGTAAAAACATGTGGAGGGGTGGTTAAACCATTTTAGATTAGATAATATCATACATGATTCCCTTGTTATGATTGATTTGTTAAACCGATCTATCATTATTATTTATTTATTTTAACACATAGATATTGGTACAAGGAGGCACCAAATACGTATGCGCCACACAAATCTCATTTGATATATGTGAGGACTGTGATACTGCCCGAGTGCCCAAACCGAAGCAGGTGATTTTCTTAGAGGGCCACACCCGGAGCCTTCGACCTAAAGGTCTGATCCACAAGGCAGTGGAGCATCGTAAAGACATGCAGTTCCATGGTAGCCGGTGACCAACGATTGGTTCATACGCCATTTGTTCCCTCAGGATACTGGAGTTCATGTGCACCATTGGTTTGGAATCAGGGTTTTCCGATTCCCCTAGGTGGACTCTCCATATCCACCAACCCGGTAAAAGCTTCGGACATTCGCTTTTCGTCCTCTCAATTTCGTAAACAACACCCCCGCCACGAGAAGGCAATGAGTAGGACTTCCCTGGCAGAGTCCATATACGTGTGGCCATGTGAGAGCATTTCGAGAGGAAGAGCGGACTCTCCCCACTCTCGGCCGTACCAAAGCATTTTGGGGCCTTTGAAGAAAATTAGCTTTTCTCAACTGATAACTACCCACAGTAATAAAGATGAATATAATATATAAAATATAAAATATATAAATATTTATAAAGGATGAAAGTAGATAAACTTTTATTTCATTCATGTTATGGATAGAATGTTATATTTATTTAGTGTATAATCTTAAATGTATAAAGTAATTAGTCCCTTTTATAAATGTCGATAGAACAATGAGAAGACGTAGTTGATCTAAAAAATGTGATGTATTTGTGCTATACATATAAAATGCCCTGACAAGTATATGTATGACCAGATTGTTCAAAATGTACGTCATATTTTTCAAATCAACTCTATCTTCTGATGTTCTTAAATATGTAACTTTTTTTCTTATCATTGAACAATCAGTTGTTTTCAAATTAAAACTGTTATGATAATAAGCTGAATTTTCACTACCGGGACAATGAAGCCATTATTGAAATGATTTCATTGTAAAAACTTAGACCAAATTGTCAGAAGAAACGTTGGATTTACTTACTTACTTACTTACTTACTTACTTACTTACTTACTTACTTACTTACTTACTTACTTACTTACTTACTTACTTACTTACTTACTTACTTACTTACTTACTTACTTACTTACTTACTTACTTACTTACTTACTTACTTACTTACTTACTTACTTACTTACTTACTTACTTACTTACTTACTTACTTACTTACTTACTTACTTACTTACTTACTTACTTACTTACTTACTTACTTACTTACTTACTTACTTACTTACTTACTTACTTACTTACTTACTTACTTACTTACTTACTTACTTACTTACTTACTTACTTACTTACTTACTTACTTACTTACTTACTTACTTACTTACTTACTTACTTACTTACTTACTTACTTACTTACTTACTTACTTACTTACTTACTTACTTACTTACTTACTTACTTACTTACTTACTTACTTACTTACTTACTTACTTACTTACTTACTTACTTACTTACTTACTTACTTACTTACTTACTTACTTACTTACTTACTTACTTACTTACTTACTTACTTACTTACTTACTTACTTACTTACTTACTTACTTACTTACTTACTTACTTACTTACTTACTTACTTACTTACTTACTTACTTACTTACTTACTTACTTACTTACTTACTTACTTACTTACTTACTTACTTACTTACTTACTTACTTACTTACTTACTTACTTACTTACTTACTTACTTACTTACTTACTTACTTACTTACTTACTTACTTACTTACTTACTTACTTACTTACTTACTTACTTACTTACTTACTTACTTACTTACTTACTTACTTACGCCTGTTAGTCTTAATGGGTCATAGGCCAGAGACCAGCATTCTCCACCCACTCTGTCCTGGGCCTTCTTTCCTGGTTCCATCCAATTCTTGTTCATTTTTCTCATGTCTATCTACATTTCCCGGCGTAATGTGTTCTTTGATCTTCCTCTCCTCCTTTGACCTTGAGGATTCCATGTGAGGGCTTGCCTTGTGACGCAGTTCGGTGTTTTCCTCAATGTGTGTCCTATCCACTTCCAGCTCTTCTTCCTGATTTCTTCCTCCACTGGAATCTGGTTTGTTCTTCCCACAGTAGGTTGTTGCTAATAGTGTCCGGCCAACGGATCCGAAGTATTTTGCGTAGACAACTGTTAATAAACACCTGTATCTTCTCGATGATGGCTTTCGTAGTTCTTCAGGTTTTCGTCCCATACAGTAGAACTGTCTTGACATTTGTATCGAAAATCCTGACCTTGATATTGGTTGACAGTTGTTTTGAGTCCTAAGTCCGGATAAAGGAAGAGGATTGGACATGGGGTTAGCGACCCCATCCTGTAGAAAACTTACTCGTTAAAAAAATGCTGACCAGAAAAAAATTATTCAAACTTTTTTAAACGTTGGATTTACTTTAAATCTATTCTGTGAGATTTTACAAATACATTCTTCCTCTTTGAAGTCATTTTTTATCTGAATTTCGAATGTATGATTATAATATTAGACATTAAATAGGAAGAATGTATCTGTAAAATCTCAGCGAAAGAATTTGAAATAAATCCATTGTTTCGTCTGACAATCTGGTTCAAGCTTTTTCAAGAAAATACATTCTTCCTCTTTAATGTTTCATATTAACTTGACTCTGTGAAACTATTCGATCAAATCTAGACAAAACTTCTTATTTACTATTCTGCGAGGATAATATTAATTTCAAAGTGTTTGGTTGAAATAATAATCAAATGTTATTAGGTCTACAAATCATGAATTATGTAATCATTGTTTATCCTATATCATATTAAATTAGTTTTACTCAACTGATAACTACCCACAAAATGTTTAAGTATACGTTTAGAGTTTTACCATTCCATAATATATTCAGTTAACTGGATTATTTGATTAACATCTAGCCATTGGTTTACATGTTCTAAATCAGCTGTATTGACATCAGTTCATATATCACCTCGTGAAGTGTGGCAGCAAACTGATACAAAGACTCAGATATAATGATTAAATTTTAGAATTGATATTTGCATGGAAAAGCAACCTTTATACTATAAGCTATAAAACAATTAAGCATTCTCCTTAATCTTTTTATAAACCATAACTGAAAAATATATGTGATCATTGAATAAGTAATGACTCTATTCAATCTTGTACAAAACACAGAAACAATTCATCTGCATCTCAGAAAGTTGATAAAACTAATTATGATCCCAGTTCAACTGACCATCTAGCCTACATTCCATATTCGACTGAAACTACTCAATCAGCTATACATAAAAACAAGGCAACCGAGGAAAATAATCCAGTGAACAATTTGTTAAATATTTCACCGCATAACTTAGGACAGTCCACTTTACATTCTGTAAATCAAGCATCAGTCGGTTGCCAACAAAATAACTCCTCAACAAAATCACTTCCTTATGAGGATGAACCAGATTCAGAAGCTTTGAAACCACCTTCTCACGCTGTAGTATCTACTAACCGATGGACTGAAGAACCCAGTATAATGATGAAAGGTCTAGTGGAACAAACCGATCTTCCCGTTGTACATATTAACCCTCAGCGTGGTCGGTAAGTAGCAATAGTAATAGTAATATTTTTACATCACACCAAATGGATCTCACATAAATATACAAAAGCTATGCACATTATTATTTGGTTCGTATAGTTGTTGTTGTCTTTTGTTGTTTCGATTATTAAAGTTTGCATTTATTCCGTTTATTTATTTGGTTAATGCACCTATGTACAATGACACAACTGAATGTTTTTTTATCATAACATTTTGCATTTAGTTTGTATATAAATGACTTAAGAAAGAGTACTTTCTGTCTAATAACGGACCCGGTTGCACCACCGTTAAAGAAGTTATTATCTTTTCTTCAGTAATTAAGGTCGTAAATCATGTTCACGAAGTGTTTATCGTATTATGAGTTTTCCTTTTATAGTTATACACATGTAATACATAATCAAACCAAACAAAATTTACTATAAAACAATACGCAACTATTCAGTTATAAATATGTCTAAACAGCGTGATACCGTTTTATACTTTATTTACTGACCTTTTGACTTTGATCAACAAAGCTGGTGACTGTTCACAATTAACCACTGAGTCATAGGCTCGAGTTAATAAAAATCATGAGTATGGGGTTGTGGATACTGCTGATTTTTTTTTATAGTGATCATGAATCGATCAATTTTAGACTATCACTAAAAACCTGGAAGCACTGAACCGCCATTTCTTCCTAATATAATACTCCTTAGCAGTACGCATCCACAATCCCCCACATGGGATTCAAACCCAGGACCTTCAGTCTCGTGCCTATTTCATTTTGAATAGTTGAGTAGTATCACTCGATTTCACGATAAATATTTACTTAGTCAATGGAATTACAAAATATTTAGTTACCGTCTAAGAACCCATTCCATTGAAATATGTTCTCTTTAATTATTTATATTGATTAAATGAAAATCTTCTTATCGAATCATCACAAAAATGTCTGGAACACTTTTGTAGATTGACTGTATCTAGTTCTATTCTAGATAGAAGGAAAATGAGAACAGATACGAACACTATTACAGTTTCGGAAGGGGTTTTGTGGAGATTTTAATAATTTCAATGGTCAAGATCATGAGTCAATTGAACCTAGACCACTATGGAAAACCTGGAAGCACTGGACGGCTGTTTCGTCCTAATGTGGGACTCTTCAGCAGTGCGCATCCCGCGAGGCGGAGTCGTGTATGCACACTGCTGAGGAGTCCCACATTGGGACGAAACGGCCGTCCAGTGCTTCCAGGTTTTCCATAGTGGTCTAGGTTCAATTGACTCATGATCTGAACTGATGAAATTATTAAAGTTTGTTAGTTAATTTTCTGGTTTAACAGAATCGTTGAATTTCATGATAGATTATTGTGTATTAATGACTATATCATTATTTTTGTAATGTTATAGTTGTATAAGATCAAACTTTTATCACAATATATTCGCAACATCAGTTCAAACATGATTATTAGTCTTTATTTTATGTATAACAATATCAGAAATCTAAGTTTATTACTTACTATCATGATACAAGATTATTTAATGAAGTCATCGACGATTTAGATAAGGATTGGTACGCGCTAAAACATCACAATGAACATTGGATTCTTTAATAAAACGATACACATGCCTCTATGATAACAACTAACCAGTAGACAACGTATAATCGTAGCTTCGGCTTGATTCACTATAACTATTTTACAATGTAAAGTACAGTTTTCATTTAAAATTACATTGATCAATGTTAATTTTTAATTTTTAAAATTCTGTGTTCTTTGTTGTTGCTGTTGTTTGAATATGTACCATCTAGGTATATTTGAAATGTTGGAATTCCTGGTAAAAGACTGGACTAAGACGATTTGTTTGTTTTATTAGATTTATTTTGATAAATTTACTTTATTACCCTTATGATCTTGTTGTTTAATTTTTCAAACAAAAGTATTTCAACCAAACCTTATCACCCCAATGAAATAAATCAAATGAAAATGGAGAATACTAATAACACTATACAACCGTCTAAATCTATTGTACATGATCGTATTCCTCAGTATACAAATGATTATCGAAAATATGATTTACCAGGGAATTTCACATCTGTACAGAAATCAGCATCATATATATCTACTTCATCTTATCCAAATCAATCCTCAGGTATACAGTTTTCAGATAGTGATAAATTCAATCCAATTTCTTCACAAAATAATCGAGTAAGTTATTGTTTCTTATAACTTGAGACATTTATTAGGTAATAAGTTATTTAGTAGGAATATTGAATTCATTTAGGCTGTTGAATGGTATGGTTTCATCTATTTTGTCTTTTTGAAAAAGAACTAACACTCGATCTTAGAAGTGTTTGTATGTTTTATGGTTTACATCACCAACTTCTCTTTGTGAAATAACCATTGAAAACCAGAGAGTATTGAACAGTCAATTGGATGGTGATTACACGAAACATTGTCTCAATGAAGTCTACTTAGTTTTAGGTAGTCATCGAACGTAGGTTAGTTTGTGAAATCAACCCATAATGCAGAACTATTTTTTCCTTAATCTTAGTGTAATTAACTGAAATATTGAGATATCGTGTTTTATTGATGTGAGACTAGATTTATTTTTATTCATAGTTTATCTGTAAAAACCTCTTGAAGAATATGGTATTTGAAAGTAGTACCTAACTAGTTGTCACTTTGTCGATTTCTTGGATGAATGTGTACTCTAAACAAGAAATCATTAATACAGTGGCATACTTATTATTATTTTATTTCAGAGTACATTAGAAGCTAGAGAGTTAGTGATTGAAGTACTTGGTATTTTACCAGTAGACTTATGTGTAAATCCCACTTTACGTGACCTAGTTTTAACGGCCAGGTAGTATCACTGACGTTCAAACGAGCTAGCTGTGTACTTGAGATTATCCATTATATTATTTCATTACCCAAGGAAATATTTGTTTATACACTGATACTTCTAGGGTAAAACAATATATTTCCAAAAATTTCACAAATTCTTCTTCTATTTCTTATTACAGTTAAATATGGAAGTACACAATACATTACCTACTTATCCCAGACCTATAACAACATCATATGTTCCGTCACCACCTCCTATTCCAACTGCAGAGTATCCACAATATCATCCACCGGAACGATTAGAACCAGTTCACTGGTCAACGTATAAACATTGTTCATCTACAAATGAATCACATCTATCGCCTATATCTACTAATCCAATTGATGTACAAGTTAGTATTCATTTCATTGTTGATTTTTATGGTTACATATTAGTGAAATGCATTGAATATATTTTGTATAATATTCATTTAAAACAAAAACAGTTTATGTCATCCAATAATAATTTTATTCAATCAAACTATTTTCAACGATAGATGATTCGAAAGGATTTTATAGAGACTGGTTCAATTAACAGTCATTCTATTCGATACCAGTGAGTACTACATAGTAATTTTGTTCTAGAACGGAATCAACTGGATGACTTTAATGGTTAAAGGTTCAACACTAGACCTGATGGTCCTGATTTCGATCCATGACGGGGTAGTAAATGCTGATTAATGAAGAGTCCTAGACTAAGATGAGAAACAACTGTCTAGTGTTGTTATATTTTCAATGGTACCCCAAGATTAATTGACTATCCCTAAATAAAAAAATTCACTTAATAATCTACTTATTATGGATACACGGTTGATGAAGAAACTTAGTAGAAAACCTTATTCATACATTTTTCTTTGAATTTTAAGAACAAATTGCCTGAATAATCGGTTACCTAACATGAACCGTTAATTTAAGTTTAATGCATCTCATACACAATAAACTTGAGCACACTTCTTAGAAATTGAAATAAAATTAACATAGATATGATATGAGATATGTGTTGTATGATATTTTGACTGATTTCAGTGATTTCGCAAGGCTGGACCGTGGATGCACACTGCTGAGGAGTCCTATAGTAGGACTAAACGGCCGTCCAGTGCTTCTACGTTTTCCTTGGTGGTCTAGCTTCAATTGACTCATGATCTAAACTAATAAAATTATTGTAATATTTGCAAAATCCCTTCTGATATTAAGATTACTGTTCTAATTTATTTTAGTCTTCTACAATTAATTCATCATTAAAACCATTGGATCGAATAATCCATAAGCCAGATTCAGACGACAATTATCCATCTTCATTATCTAAATATTCCAATAAACCAGCTGCATTTCGTTCTTCATCTCCGACTAGTTCAGCTGCAAGTCGCGTTATTGCAATTCAATCAGAAATTGCTGAATTAGAAGCTCAACAACGTGTTGATAATCGATTAGATTTAAGTTCAACATTAGATAGATTACATGTGGAATTACAATTCCAAAAACGTTTAGCAGAACGTGAATCGAATTGCAAGATTGCAGTGAATAATAATAATAATAATAATATCAGTACCAGTAATAATTCTATAGTAAAAGAAACCAAAAATTATAATATACCTGAAAAATCAAGTACACTAGTAAGTATGAATTAATTTTTGAAAGTAAATTTTGTATTTTCAACCTTATATTGGGTATTGCTAGGTAATCGGCAAGAAACTCTGAACCTGGGTTCCGTGCTAGTTGGCACAGTTCTGCAACGTGTACACTCACTTTTGAGAGGACTAATGCTTCCTGTACGATTTGAACTTATTTCACGTAAATTCACAGTCTTACTAAGTTGCTGCTGAACTATAGAGACAGTAAATGACCTGTGGAAATAAGATATTTATAATGGAGAGATGACCAATAATTGAAAAAAGTTCATATTTGTCTTGTCCTTTCAGTGTTAATCATATACTATCGCCCAAGCTCCAATGTGACCAATAGTCTAATTCAATCTATCTTCATTTCAGTACGTTGAACTATTACGGTACACATAAAAATTCACTGTTGAATGTGAAAAATACTTCATCAGTCAGTCAGTCAGTTACAACGTAGGACCAGACACATATGTACATCAGTCCAAGTTGCTATACCTCATTATCACAACAAGATGAACATTAAATTCATAGAAGTAGTTAGTTCCGTGGTAATGATATATAAAAGAAAGATTGTATATAAGGATATAGTACATAAAAAAAATTATTTGGCAAAAAAAGATTTCAATCTCTTAGTTTAAGGGAAGACAGGGATTGGATACACCGACGCCATTGTGATCGATTCTGAGCCATGTCACCAAGAGTCTCCAATCATTGGTTACGATAGTCACGCGGACCCCAACCAAGTGGTCTGCATCTACCAACATGGCTCAGACTGGAAGTTAGTGATTTTGTGAACTGATGACACGTTTCGGTTTGGCTGCCCATAACTCATCATAACTGCGAATTATAAAAAAACATGAACAATATAGTAATAATTAAGAATTAATTAGGAAACATTCCTTATTATGCATATACAAAAGTGATATGTATATACTACTCTAACCATTGGGATCCGAAATCGTAATGAACTATTTCATAAAAAGATCAGTATGGAATTATGTTGTCTTATGATAGAATAATAACTACACAGGATATTAAAATTAAGAAAAAAAAAACTTTTAACGTACACACCATTCAACTGACAACCAAATAGCTAAATTTTAACATGGTCACTACAAAACATAATTGATCCATGGTTTTATCTGGGGGAAAAAATCAAAGAAAGCCATTGTTGTGTAAATTCGGATGAAGAATCTGTTCAATATTCAGTAGTTATCCAGTTCATATAAGATTTATTATTTCTCTTCACAACTTATTTAGCTAAGCTGATTGTTTGTATACATTGAAAATGAATAATAGTTAGATGTATCATTCCTTCTTGATATAATGACTTGACCTATCTGTCAATGTCTATTCTGTACAAAATTGAAGTATTACTCAATTAAATAATATACAGAACATAATAGTAAATTATTAGAAGGGGTTTGTGGAGATTTTAGAAATTTCACTGATTGAAGTCATGAGTCAATTGAAGCTAGACCACCATGGAAAACCTGGGAGCACTGGATGGCCATTTCATCCTAGTATGAGACTCCTCAGCAGTGCGCACCCACGCACCCACTTCCCACGAGGTCCGAACCCAGGACCTATCAGGCTCGCGCCAGGCGCTTGAACATCTAGACCACTGAGCCGGCCGGTATCTAACGGTGTTAATGTCTAACTTCAACTAATCCACGAAGTTGAGCCAACGTACACCATTGTCATCAGCGAGCTGAAATCTCACAACAGACCTGGTTGAACTCTACTGGTAACGACTTCTCACTAGAACTCTAAAAGTATCTCTTGAAGTCAGGACGAAACGGCCGTCCAGTGCTTCCAGGTTTTCCATGGTGGTCTAGTTTCAATTGACTCATGATTTCAATCTGTGAAATAATAGTAAATGTTTATTAAGCATTGTTGACATAATCTGTTGTTATATTCATAACAATATGCAAAATATTCTATCTATGAAAGTACTTTTTAGTATATTTTAATAAATTATTATACAAATGTTATAATTCATCAACTTTGCATATATAATCTGATTTATTGATTTCATCAAATGTTCACTCCCTTATCATATGACTAACTGTATAATACAAATTACTGTACTTTTTGCAGGTCATTTGTTGCATAACTAATCTGAATTTGTGGGTGTAACTAGAGAATGTTCACTTTGTTTATTCAGTTCGTTTATTGTTTTCTATTTTCTGTAATACAAAGTTAAAGATTGAAATAAGCTATAGACTTGGGGTTGAATAAACTATTTTTATATGATGTAACTATTGCTCTGTTGAAATTGTGAACTTACTGATCTCATTCTATTGCATCATAACAAATGAGTAGTGTAACAGTTCATGTCTAACCAAAAAATACCTTGTATAGTAGGAGAACATGTAAATTAGAAGAGCTGGGAAAGAGAACTAAAAAATGATGAACCAACGACTCATCATGCACACACAACCCACTTACGTTTATGACGGAAAGTAATAGACAACAATCAACAATAGCACAAGCTTTTGATAATCTTGAAGTCGAAACTAAAACCACATAGTTTAAACAGTAGGAATGTCATTCTTGGTAACGTTCACCGATGTATTCTTATATAAATAAGTGTTATACAATCTTATCATTATGTTATCTAAATGAAATTTAAATTCATTTTTATCTAACTAATCTATTTGGTTAAATACTTTTAACATAGATACAGTTGCATATAATTTAATAGAGGACTGTACACTTAACAATAGCTTGTATTTATGAGGTTATTTTAACAAATATACATCACAATTGACGTTGATTGAGTTGTTTATTCTTGAAATATCAAATGGTTTGATTTATTTTTTTCTGGTTAGCGTCTTTTTAAACGAGTTAGTTTTCCAAACGCGATGGGGCCGCTAACCCCATGCCCAACTTTCTTCCCTTATCCGGATTTGGGACCGCTAGTAGCCCCAGAGGGTCTCCAGACGAAGTTTAAAATACTATACTAATCAATGATTTTGATTTTTTGTAAATTTTACATTCGATCAATTAACTACATAGACAGTACAAAGGAATGAAGCAATGATCTATGGTTTATTTGTGATTAGTCAATATACATAATCTTCTTTGTTTACTATATACTTGTTGTTAAGTAGTCTGTTTAAATGATTGCAAATATATCAGCTAACCTATTTCATTTATGATTGTCTGAATAACAACATAATCATAAATAAGAACTTTCGTCTTAATTTGAACGAATAGTTTGACAATATTTGGGCGCCGAGTTAATATGAGACATTAAAGCGGAAGAATGTCCAACATAATCATAGTTTTTATTCTTTCATATATATTTCGATTACGAATAAGAATAAAAGCGCATTATGATCATTATCCCTAGAAATTATAAATGTTCAATTTTGAAAATATTCCTCATTTTATAACATATTTTTTTCAATAATTTTATTTTAATTAAGGAATCATCACAGTCTCGTTCATCAATGTCTATATCCAATACAAATCATCCTAATGAACATGATTGGGTTCAAAAACGTAATCAAGCTGAACAAGAATTATTAGAGACGTATGTATTTCAAAGAGATTTTTAATGGTTATACTTCTGCTGTAACATCTATATCTATCAGTTTGAGTTTAATTATTCTTGTATTTATCCTGATAACAGTCATACGTTTGTCGTAGTAGTAGTAGTACGGTTTGTATTCGATGACTTGATTGTTGAATAAATTTTCAATGAACGAGTTTTCGAACAATATGATATTTCCACGTTGAGGTTGAAATATTTTGATATGTCTTATACAGTAACAAGTGACATATATAAAGTGCAATGGTAGCCGAGTAACCACCTCTTTTTTATAGTTCACATAACTAAAATAATCACTGAAAAAAAGCACTGGGTAGCTATTTCAACCTGGCATGATACTTTTTCACCAAAGATCGAGCACGGGACTATTCAGATCCCGCGACGAGCGGTTGACGTTTTTTATCCTACGCATAAAACATTTCAATCGAATACACATATATGAATGTCTAATATATAATATAATAACCTGAAACAAACGATAAGAATATTAAATTTATTCAAAATAATCAACCATAATAATAAATAACAATTTGCGAGTGATAATAAATGTAAGCAGATAGATGGTAGCTAACAGTGGAATTCAAAAACACGCGTTTCGCCCCACTTTAAATTCATCAGCTGGACGTACATACATCTCGAAATTGATTTTCACTCTGAGACTCGAACCCATTGCCGCTCATTTCAAACCACATAGCTATCGAGTCCAAGCAGTCACTAGCTTGTGCAATGGATGAAGGTTTAATTCATTTTGTATCGTTTGTTTGAATATTCCCATTGATTTCAATAGTTGAAATCATGAGGAAATTGAAGCTAAACCACCATGGAAAACCTGGAAGCAATAGACAGCCGTTTCGTTCTACTGGGAGACTCTACAATGGTGCACATCCACGATCTCACCTTGCGAGATTCGAAACCAGGAACTATTGGTCTCACGCGCTAACACTTAACATCTAGACTACTAAGCCGGCATCTAACGGTGTTAATGTCTAGCATCAACTAATCCACGAAATTAATCGACACATCTACCATTGTCATCAGTGAGTTACTATTTCACAACGGACCCGGTTGAACTCCACTGGTCAATGATTGTCACTAGAACTCCAGGATATACACCTTGAAGACAGTCACTAGTGAGCTTATGTTGATTAGTATCAGAACGGGTTTTGTGGAGACTGTAGTAATTTCAATTATTGAGATCATGAGTTAATTGAAGCTAGACCACCATGGAAAACCTGGATGTTTAGGACTGCAATTGATCAGTCTCTTATTGGCATATATGTATCCTGTAATGATCGTCTCAATATTGCCATAAGTCACAAGCATTATAAGCAGAGACAGATCATACGTTTTAATGAAATTCAGGATGTATTTTCGTTCTACTTGGAACTAATGAATTTTAGTCCTAAATATCAATTAGAAGACTCAAACAATCAATACAAAAAATCCTAATAAATATATACTTCTATATATTCAATTAAAACTATGAAATAAAAAAACAATCATTTCAATAATGAAAACTTGGATTAATTTTGATTTGGTTATTTATTTATTCTCTGAAGAAGTGGCTTACATTAAGTGACGAAACGTCAGATAATGTAATTGAGATATTACAAATATATTACTTTTATTTATACATTATATCATTTTAGACAAAATCAAAAACTATCACAATTAGAACAAGAGCATAGAGCAATGTTAATAAGACAAGAATTAAGAGCTAAAGAACGTACTCATTGGTTTGAACATAAACATCAAGTATGTTTTAATTGATTTTCTTTTTGTTTTCTATTATTCTTACTACTATTACTATTTATTAAAAATAAAATTCATTGTATATGCCTCCATTTGTTGAGTTATATTGATTGGTTACTGGGTATTTGTGAAGATGATATTATATCAATGTTATTTGTTTTATACTACTTACATAGTGATAACTCTTCTCTTCATTGATAATTCTTATGTAGAAAGATGCAATATTCAGTAGTTTTCTAGATATCATTAGTTTGAAGACATTGATTTGTTTAAAGATTAATAGTAATATGAGTTGACTAAATTTACTTGATGTTGTTTTATTTGTATTTTCCCATTGTTATTTAGGACTGTAATTGATTAGTCTATTATTGGCATATATGCATCTTGTGCGAATTGCCTCGGTATAGCCTTAAGTCACAAGTTTTTTAAGCAAAGATGGATAGTGGCTGACAATGGAATCCAGGATGGATGTTTCGTCCTATTTGGCACTCGTCAGCTGTATGTATCTGCATCTCAAAGTTGATGTTTACTCTGAGACTCGAACTTAGTACCGTTCGCCTCAAACTCCATCACGTTATCTATTTGGTTACTGAGTCCTGAGTGAACATCAACTTTGAGATTCAGGTATATCCAGCTGACGAGTCCCAAATAGGACAAAGTGCGCTTTCTGGATTCCACTACTAGCCATTATCCATCTTTGCATTTAATGCATGTGAATTAAGGCTATATTGAGGCAATACACACAGTATGTACATATGCCAATAAGAGACTGATCAATTGCAGTCCTAGACATCAATGAGAAGATTCAAATAAAAAACAATACTAAGTGAATTTAACTTGCTGTTTACTTTAATGAGTAAGAGGTTTTCTTAACTTTCATCATAATATTAATTTTTCCTTATTTAGTATTATAAACGATATGTTCTGTGGTATGACTACATCTAATTAATAACTGTACACAGGATGTGTACTTTTATTCTAATTGTATAAACATTCAAAAAGGATTCATTATGTTATGATTTCTATAATAATTCACATAGGGTATTCTGTATAAGTAAGAGATATGATTACCCTATTGGTATAATTTATGAATCTGCTTGATACAATAAACTCAAGTTAATTGGTGACAACTAAATTACATAAAGCTTGTAACACGCATTAACGTTTTAAAGCATCGACGACAATCTACCTACATTATTATATTAAATGATTAGTGTAATCATTTGACTTTAAAAAAAAATAGATACATCGAAGTATACAACTTGGAATACTCTTCCATGATCAAACAAGTTCAGGGTTTCCTGTTGACAGGAGGTTAGTCACGGCTCGGATAGCTCAGTGGTAACGTCTCTGACTGTGAAGCTGGGTGATACAGGATCGAATCCGCCAGGGAGCACCAGTTCCCTCAAGATTACAGGTACACCTTGTTGACGAGTGCCAAATAGCACGAAACCCAAGTCCAGGGTTTCCTGTTGACTACCTCCAACCACCATCTAAATCTCAATACATAGTGCCCGCAGTGTCGAGTCACCTAGACTGGTGGCCACATTGCAACATGATCGATAGCATTCGATCTGCACTAATAAGGACTAGACAAGCAAGACATTGATCACCACCCAGTGATCAATCAATTGTAAGTTCATTCTTCTATAGAAAGAAGATTATAATCACACAACAATTTGTTGTTAAAATGACTAAATAAACAATGAAAACCTGTAAATATTAAGCACTAGATGATACGATTTTATTTGATCTATACTTTGCCTAGAATCTGTTTTATATTAACTTCCAGTTCCAAACTCGATTACAAAATGTTTGAAGACAAAGTTGCCAAGCTTATTCCTCTAAAGCGGAACTTGATGAAAGTCATTAACAAAATAACTAATGTCTAAATTTGTAATAGAACGAAAATCAAATATACTTAATTGAACATAAGTACTGTTGGAAATCAACAATAAGAGAATGGACAAATCTTCTTTCACTTTCAATCCTTTTGTATACATTTAAGTATGAGTTGAAAATATAAATTTCTCATATATTTTAATTTAGAGATCATTATTTACCCGTATAAACTTTGTGTATGAGTTACTAATAAATTGAAGGTTATACAATTTCAATCGACTAAACTAAACTGAGATATGTGGCTAGTAGTGGGATTCACGACACGTGTTTCATCCCATTTGTTACAATTCCAATGAATTTATGTGTATTACAAGATTGATGTTTACACTAAAACTCGATCCTGATATTTGTCATTTCAAACTCTCAACGCATCATCTACTGAGCTACCGAGTCTCAGCAGCAGCCGACTGGTTCAACAAATAAAAAGGGATCAGCCATCATTCATAATTTCCTTGTACTAATGTTTAAGATTAGATGTGGTCAATCTCTGTTTCCCTGTGCTCCATTATTGACAAATCTGACAAGACCTTGTTTATTTATAATTCAATGTCTAATTAGGTGACCTGATTGTAATATTGATTAGGAGTTGTTTTCTTACATGAACAACATTCAAGATGAAACTGTGATACCAAGTTGTAATGTTTCATCTCATTCAAACTGACACACTACTATAATTTACTTTAGTAATTTTTATTTGTATCTTACATCATGAAATCATAGCATTGTAATAGAGTTCTACTTTTGAGAAACGGTAACAGAATAGTCAAGGAATTTAACCCCTACCTGCTGAGTTGCTAGTTCAAGATCTTGTGTATCTACTTCAGTTTTATTAGTGACAGAGTATTATTGACTCTCAAATGCATGTACAATATGCGGTTGCAAGTCAAATGTACACGAAGTTTAATTGATTACTGAGCTACTTCACGTTAACATTCAACACTCACCTTTAATTTAACGGAGACGATATCCACCTTACGTAGAACGTTCTGTTAGTCATAGGATTTGTTCCTGTTCTACTATATATCATGCATCTTGCAACAAAGCACACCTAAATCTTTACGCCAGTTCTTACTTTTCAGAATTGATCAAAGAGTAGTGGTTATTTTCTCAGTAGAAGCATTACTGATAAAAGAGCACCTGTAACAGAATTGTGATGTAGATAATCTGAAATGTACGGTCAAACAAGTTCGACAACCTTTGACGTAACCTGATGATGTATATCTGCTTTTACTTTCCAGGTGCAATCTCCCTCCAGTTCATCATCGTTACCTAGAAACGCAGAAACAGCTGACGATGACGTAAAATCATGGAATTATCAAACTTTAAGTCAAGTACCCCTTAGACAAAGCTCTGAAGATAGTAAGTTTTTAAGTGTGAGAAATCATTATGTTTTATATACAATTCAGTTGTTGCTACCATAACCATGAATAAATCAATTTATTATACTGGTAGTAATATACATATGACCTTAATGATTGTGCAATATTTCAGTAATTTAATGACTCATGTTTCCATCAATACATCACAGAGATAAATCATCTTGTTCTGATGTCAAGTGAATAAACGAATAGTGTCTCCAGCCATCCCATAAAAGATGTTTAGCTCAAAGCCGACTGCACTATTCTATACCATTATTAAATTATTGAGGTTGATTTTTTAAAAGTATTTCATTGTGTCATTGTTTGTTCTCATTTTATCGAAAAGTTATCGAATTTGTTAGTAGTCATGAAATATTTCACCGAAGCTTCTAGAGTTCCAAATTGTCTCATTACATCACAATTAGTATTGTTTTTTCTGCACAGTTTTCGAATTACAAATCTTATGTTTCCTGTCTGTTGTTTTCCGCTAGGAGCTCTTTAATCGAAAACTTTCGAAAGCTAGAAAATGTTTAGGAATTCAGTTTTTAAATTATGTATAGTATCAGACATCAGTTCCAACTACTTCTACCTAATTGTAATTATACATTTTATCTCATAATATGAGTAATCGTAAAACTTCACGTAGTTTCTAATCAACTGATCTTTGGAAATATACGTCTGTCATAAAGTGAACTGGACTACCAATAATTCACTCGAAACTATGAAAATTCGTATAGTCTTTATGATAAGTAGATTATTATCAGAAAGAGTTTTGTGGAGATTTTTAGAAAATTCACTAGTTGAAATCATGAGTCAATTGAGGCTAAACCACCATGGAAAACCTGGAAGTACTGGATGACTTATCAATGAGACCACTGAGCTGGCTGGCATCCAACGATGTTAATGTCTAACTTCAACCAATCCATGAAATTGCGCCACCGTACATCATTGTCTTCAGTGAGTTGATGTCGCACAACAGACTTGGTTGAACTCCACTGGTCACTTCTTCTCCCTAGAACTCCAGGAAATGCCTCTTGGAGTCAATCACTAGTGAGCAGATGAGCGCACTGCTGAGGAGTCCCATAATAGGACGAAACAACCATCCAGTGCTTCCAGGTTTGTCATGGTGGTTTATCCTTAATTGACTCATGATTTCAACTACTGAGATAAGTGGATTGTTTATTTGTCTTGTTCTAGTGCTGCCAATAACAAAAATAAATAATTCGTATAGCGCTCATTGGCTTCATCAAGATTACAGATACATCTTGGTGATAAGTGCCAAATAGCATGAAACCTAGATCAAGTAGAATTTCATGCTGCCTGCCTCCAAATGCCAACTAACAATTAAACCAAATCCTTGTAATACCAAACCATTTAGACTGGTCCTAACTTGACTGTTAGTGTTCGATATACACTAAGGAATTGAACAAACATGAGAGTGAACACCACCAAGCTAATAATCAACACTAAAATACTGTAATGAATGAAGCAGATTCACTTAAAAATAATTTACAATTACCAATCAAAAAATTATTTTTCTCAATGTTTTCATGATCTTTTACTTTCCTAGACATATCTCAAATATCAACTAGTCAAAATCGTTATGGTCGTCCAAGATTCGATAATAATAATAATAATAACAATACAGAAATATCTAAACCTACATCTTATTCTTTACAACATCCTATTCAATCACGTTTAGGTCCACAAATTATTGAAAGTGAATTAAATCGTTTACAAATAGTATCTGGTACAACTGGTTCATCTGTTGAAAGTATACGTGTAAAAAAATCAGTATCATTTGATAAAAATTTAGAAACTATATCTGTCTATAGTCCACCAACAACACCACATGGAAGTTTCATAGAACATGGAACTATGCATAAATCTCAAATTCCTAGCATAACATTAACATCGGGACCAAAACATTCACTGAATTCTTCATCCATTAATTCATCATATAAAAAATCATTGAGTCCTCCAGTTGGATTTGAAATTGATGATAAAACAAATGGTAAGAATGTTTAAAATTATTTAGTACTCTTTTTTGAAGTTATTCATTTTGGAAATTGATTAGTTCGATTGTAAAGTTTCGTTATTAGCTCAATAAACAATTTCCGCGCCTATATCAGACTGAGATGGACTTTGTTTAAAAAGTTATTTGACGAGTGATAGATTGGCCTGATCTGGTGACGATGAATTGTCCTCGTAGGTTTTGTTACCTTCATATATCGACTGTCTTGTTCGGTTGACCTCTGACCATGTGTATGCTGATCAATCCTTTTCATATAAAGTGATAAATCGGGTCTATCCCAATATATCTAGTGTGTCTTTTGATCAACATAAATCGACGTAAAACGATATTGTAAGCATGTTTTTAAAAGTATATTGTTGTACAAGTAGTGTGCTCAAAGAGTAAACCAACCAGTGACGTTTAAGATCCTTCCAGTCGGAAAGTACAAACTGAAGGCAATGATGGGCGCTTTTGGAGCGAAAATGAGATTTAGATTTCCACAATTAAATTAAAGAAGTAAAAAAGTTAACAAGTGATTTATGGAGATCTACCATCCCGAACAACATTCTGTCGAACAATCTTTGCTGTTTCCACGGTTGCCAAGATAATATGACTTTAGAGTGTTATCTTCAGTGAAATTAGTTTGTGGTTAGCGGTTAAATTCAGGATACGTATTCAATTGTGCTTGCAACTCGTCAGTTAGATAAACCTAATTCTTGTATTGATGTTCAATTTGGGACTTGAACTCAGTATATATCATTAGAAACTCAAAATGTAAACCTTAGTATCAACAATGGGAAAAATCAAACGCTTATATACATATGGATCAGTATTGCCATGTTTTATTACTCATTGAATTCATACCCTTTTTCACCATGTCTTATCCACTATGATATATATCTATATATATATATATATATATATATATATATATATATATATATATATATATATATATCTATATATAAACTGTTTTCTTAATGTTGGAATTTAGATAAAAATCATCATACTAATAAAACAAACCTAAATCACAGCGTACCAAGATCATCTTCTCAGGGAAAACTTGCCACAAACAATACTCCACCTACAGTAAGTTAGAACAATTAGAACTGATAGTGTTTGCTTTCACTTTATCCTATGAATTTGCTCTCCTAATAGTTAAATATATTTTATGTTCAGTTGACTTCTGTTTTACAAAAGTGGCCTATGAGTTATTAGGATCATAACTGGGAGTAAGTTATATGAGCATTGTAAACTAGGAGGTACTAAATAGCTTTTTTATCCTAGTAAGAGACTCCTCAATGCTTTGTGGTTTCAAGTGGTTGTCTTAGGTCGGTTTATGGTCTTACTAATGTTGAACAATATCCATAAACCTCCATGCTGATAATCGATATGTAAATTTATGGTTTGTTTCTTACCAACTTTCGCACTATTTCCAACTTGTATATACTATTCGTACAAAAATAGTTGGAGAAAGGTTTTTTACTTATTTCAACGGAAAATTCATTCTTACAATGCGTACAACTACTGATTTATCTAATGACAAGCCGTGACTAGTAGACTCCAAACCATATGAAGTGTGAAACATTTATTCACCTCATTCAATGGATCGATTGAAGTTTGACATTAACATAGTTGGATCTCGGCTCAGTGATTTATAGGTCAGGAGTTTGCACACGAACAGGAAGGTCTTGTGTTCGAGTTCTGAATATAAGGTCGTGGAAGTGCACTCCTGAAAAGTCCCATACTAGAACGAAACGACCATCCAGTGCCTCCAGTTTTTCAATGGTGGTCTTACTTAAATTAGTTCATGATTTCAATGAAATTCAGCAATCTCCTTATTCCTCTACTGGAACAAATCCCCATGCTAACAATTAAATTTTAGTTTATTCCTTTGACTACTTACTTTTGTTTCAGTACAGTTTTTATTTTGTAAATAATGCTTCAACTCATCATGATTTTAAGGACTTTCATTTGGAAAATTACAGTACCAAGATATTATGTAATGTGACATTGATTCTTTTGTTAACCAAATAAAAGCAAAAAATATAGAGTTCACATCGTCCGAGGAACTTATACGTTTGTTCAAGTAAAACGCAGAAATATGATATTAATCATTTTTTGAACATATATTACGTCCAAATGTCTAACAAGATTAAGGAATTCACTTGGTATTGTTGACTTAAATCTTCCCATTGATGTTTAGAACTGCAACTGATCAGTCTGTGCATCCTGTACAGATTGTCTTGATATTGCCATAAATCACAAACATTATAAAAAGAGATGGATGGTGGTTAGCAATGGGATCCAGGACACTCGTTTCGTCATATTTGGTACTCGTCAGCTGGATATGCTTACATCCCAGAGCTGGTATTCGCTTGGTGATTCGAACCCATTATTTTTAGCTTTAAATGCCATTACGTTATCTACTTAACTACTGAGTCCTGATAGCCACTCTTGTGCAACGGTGTTCTTGTTTGATAAACAAGAGGTAACATTTTGTCCCTCAGCACTTTCTTCAACCTTAGTGGTTAACAAAAACAAAGTCCTTAATGGAGATGACGATTCATATTCATTTCAATGGAAGAGTGTTCCACTCAATTAAAAACAGCTGCTAATAATTTTCAGTGTGCCAAATTTCTTCAAAATGATATATCCTGGTAGTTATAATCTTAGAACCGGTTTGTAAAAATGGAATTTTACAGTTCTCAAATTCAGCATTTCTTTGTCTAAATGTTTTTGTTTCACTACGAAAATGTTAATTTTCACTTAAATATACATTCATTTTCGTTGGATATTTGACTCTAAAACTAACCGTAAATTTTAGGTGAAATAGTCAAGTTATTATTCCATACGAATTTACAATTAAATTAAAAACCTATTCTTGCTGCTGAATATTCAATCTTTACTCTCAATGTTGTCCAGTCTATATGTTTACATATGCTATTAGATTTTCAAACACTTAGTGACAAACTACGTAGAAACTGGCAAATATGAATTTCGGTTTAAGTTACCATAGAATATCAGCACAATGATATAAATTTATAAAGATAAATGTCACAGTGATAGACGTAATAGCAGTATCTGTGGTAGTAGAAAGCATTTAGAAATATGATTCGTGAAGAAAGAATGAATTTACGAAATAAAAACTTTAGGATTTAAGAGAAAACAAAGAATGAATGAATTCCAACTTATTCTAGACTATACAAAGTTATACAAAGTCTCCAACCATTGGTTACGATAATCTTATGAATTCTAAACAGATATTCTACACCCCGGGTGGTGCGGGGTCGTGGATGCGCACTGCTGAGGAGTCCCATACTAGGACAAAACGGCCGTCCAGTGCTTTCAGGTTTTCAATGGTGGTCTAGCTTCAACTGACTCATGATTTCAATCTGTGAAAATTTCTAAATGAATCCAGACAAAAATTAATGATTTCATTGACTTTTGTTAAAATTTGTATTGACCAAACTTAATTGTTCAACTCCTTATACCATAAAAGAAAGCAAATGAAAAATATTCAATGAGACAAAAAGTTTTTTTTCCATATTTTATTTATTTTTTATAATATACCCTTGTGGGATAGAGTAATTTTACATCGGTTTTCAGGAGAACCGTACACCATTCAGACTTTCACGTCACAACATAAACAGTACAGCTCAATACCACTTGCAGGAGAGCCAGGCACTATCCAGGCTTAAATTTTATAGCCCGAGCAGTATAGGTCTATCCCGCTTCACAGGAGAACCAGACACCATTTAGGCTTTAAGCTTACAATCTGAATAGTACAGCTGAATTCTGTGGTGCTACCACATAGGAAAAGAGGAAGACCAAAGAACACATTACGCCGGGAAATGGAAATAGATATGAAAAAAATGAACAAGAATTGGATAGAACTAGAAAAGAAGGCCCAGGACAAAGTGGGTTGGAGATCGCTGATCGGTGACCTATGCTCCATTGGGAGTAACAGGCGTAAGTACGTAAGTAAACCACATAGGTATCCAGCCCCCTAGTGGACCAGTTAATTCAAAGAAGTAATTGTATAAAATAGTTAATATTTCATCTTTAAGTTCACTCCAGAGTCTTAGGTTGAACATTCATGTTGGTTGTTTATCAATTTTGATAAATAAAAACAGAATGATTTCTCAAATCTTGTAATTTAAATAATTTTCTTTCTATTTTTATTCTATATCTATTTTAGGTAACAGTGAAACCTCCACCTAATGCAGAATTATTACCATTTAAAGAGAAAATGCGTTTATTTGCTCAACAAATTGGTGAAGATCCACCAAAAGAGCGTATTAAAGCATCTAGTCGTCAAAGAGAATTACAATCAGTAAATAATTTACATTAATCTAATAATCATTATTATGATTGTTTGTTTGTTTGTTTTTTTTATTTATTTTCATGCGATTCATTTTCATTCATTTAGATTTTCTTGAAATTACTGAAGTGTTTGTAGAACTTTTAATGTTCAGTTCTTCTATTTTGTCTTACTCCCCCCCTCCAATCACACATACACACACACCACCACCACCTTTCTCTATGCCTTTAAATGCATATCAATCAATGTAGTTGCTATAATGAAAACCCATACTGTGTAACTTTTTAAAATATATATATATATATATATATATTACCGATAATAATCACTTAATTAAATTTACCTTCTGTAACTATCATATTAATTATTATTACTATTACTATTGTTACAACTATATGCTCATGCATTTCGTTGAATAATAAATACCACATTGTTTTTTTTTACTACTATCATTATTGTTACTACTCGTGTTTCTGTTAATATTCATTCCTCGAATGATTTGCATTCCCGCCCTTTTTTTAAAAAAAACAAAACAATAAACAAAGACTTATTTATCTTTCCCATAAGATCTTATACCCTTACTCCATTTTTTTTTCTTGAAAAAACATCATCTCATATAATTTTCTAATTCAATATCTTTTATTGTTGATCACACCACAAACAACCTCAATTTATAGAATGAGCTCGTTGTCATTTGAACAACAACAGCAACAACAACAAAATAATAATAATAATTTTTCTTTCTTCTTATTATTAAAGATTATAAAATATGACTTATCAGTGGCCTTGAAATAGAAATCTGATTGTGAATGAGTCTTATGAAAATACAGCAGCAATTATTTTATGATTCCTCTTGTTTTTGTTGTTGTCTCCCCCTCCCTCCCTCTCTCTTTCTTCAACTATTTGACCTTGGGTTGACAAGGTCAATGATTTGATTAATTTAAACAATTTCATATATCTATATATATAACTATTTGATGAGAGAGGATGGTTCAATCTTTTTTTTGGATCCGTTTTTATTCCTTCTACAGAAAAACAAATTTATTATTATTATTATTTTTTGGCTTTTGTTTCATAAGTACAATCTATCTTAATGGTATATTAATGATCAAACTTAATTCTAAATTATTATATGTACGAATTGAACATTTTTGTATGATTTTTTTTGTAATAAAAAGAAAAAAAACGTTTTGTGTGGGTATATTGATTTTGATGGGGCAGATAGATGGATGGATGGATGAATAGTTAGATACGTTTAAGATTGATAAAAATTTGGGTAATAACCATTTGTAATGAATATCCGTTTTTCAATTTGTTTCCATCTGTCTTCTTGTTTTTATATTAAAGATAATCATTCAAATAAAATGAAATCATTGTAAATGTAATTACGTTTTGTTTTTATACATATGGTTTTATTTAACAAAACTCCACCTGGAGTCCCTCCGAGGGCTACTGCCGGCCTCAAACCCGGATAAAGGAGGAGGGTTGGGCATGAGGTTAGCGACCTCATCCCGTAGTAAACTAACTCGCTAAAAAAACGCTAACCATAAAAAATTATTTGAACCTTTTAAACTCTGCCCTGGGAGTCATAAGGTCTTCATTTAAAAGAACTATGACGCCTCATGATGAAAGCCGAGTTCTTTCAGAAGTCATGAGGCAGATGCCCCTTCTCACAACCAGAGCAACCATTGATTTAGGTACATGGAGTAAGTTCATTTAACAACGGTTCATATTTGTTTGCAAGAGGATTTTTTCTAAGGTCTCGTTATTTTATGGAGGCTAATAGTTTGGATATAGGATAAAACATTAAAGTGGAAGAATTTATTTGTAAAATCTCAATGAAAGAATTTTAAGTAAATCCCAACATTTCGCCTGGCAATCTGGTTCAAGCATTTTTCAAGAAAAATATAATCAAACCAACAAAATGATCGAATTTACTTCAAATTCTTTCGCTGAGATTTTACAAATACATTCTTTCTCTTTAATGTCCTCATATTAACTCGGCGCCCAAATATTATGAAACTGTTCGTTCAAATTTAGACAAAAGTTCTTATTTATAGGGTAAAATAGTTTTAATGTACTAGGAGATGCTTGTAAGTTTTGATTTCCATAACATTGAACACCATAACCTTCAACTATTATTCTTAGTTCTAACTCATTTATAGAAGAGATCAAGGAAATAGAAATCGCATTAACATATGCAGAAGTGAAGAATATTTTGCTATGTGAAGAATGAGTCACAATTTGAATCTTGTTATCAATATCAATATAACGATCTAAGTACATCTACCGAACAAGTTCCAACTTGAACTAAAAATATGTCCTGAATTCTACTTTTTAGCCACTATCCTATTTTTCATTAAAAAAGCAGTTATTTTTTTGTCTCTTTAGAAAATACATTTTTGCCACATTTTAACATAAGCTCAATCCGGTGGGTATTGAATACTTTCTCAAACTAGTTTTACGACTTTGTAAGAAAATTACAAATCTTAACTCCTGCAGAGAGTAATTATACTGTCACTCAATCGATGTTAGAATGTAATGAACGAACAAGTTAGGTGGGGAAGACCAATTTATTACATAATGCAAAATTACAGAATATCTTTTGTAGAACCAGGACGCGCGTTTCGTCCTATTTGGGATTCCACTGCTAGCCACTATCCATCATTGCTTACAAATAGCATGTGAATTAAGGTAATATCGAGGCATACGGACAGTATGCACATATGCCAATAACAGACTGATCAATTGCAGTGTTAAACCTCAATGGGAAGTTACAAGTCAAACAATACCAAGTGAATTCAAATTCACTCCATTGCACAAACAAGTGGCTATCAGGACTCGGTAGTTGAGTGGATAATCCGATGGCGTTTGAAGAGAACGGATGTGAGGTTGAGTCACAGAGTGAACATCAACTCTGAGAGGCAGGTACATCCATCGGACGAGTCCCAAATAGGACGAAACGCGCGTCAAACTAGATTCCACTGCTAGCGACTATCGATCATTGCTTACAAATAGCTTGTGAATTAAGGCAATATCGAGGCAATAGGCACAGTATGTACATAATGCCAATAAGAGACTGATCAATTGCAGTCTTAACCCTCAATGGGAAGATACAAGCCGAACAATACCAAGTGAGTATCTTTGTAAAATACGAAAACCATACAATAATTACTTCATTTGCTCATCTTCCATCAATTGTCTCTTACAAACTTCATTGTGTTTTTTTCGTTCCCGTAGTTATTACAATTACTCTTTCCCTATATTTCTATTCTCTTCAATTCCAAACTTTTCAACTGTTTACTGCCAGATATTCCACATCTGATTGCTATTACATACTACTTATATCGACAGACATTATAGTTTTAGTAAAGGTTAATTTTTGAATTAATATCAATCTAAGAGAATGTGTTAAAACTTTCTTTAATTCTTATTAGATCAAATTCAATGATAATCCAGTAATAACTATTGAAGTGAGTGCATGTTTCAATAAGCGATTATAATAAGTTAAAATTTAGATTACAATCAACCAATAAAATTGGATGAGACGGGATCTTTCATTATTGTAGAGTGGATTCTGTTATATTTACTTAATGCTTAGTTGGGTTCTATTGTATATGAAGATTTGAAAGCTACTCCATAGTTAATCGTCATATATATTTAGATGGGATTCAGATGGCTCAAGCTATTTCAATTGGCCTCCCCTGTCGTGCAAACAACACGATATGCTTATTATTATACTATGAATGAACCTTATGTTACCAGAAGAATTACTAAGCATATATGTATATACATAAATGGAAAATCTGGTTTGTCCCCTTTTTGACATTGTTATAATTCTAATCCTTTATTCAATCTACTTAATGTTATTTTCCTTCCATTTATTAGTATTAATCAATTATAAACAACTTATATTAGATTTATGCCACAAATGTATTCGATTTATTATTTATCATACACATAATAGTCATTTATTCTGTATACACATAACCGAATGAATGTTTATATTACTGGATAGTGAAATGTACTTTTCTGAACTTCTTGGTGTTCTGATCTGTACAATAATAATGGTTAGCTTATTGTTTGAGCTATCGATCATTATTTCATTGTATAAGCATAAAATCACAACAGTTTCTAAAAGATATGTAATCTGGCTATGTGTATTTCGGAGGGGAGGGAGGTGATTAATCCCATTTGATACTCTTAGGTATTATGCATTTATGAAAACTTATTGGATTGAACTTATGACCTTATCTATCAAGTGAGTATAATATGATTAGTCAATAAAATAAGAATTCCTTTGTACATTTTTCTCAATGTAAATGATTTTCAAATCGGAGTGATACCAGTATATGAATTGAAGTAGTGTATAAGTCTATTGATGAGATAACCCTAGGTTCTCAGAGAAAGTATTTCATGATAAGTAAGGTTTCTACTAGATTTCATATAGAGACTTTCAACTAAAATACTTACTTACTTACGCCTGTTACTCCTAGTGAAGAAGCATAGGCCGTTCACCAGCATTCTCCATCCAACCCTGTCCTGGGCAATCCTTTCTAGCTCCGTCCAGTTGTAATTCATCGTTTTCATATCTGCTTCTATTATCCGACGCAATGTGTTCTTTGGCCTTCCTCTTGTTCGCTTCCCTTCAGGATTCCAAGTTAGGCCTTGCCTCGTGATGCAGTTTGATGATTTGCGTAATGTATGTCCTATCCATTTCCATCGTCTTTTCCTAATTTCTTCTTCAGCTGGAAGTTGGTTTGTTCTCTCCCACAGAAGGCTATTGCTGATGGTATCCGGCCAACGGATGTTGAGTATCTTGCGTAGACAGCTATTTATAAATACTTGTACCTTCTTGATGGTGGTTGTTGTAGTTCTCCAAGTTTCAGCTTCATACAGTAGAACTTTCAACTAAAATAAATGATTGCATATTGTTTGTTTAATCCAATACTGTCTAGTGTACTTTCTGGCAATAAAACCTGAACAATTAGGTAGCTTATGATGAATATTTAACAACTGCATACTACAAATGTACTTCATAACTGATTGTGAAATCATATTTTCTTATCATATTGAGATATTTGTAAATAATAAAAAAATATAATGGAAAGGAGTGACAGTAATTAATATCTGGGACGTTGATAACTTCTTCGATTCTCATTAACAGATATTTGTCATAATACTGTGGCAGACAGAATGGAAGTTGTATTGCTTTTTTTATACATCGTTAGGGTTATCAAAGATTGATCTGATCTAACATCTAATATCAAATGACTAAAGTTATTAGATAAAACATTCCAACCATTTACAGTTGCAGTCAACACTATTTAAACTTTCAAATATAGGCAACCATAGTAACATAACGTTAATCATTCTACTTTGTAACCGTATCCTTCATCAACTCCTCAATAAACATTTTTCATTGAATCAAGCCTAGAATATAAATGTATTCAAGGAAGCATGTTAAAATGTTGCATAATTCAGTCTTCCTTACTGTGATTCTTAATATTAAAGGTTAATATCGCTTCCAGTTGAAAAATTACTCATGCATTAGTATCAGTACATCTTAATGAAATTAAGTATTAAGAGTTCTATGAAGTTCACTTAATAATCATTTTTACTGTGAGAGATTTCAGATATTGTTGAATTTTATAGTTTACTTGCATAGTTTACTAAGCCGTTGAAATCCAGAAAGATCTGAACAGCTGTTTCGTTTTAGGATGGGACTACTTACCGATATACGATGACCTCACTAAGCGGTCACAACTAGATATGTAAATCTCTAAGAAGTCTAAAAGACATGGATTCAATCCGCAATGAAGTTGTAGATTCTATCACTGTTGATTAATCCCATACTACGACAAGATTACTGTTCAATATTTTCTGTTTCTCAATGGTTACCTGATTAAGATCAGTTTGTGATGTAAAGTATAACTAACTATTTCCCCCCCTCTTTATTTTGAATACTTTTTATTGTTTATATTAGTAGTAAAACAACATTATCTTATCAATTACAATGTGATGCTGTAAATGAATTTCGTTGTCATTCGAGATCTTTGTTCATTTACTTTTCATTTGGCTGCTCAAATACACATGCATACATACATACATACATACACATATAGACATGAAATGATTTATAAGCATTCAGTATAATAATAAATTCCTTCCCTTTTACGTTTTACCATAAAGAATAATTCATGAAGGGAGCAGAAACGTTTGAGTAAATTCTATATCTAATCCCTCTTTTTATGTTGTCCTAGCAACAGACATATATATATATATATATATATATATATATGCCTGAATATAAATATTATAACTCCAACGTCTATCGGGAAATAATCAATCAGACATTACAATAAGTTCTACTAATAAAGAGATATTTTTCTTCAGGTAACAATAGTTTTATTACCATGTTATAACATAAATCTCAATTCGACAAACAGATCCAACTTATTTTCATCGTAGATCTCATCATGGATTTCAAATGATATAAGTTTTGAAGAATATGAAAATCCAATGGAAACTTTTGATTGAAACTTTATATTTTCTCGACATATATTCAATTAATATCAGATGGGTTTTGTGGATATTATAGTCCCACAATAGGACGAAATGGCCGTCCAGTGCTTCCAGGTTTTCCATGGTGGTCTAGCTTCAACTGACTCATGATCTTAACCATTGAAATTGCTATAATATCCACAAAACCCATCTGATATTAATTAACATATGCTCACTAGTGACTGACGTCAAGAGGCATTTCTTGGAGTTCTAGTGAGAAGAAGTGACCAGTGGAGTTCAACCAAGTCTGTTATGAGATATCATCTCATTCAAGACAATGATGAATGTTGGCGCATTTTCATGGATTGATTGAAGTTAAACATTAACACCGTTGGATGCCGGCCAGCTCAATGGTCTAGTGCTTACGTGCTCGCGCGCGAAACCGGCAGGTCCTGGATTTGAGTCTCGTAGAGGGCGAGGTCAAGGATTCCCACAACAGAACGAAAAGGCCGTCCAGTGCTTCCAGGTTTCCCATAGTGGTCTAGCTTCAACTGACTCATGATCTTAACCATTGATATATATTCAATTGTTAGATTGAGGTCTGCTTATTCAGGCTTCTCTTTTGTGATTGTCTAATTTAATTCAATACAATATTAAACTGATCTTGTTTGATAAAATATCTAAAAGTATTTTAATCAATGAAAACTTGCATTTGGATTGTATTATTAATTACTGTTAAGTATAATCAAGTGTTGAAAACGTAACATGGTGCATTATTGTACTACATTAGAGATTATGATTAGTTAAATAACCAAGTAGAAATTGACATAATTACTTCATTCTAACCTAAGTCACTACAATTAGAAGTGATATTTGATCCATTCCGAAAGTTCTATTAGTCCTATCTGAGGTCAGATTATAGAGAAACCAATGCTTTATAGTTTTAAAATGAAAGTGAATTATTTTTTGAAGTGTTCAGTCTATTTCAATTCTTTTTCTGTAAGTAATTCTCATATTCTATTAATAAATAATTTCAGATGGGGTTTTGTGGATACTATAGTGATTTCAATAGTTGAGATCATGAGTCAGTTGAAGCTAGACCACCATGGAAAACCTGGAAGCGCTAGACGGACGTTTCGTTCTATTGCAGGACTCCTCAGTAGTGTACATCCACAGTCCTGCCTCGCGAGATTCGAACCGAGGACCTATCAGTTATGCGCGTAAGCGTGCTTCCCGGTTTTCCATTGTGGTCTAGCTTCAATTGACTCATGATCTCAACTATAGAAATTAATAAATAATTGTTCTCATAATGAATGATGAAGATGGGTTACATTTCAGTCATCTGCACTTTTGGAATTATGTAATACTCTCAATTAAATAATTTAGTTGTAATAATCTGATTGTTATTTTAGACAATAATATAATTAACTACTAATTTATGTTTAATGTATCTATTTAGACAAATGACAAATAACAATTCATATACAAATACAGAACACTCTACATGGAATCCAATAATCCATATTGATAAATATCGTATTATTGAGTAAGTTCACTGTATTTGGTAATCTAGTCAAGATAAGTTCGTAATTTAAAATTGTAAAAATTCTACAATCACCACAAATTCTATATAGTAATAATATCATGTTTAATAGTTGAATTTATGAGTCAATTGAAGCTAGACCATTTTGGAGAACCTAGAAGCACTGGATGGCCGTTTCGTTCTAGTATGGAACTCCTCAGCAGTAAGCATCCACGATCACACTCCGCAAAGATGTTCGTAGAAACAGAAATAAATCAGTTGGGGGTAGAAGCTTTAAGGGGAAAATGAAAGGTGAACAGATGGCTATGAAGGAAGAAGAGTATGAAGAAAGAAACAAAATATAAGACATTAAGACCATGGTAGAAGAAGAGGTTGTACCAGTCTCTTTTGCACACACAATTCTGGTTTTTCCGGATGTATGGCTATTGCTTCGGCAACGCAAAGTAGATGCAGTCTTATCGTCATTGGAAGACTTCTATTTACCTTTTAGATGACTTTGAACGTAGAGTCTGTCTTGATTGAGTGATTTGTGTTCACAAGGTGTTCGATTATTGAACTTCTTATTGAGCCTCTGCCTCCTCTTTATTATCTGTGAATAAAGTATCAATATATTGTTCATATTTTCATTCTGAAAATAACCACTTTTAAAAAAAGAAAAGGGATAAAAAATAAAAATATCATTAGTTGAAATCATGGGTCAGTTGAAGATAAACTACTATGGAAAACCTAGAAGCACTGGACGACCATTTCTTCCTAGCATGGGACTCCTCAGCAGTGCACATCCATGATACCGCCCCTCATTGCAAACTTTCAATCCAGGAACTATCAGTCTCGCGCGCGAGCGCTCAACCACTAGACCACTGAACTGGCCGGCATCCAACGGTGTTAATGATTAACTTCAACCAATCCATGAAAATTCGCAAACGTACATCATTGTCTTCAGTGAGATGATATCTCACAACAGACTTGGTTGAACTCCACTGGTCACTTCTTCTCACTAGAACTCCAGGAAATGCCTCTTGACGTCAGTCATTAGTGAGCAGATGATTATTATCAGAAGGGGTTTTGTGGAAATTGATAGGTCCTTGGTTCGAATCTCACAGGGGTGCGGGATCGTGGATGCGCACTGCTGAGGAGTCCCATACTAGGACGAAACGGCCATCCAATGCTTCCAGGTTTTTCATGTTGATCTAGCTTTAATCGACTCATGAATTCAACTATTAAAATTTACTATAATATCCACAGCAGCCCCTTTGTGATAAAAATGTCACTGTTTAATTCTTTCCCCTCCTTCTTCTTTTTTCTTTTCTTTTTCTCATAGTGATCAACAAATTCCAGATTATGAAAATATATTCATGGCAGCTTATTTAATTGGACAAGAAAATTATTTCGAGAAATTATCATCTCCATCAAACTATGAATTATTAGATACTACTAATGATAATAGTAGTAATAATAAAGATTCTTCTAATGTGGATACACTAATTGGACAATTTCAATCCAAGTCCAATAATAATAATAATAATAATAATAATAATAATAATAATAATGGTAATCATCTCCAATTAATCAATAATAGTCATTTGACCTTAGCAACTATTTGGGAACGTTATTTATTACTTAATAATATCCGTAAACGTTTATTATATAAAAAACAAAATATGACCAATCAAGATAATAATTTGAATGAATCAAAATTAATTCTAAATAATAAACAAGAGAAAATTTCTATTTTATATCCAACAAATAAAACCAGTAATAATCATCATAATAATGAAACATTGAAAATTGATTCATTAAAGAAATGTAAACAATCAGAACTGATATTTAATGAATTATCATTGGATAGATATACACAGAAATGTGTTGAAGTAAGTCGATATATATGTATGTTGAGATTAGATGGTGGTTGAAGGTAGTCGACAGGAAACGCTGAACACGGGTTTCGTGCTGCTTGGCACTCGTCAGCAAGGTATACCTGTAGTCTTGAGGAAACTGGTGCTCCTTGGCGGATTTGATCCTGTGTCACCCAGCTTCACAGTCAGCGACGTTACTACTAAGCTATCCGGACCGCGACCGGACTTGACACACATGACATTGATCACCACCCAGTGATCAATCAATTGTGATATATACATATGTACTTGAATTCACTACTTGTCTTGGAAGTTATATCAGCTTTGGTAAATTGATGCCTAACTAAATCTTGATTGATTTTTGCAAGTATATGTTCATCTACTGCTAACCAATGAATAAGTATAATGAACATTAGTTTGTTCTATTTTATATTGTCATTTTGAAACGTGGTGTTCTAATTTACGACTATGATATACTTTTATAAAAAGTAAAGGATATTTGTAATTCATTAATATGGAATTATAAATTTCTTAAAAGTGATGTTTATATATGTTAGGACCAATAAGTTAAAAATACTGAGGCTGGGTGCATCATGCTAGATAATAATGATAAATCGATTCATAAAATCATAAATCTTCGTCAAGGTAAATAATTAGGAAACTTATTGTCTATCTGAAACTTCTTCATATTTGTTGATTTGGAGTCGTGGGATCGTGGGTGCGCACTGCTGAGGAGTCCCATACTAGGACGAAACGGCCGTCCAGTGCTTCCAGGTTTTCATTAGTGGTCTAGCTTCAACTGACTCATGATTTCAGTCTGTGAAATTTCTAAAACTCTCCACAAAACCCATTCTGATTTGGAATTAATTTGAAAAAGAACTAAAGGTGATGAAAACAAGACAGAAAATCAGAAAGTCATCGATTTTTGGACAGAACTGTTTAAGAAGATATAGACTACTTGTTTTGATTTCACGTTTTATCTTTTCATGTTCTGAAACTTTTAGGTCATATATTCCTGCTTACGTTGTTTTGAAACATGATAATTGTTAAGTGAACAATACATATTCACAAGTTGCTGACTATTTGAACTGTTGTTATATTTCCTTCTCTACAAACTTTAAATATGACATAATTCAGTACATTGACTTGTTTATTACTCAATAGAATCGAGTCTCATTTTAATTCTATGAAACTTAAAAGTCATCAGTAAAAAGATATATAACCTAACTAGGTGGTATGTTTTAGGCTGATAGTACTTACTTTCAGAATAAACTTACATGAAATGAAAGACAAGTAAAAATTAACTGGCAACAAATTACAATATTCTCCTACATTTCACACTCCACAATTATATTAGAAACCATAGATTTACATGAAATTAGATCTATGAATATGTGGATCGGTAAATCAAGAGCAGCTAATTTACAACTGAAGAACATCTGAAACTCAAAACAACTGTCAACCAACACTAAGGTAAGGATTTTCAATACAAATGTCAAGACAGTTCTACTGTATGTGGCGGAAACCTGGAGAACTACGAAAGCAATCACCCAGAAAATACAGGTGTTTATTAACAGCTGTATTCGCAAAACACTTCGGATCCGTTGGCCGGATACTATTAGCAACAACCTACTGTGGAAGAGAAAAAACCAAATTCCCGTGAAGGAAGAAATTAGGAAGAAGAGCTGGAAGTGGATAGGACACACACTGAAGAAAGCACCCAACTGCGTCACAAGACAAGCCCTCACATGGAATCCACAAGGCCAAGGGAGGAGAGGAAGACCAAAGAACACATTACGCCGAGAAATGTAGATAGACATGAGAAAAATGAACAAGAATTGGATAGAACTAGAAAAGATGGCTCAGGTCAGAGTGGGTGGAGAATGCTGGTCGGCGGTCTGTGTTCCATTAGGAGTAACAGGCGTAATTAATTAAGTAAATAAGTAAAATCTATGAATATGTGATTGATATAGTATGACTAGTAAGTCATGAATTAATGTTATATATAGATATCCGATTTCCGTAAACATTTATACCACTAGTCATAATTATTTATTAATTATTATTATTAATCCATTTATTCAATATTAAATCTTTTGGTACAATATAGAATTCTCAGCACAAAGTATTTTAACAAGTTTTCTTTTCTTATTTCTTGATCGATCTTTGGCATAAATATTGTGACATGTACAGTGAAATGTCGAAAACCGTTCACAAACTCACCTGAATAGGCTATGAGTTTAATAGACATAATAATGTGTGTTAAAACAAACATGCGAACAGATAACTTATTGGAATATCCAGGTGACAGGAACAGGTAGCATAAACTTTCAAGCAGGTCTCATTGTTCAGTGTCCCTTTGGTTTCGATGGTTTACCGATTAATATATATATATATATATATAATTCTTCATTATACATATTGTTCATTTAGGGGTTACAACGTATTGATTTAAAATGTGAAAAACTTGAATATATGATGAAATCAATGAAAGATACTCTTACCTTACAAATGATTACTTATCAGAACCATAAAAGTAAGTTAAAGTTCAAATAATTCTAATTTTTCTTCATACTTGATAGAAAGATATAACTGACGCCCACAAATGCCCTGGTATGACCGAGAGTGGTGAGAGTCCGTTCTCCCTCTCGAAATGCTCTCACACAGCCATGCGTATACAGCCTCTGCCAGGGAAGTCATACTCACTGCCTTCTCGTGGCACCGGTGTTGTTTACTGAATTAAGAGGACGAAAAGCGAATGTCCGGCGCTTTAACTGGATCCAAAACCAATGGTGCAGATGGGCTCCAGTATTACAGATTTTTCTGTTCTAGGAAAATAAAAACTATTCAAAAATATATTTGATGTGATATTGAGAGAGACAGAAAACACATTGACTTCAAATAAAGATTTACTTTCAGAAGAGCGTTCGTGCGCGAGACCAAAAGCTATGCTTTAGAATCCCGTAAACGGGATCGTGGATGCACACTGCTGAGGAGTTCCATACTAGGACAAGACGGCCGTCCAGCGCTTCCAGGTTTTCAGTGGTGGTCTAATATCAATCGGTTCATGATTTCGATCTCCACAACCCCATACTGACAATTATAAATATAGTGTATAAATTGTTCATTCAGAACCATTCCCCATAGTATTAGGTGTTATTAAAATGTATCATAGGACCCTTGGTAAATATACATATAAATCAAAATGTTCCATGATGTTTTTACATGTTTTAATCAATAAAGGAACTAAAAATCGAACCAAGTATTTTTCAGGATAATTTTTAGCCTGTAAAATTATAACACCGTCTGCTTTTAGATTTTTTAAAGCTATTTTTGTTGGGACGGTTTCCGAGAACTACGATGGAGCCTCCAAAGAGTTTCTATACAATCAGAACGTGATAGAGCTTTCTAGAATATCAACATGCCAAGCTACCATATGGACAATAACATAACATGCCTCTTTGCGAATCGGCTAAATTATAATGTTGAAATAACAAACGCTAATATCCATAAATACCCATGATTTTCTGTACATTTTGATTCTTAACCAACAAACACTGCTCCAGTTTTCCTCTGTCTTCTGATATGTGACTGTGGGGATTCTATTCGTTCGACTGTCTTAGTTGTATACCGTATTCTGCGTTAATCAAGCAGTGAACATAACACTAGGAACGGGGTGTACTAGTGACAATGCCAATTACCTTTAAACAAGTAGAATCTATGCTTGAACTTCAGGAAAAACAGTCTGAACAGTTTCAAGTGCATATACTGGAGATGCTAACGCAACAAATGAATCTTAGTCACAAAAGGCTTACTGACGATTTATGTAATTATCATACCGATTCCGTCACTAAATCTATCCATGAATCTAATTTGATGGCTTGGCTGATATTACTTTTGAATCCTGGTTCAAGAAACACGAAGATTTGTTCATGGTAGACCTCATGGATCTTGATGACACCGCCAAAGTCAGAATTTTATCATAAGAGCCATAAAGAAACTAGCTGTAGAAAAAGAACCCATCGACATCATTCTTCGAAACACTAGTTCAAGAAATATAGATCTAGTGCATTAACTAACAAAATAATGGTACCTCAGAACCAAGCACGCCTTCTAATGAACTGATACACAATTTTTTTTAGCCCACTTTCATGCATTTATCTTATTTTACAGAAAAACTTGACAATGAAATTATGAAAAAGTGTAAAAATTTTCCAGTGAAGGAGTTTAGAGATATTTCAAAAGAAAATACATTATCTGTAAGTTTATGCATTATTTTCTTTGGTGATCTAGCTTCAATTGACCCATGAATTTAATTATTAAACTTCTACAATCTCCACAAAACCTATCTGATTATAATGATTATGTACTCACTAGTGATTGGCTTCAAGAAGTATTTCCTGGAGTTCTAGTGAGAAGCCGTAACTAGTGGGTTTCAGTCGTGTCTGCTGTGAGATAGTAACTCGCTGAAGACAATGGTGGATGGTGGTGAAATTTCGTGGATTGGTTGAAGTTAGACATCAGTACCGTTGGACGCTAGCTCAGTGATCTAAAGGTTAGGCATTTGCGAGCGAGACCGAAGGTTCTGGGCTCGAGTCACGAGTGCGGGACCGTGGATTCTCACTTCTGAGGAGTCCTACGCTAGGACGAAACGACCGTCTAGTGCTTCTAGGTTTTTCATAGTGGTATAGCTTCAATTGATTCATGAATTCAATTATTAAATCACACATTCTTCTTATATTTTCACCACAATATCAGTAACAAAAATATATTCGAATTTCCTTACTAAAAAACACATGTCCTTGATATAACCTCAGTAAAAGGATATTTAAAACAGTAAAAGAAAACTGAGAATTTCACCACTTAAGGTAGAAGTTGAAGTTTAATAGGGTACTAAAATGTCTTACTAATTAAAACACACTCCTTTTTTATGAAGATCTTACTGCTAACTGACAATAAGTCAATTCATATCATACATAGCAAATAATAGAGGTAATATAAACATTGAATTTATACTGGAAGTTAGTCAAATGAGTACTGCAAGTTATACTGAAGAAATATCACACTGAATTGAAACATAATCTTGTGTTTTATTCTGTCTTAATTGCCCTCAGTCCTCCAATCATAACAATATAAAGTGTAAACGACTGGTAGAAAGTATTATTTCCCTTTGACTCAATTCATCATATGATCATGTATATATAAACATATAAGGCTACAAAGCGGTTCAAATGACTGTAAATAACATGGAAGTTTTCGTTTAATGAGCGTCCATGTTTAGTATCAATGAATCACCGACGTCTACAAGTAGATACCCAGGTATATGAAACAAGCGAAAGAGTAGTATTATAAAATTAATATGGAATTATGTCGGTTCTAAATTTATGATCAGCATGTATAACTAAAATATTCTCGGTATTAAATATTTGTTTTCAACCTCCTTATAATTATGGCGATACGGGAGAGGGAACTGTTTATATATTGGTAAAAGAGTTTTAACTAACAGTAGGTACTGTAAATGAATGTGATACTACGATATGGGTTACTTATATCCACATAGGTGGTCAGGCAGAGAATGTATTTCAGCAGAAGATAGATAAGGAGAGAATGAAAACGAAGCGTAATTGGTATGAAAAGGCATGAACAATGAAATCTGAGACAATGGATTGATATTTGCAATGGAACAGTGAAGTTTGAGACGATGGATTTAAATTTTACAAATTAACGATTTACTATATGGTGGTCATATTTTATTGAGATGTTCTTTAATAACGTGTCAAATACATTCGATTGTCACCACTAGTGTTCTTGTTCACTTCAGTAGGACTTCCCAACTGCTGCCATTTATAGGACAAGACGATAATTAAATCCGTTTTAATACGAATTTGTGAAACCCGTTTCCTGATAGTGATTTGGCCTGCATGACTAAGTAAAGTATAAGTATGCTTAAAATGGATGTTCACGTACACCACTAGTTTAGCTATGAACTCTGAGACGGACGTATTTTAAATGTTAGGGCAATATAATCTAATATTATCCTCAACATTTTCATCTCCATAAAGTGTACTGTACTTAGCATGTTCGACTATTTTTACTTTCGTTTAGTGAGTGCTGGATTTAAATTGCGTTTTTTTTTTAATTAAAGATTTCAAGTTCTGACTTTCTTCGTAATTTTTCTCTGTTTCATCCGATTTCTTGAACTGAACTACACTGTACATATCAGTAGAAGACAGTGATAAATAACTTCAACAGTTTGAAATGAAGTCGGTAATGAAAATTTCAGTTCAGTATACACCAGTCATCAGATAAATGATCAAAACTATTAGTTACGACATAGTGAATACTGAAGATGTTACTAATAATCCCTAGTCTACCATCCATCATTTGGTTCTTACATTTATTTATTATTACAGAGAATTTGTAAGATTATTTTAAAAAAATATATTTATCATTGGGTGTTGTAAATTTGCATAATTAACACATCTACTATTTCGTTTTCTTAACAACTTCTAGTCGGATATAACAAAGCAATTCACAAATTCATTGAAAACAATCATGGGACGTAAACGATATTTTCAAGTAAGTTAAAAACTACAAAAATTACAATTTAACTTCTTATCTTTTGATATTTAACAATTGAAAGTAAATTTAATGGTTGAATTCATGAGTCAATTGAAGTTAGATCATCATGAAAAACCTGGATGCACTCGACAGCTTTTGCGTCCCTCAGCAGTTCGCATCCACGATCCTGTTGGGGACGATAGATATCCAAAACTCATATTTTGTGTTTTCATCTTATCGATTAACTTATCGATTAAATGTTTAAATATTTGCATGGGGGTCAATTGATGAACTTATCGATTAAATGTGCAAATAGGTCAATTGATGAACTATCGATTAAATGTTAAATAGCGGTCAATTGATGAACTCATTGATTAATGTTTAAAAATTTTCCATGAAAATATCGATTGTAAATATTTGTATAAATACGCTTGATTGTGTGCTTGACCCGACTTGTAATCTGCTGTTTGTCTGTAGAATACACTTTATATACCTGGCCCAGACCTCGATCGAGTTAGCAGAGCCGAGGACAGCGAACCAGAATAGCTATCGAGTCTCTGAATCATTGATCCTTCGTTTCGTTCAAGTAAGACGAATTAGCAGTAGCATTCAAGCATAACGAATCATAACAGATCCTGCCTCGCGAGATCCAAACCCAAGACCTATCAGTCTCGTGCGTGAGCGCTTAACCTCTACGCCACTGAGCCTGCATCTAACGCTGAAAGAAACAATTTAAATAACTCCAACGTTTCGTTCAGCTTAAATTTCAATCGCTGAAATTATTTCAAATATAATTGTCACATATAATGACTTCTCCATACTCGGCGCCCGATCTCTGTTAAACTATCTTAACGAATATTCATATACATAATTATAATGATTATTTTTAGCTGAGTCTATCATGGAATATAATGATAGGTTTATATTCAATAAGGCCCTCTCATATTCGTGTTGGGGAGATCCAATAAAATTCCTCAAAATTGGCCAATAGGGGCTCTGAAAACATTGAGAAACCCATTTTTCAATCACAATTTAATAATAGTTTTCCCGTAATCACCTAGAAAGTGACAAGTCACATGTCACATTTCTGATTGAATGATTAATTATAATGCTACTATGTTTAGGAGCGTTCCAGAAATTTCCAGAAGCCCAAGGCCATCTAAAATACTAGAAATACCCTAGATTTCCTGTACATAAACGGACTTCGGAGTAAAGCGTTTCTTCCATATTTTGCGCATTTTCTCTCGTGTTCAAGTTGCTGTGTAGATTTAGCCTGGGATTACTAAAAAGCTCAGTTAACCGAATCTAGAGTGTTTCGCTTTTGAATATGTGTGAGCTAATAATATCTCATTTATACAACCGAAATATAACCCAGTAAAATTCCTGAGTGGATAGCTACGATTCTAAGGATGTATATTCACTGAGATAACACACAAATAAATAAATAATATGAGAACTGTCTACCCAATCGAAGTATTTTAAGTCTGTGTGATTTATAGGAATGTCAGAGGAAAACATATTGTCCGTAATCATACTCAAGACTACTATTTAGCAAAGAACTATCACTAACTAGATACAGTTTTAACCAATCTGAAAATATAACAGAAATATGATTAAATGCTTTGTGCTGATTGATTTAATAGGACTCTAAATTTTCCAATGAGATTATTTAGAACAAGTAGCAATATGAACTAAAACTTGAAACTCAATGACAGACTTGATAAGCAAAGACGGATAGTGGCTAACAGTGGAATCCAGGACGCGCACTTTGTCCTATTTAAGACTCGTCGGCTGGATGTACCTGCATCTCAGAGTTGATGTTCACTCTGGAACTCGAACCCAGTATCTCAATGGGAAGATACAACCAAAACAATACCAAGTGAATTTTAATTCATTCCAGTGCACAAGCAAGTGGCTATCAGGACTCAGCAGTTGAGTGGATAACGCGATGGCGCTCGAAGCGAACGGTACTGTGTTCGAGTCCCAGAGTTAACATCAACTGTGAGATACAGGTACATCCAGCTGAAGAGTCCCAAATAGGACGAGACGCGCGCCCTGGATTCCACTACTAGCCACTATCCATCTTTGCTTATAAGACCTTGTGAATTAAGGCAATATCGAGGTATATGCCCAGTATGCACATATGCCAATAACAGACTGATCAACTGCAGTCTTGAACCTCAATGGGAAGATACAAGTCAAACAGTACCAAGTGAATAGTCATATACTGTTTCAAAATCATTTTTGTCAATTTCATTTGCGAAATAAACTTTTTGATTATTTTCAATTTGATTTAGATTATTAAAACTTCTCATTTGGAGAATCTTTACAATCAAATGAATGTAAGCCAATGTTTAGCTCAAACTACTTTCAAACAATGGAAAAAGCTTAAAGAAGAAAAACATCAAATACAACTACACTCAGAATGTATTCGTTTAAATAAGGCCAATAAAATGCATCATAACTTATGGAAATATGATATACCTGATATATTGAAGGTAATTCATTCCAATAATCTTTAATTATTTCATTAGTTTAACACTCACCTATCAACTATACTTCATTCGTATAAGAATTAATGGTAAATACGATTCAGCTGTTCATGTTGATGTTCATAGAGCGATGTTCAAACAACCAACGTTCTTGTTTTAAAACATTAAACCACCAATTCACATTTAAACACTGGTTGATTTGTAATTAATTGTAGCTGTAAATACTTACGCCTGTTACTCCCAGTGGAGCATAGGTCGCCAACAAACATTCTCCAACGCGACCTAAGGTATTTAGATACAAAATTACAGAGTATCTTAGTAAAATCTGAGAATCATACATTAAACTCCTCATTTGCAAAAAGTCGATCAATCGTCTCAGACTTCATTGTTCTTTTGTTTCCACACCAATCATTCTCTGTTCTCGTTTTTTGATCTTCTTAACCTTCTGCCACTAGGCATTTCACTTTCATTTATGTTATATACTACTCATATCTGTCAACATCAGCAGCATACACCACACTGTATCTGAAAATTAAATTCATTTCAGATAACTTCAACCTTCATGTAAATTCCAGTTTCAGTTCAAGTTAATTAGCCCAATGGTAACGTCTCCGACTGTGAAGTTGGGTGACACGAGATCGAATCCGCCAGGGAGCACCAGTGTCCTCAAGATTACAGGTACACCTTGTTGACGAGTGCCAAGTAGCATGAAACCCGGGTCCAGCGTTTCCTGCCGACTACCTCCAACCACCATCGAATCTCAACATAGTACACGCAATGTCGAGTTACCTAGACTAGTGGTCACATTGCAACTTAGTCGATAGTATTCGATTTGCACTAAGAAGGACTTAACACACATGACATTGATCACAACGTAGTGATCAATCAATTGTGATTAACTTTGATTTATCATTCTTAAACTAAAAAAAGTATGCTTGTAATCCTCATTTAAAATATACATTTTCTTGCACTATTAGAGAATTGAACTTGAAATAAATGACTTTGAGAATGCTATGAAAAATATTGATAAAAGATTAAAAACTGATAGTGGAAATTTCAAAATAACAGATGTAAGTCTATGCTTTTATTTGATATTGCCTCCATCCTTTTTTGTTTATCATTGAATTTTGGCGGGTTATTTAATATAAAAATACTACTTATATTGAAAAAGTCTGATGTAAATCATCAATCAGTTGGACATAAATATAAAGTATGAGTTATTTGTATCACAAAGAGTTTTGTGAATATTATAGAAATTTTAATAGTTAAGATGATGAGTCAATTGAAGCTAGACCACCATGGAAAATCTAGAAGCATTGGACAGCCGTTTCGTCCTGTTATGGGACTCCTCGGCAGTGCACATTCACGATCCCGCGCACCCCACGCGAGACTCGAACCCAGGACCCATCAATCACACGCGCGATTGCTTAACCTGTAGACCACTGAACCGGCGTTCAAAGGTGTTATTGTCTAACTTCAACCAACGACAAAATTCGGCGACACATCCACAACGGTCTTCAGTGAGTTACTATCTCACAACAGTTATTTGTTGAATAGTTTTCGCTTTTGAATCATTAGAGAAATGAAAACATATCCACTGTATTATCTACAATTATGACTGGAATAAATGATAGAACCTTATACTCTTAGTGTGAAGATCAAAAGTTATAAGTTTAGATCAAGAAACCATAACTGTATTGCGATAGGAACTTAATTTTCATTGCATGTTGACATATCAACTAGAGAACTATTGAATTTATCACAGAGCAGTAAGTAGTTATTCTTTTAGAGACTTCTCAAGAGTGTATACTAATGACTTTCATTCATTGAGTGTTTAGAATTATCATGATCTTTGAGAAAGCTAAATGTTCGATGTTCTTTTATGTGTGAGTTTGCGAATAGACACAGTTGAGAAGTCTTAAACATGAATAGTAAATTACACAGAAGTTTATCCTAGTTCATGACTGAAACTGTCTTCATTCTACAAGAATGATTTGACATATTTAGAATGTGGTTAGTAGAATTATCCCAAACGTTCGTTTCTTTTTCTATTTGAAATTGATCAGTTTGATACACATGCTTTCTAAAGTTGATAATTACACTGAAATTCACATATTGATGCTACATTCCAAATGTCTAGAAACTTTCAACTTAAGACAATATAAAGACACCCTCTCAGAAAGTTTATATACTTAATTAGATTGATCATATGTATTCTTGAATATTACAATCAATTATGAAAGTGTTTGTTGAAAAGTGCCTATTATAAATGTATCTAGATTTACTTTTATCAAATACTACCACACTTGGTATTGTTTGGCTTGTATCTTCCCATTGAGGTTTAACACTGCAATTGATCAATGTGTTGTTGGCATATGTACATACTGTGCTTATTGCCTCGATATTACCTTAATTCACAAGGTATTTGTAAACAATGATGGATAGTGGCTAGCAGTGGAATCCAGTTTGACTCGCGTTTCGTCCTATTTGGGAACGATTCCACTGCTATCCGCTATCCATCATTGCTTACAAATACTATCACAGTTTGATAAATGAATAGTTCAAATCAATAAAAGAAATAACAATTTGTGTAACTAACCAAAAATTTCCCATTTACTGAAACATCTTCTGTTCCTAATTTATTCACTCTTTAAATTCAATGATTTCACTGTTTGAACTTAAATGTTTTAAAACCAAAATTGTTCAACTTACAATATGTAAATCCATTTGAATTGTGAATCTTTTTCAATCATTTTAAAAAAGGTTATTGTTATCCTTTTCAGATTTTAGAAATATTTACCGGTTGGTATTTAGATATCAATTTATTTATTGTATTGGCTGCTTTAGCTGAAAGATTTGACGGTTTAGAGTAAGTTTTATTATTAACCATTATGTTTAGTGAAATCCTCTTCATTTGTAAGTGGTACATTTACAACTTTATCATAGGTCAAACCTAAGACCAGTATTCCATGAAAATATTCCAAATTCAGTCAGTTTTGAATAGAGTAACATAAGTGGGCAATACTGAGTAATCGAAATACTACGATGGTATGTGATTATTCATCTTGATAAATCTTGCGGATTGAACGCTATATTCGTCTCCTAAGCTATTCTGTAATCCTCAAGCTAGAACTATACAGTGACCTGAACATGAGAGAAAAAACTCAAAATATGAGAGAAGTAGTTTACTCCAAGGTTCGTTCTAATACAGAAAATACAGGGTTTTTATAATATTCTAAATGTCCTTGGGTTACTAGAAGACTCTGGAATGCTACTAAACATAGTAGCAGTTTAGCAGCCAACCAATCAGAGCCTCTGCATGTGACGTTTCGCTTCCTTGATATTTTTGGCTAAGGCTCCAAGTGAACAGTGATTAGATGAAACGCCTCTTAGTGTTTCCTGATGCTTGCTTGTCTTTTGCAAGCAATCTTCTGGATCACCTCAACACATCTGAAATTAAGTTTTGACATATCTAATCTAAAATTAAACCAATTTACATAAAGCTCCTTCAATTGGAGTATAATTGTTTAAGAAATTATGTTTTGTGATAAAGGCAACAGGCGGAAAGTATTATTACCTGCCTTAATGAGATGATAAAGATTTGTACTTCACGTGAATGATTCAGGTGAAGTTTAGTTCGCTGAGCTGGATGGTTATGTCATGGATCTTTCATTATTCTTCTGAATAACAACATCAATACAAATTTCAGGTAGAAGTGAAGTATTCGAATTTCTCTACTTATTTCAGAATTAATTTGATTGAAAATGACTAGAGAATGAATATGTTCTTCACCTTGATCAAACAGAGTTATATTTAGTACATTTGAACTTCTGATGGAGTTTTGTTCTCTGAGCTGGATGGTTTGGTCGTGGAGCTTTCATCGTTCTTCTGAACGACATCATCCGCAGCACAAACTTCAGATAGAAGTGAAGTATTCAAATTTCTCCATATGTGTTTCACAGCTTGTTCTGCACACCTTGACGTTAATTGGTTCGTATTGACCTTAAATTTGACATTGTTTACTTCTTTGTTTTGGTTGTGTCTTCCATTGGTTTGATTTTTGTCCCTATATTTGGAATTTGGAATTTGAACTTCTTATTTCGACACTTAGAAAAAGGTAAATAAAATGAAGAAGGCAATTTCTTCTCAGTTCGTTTCTCATCATCAAGCTATATTAATATCTAATAATAAAATATGAAGTCAATACAAGCTAATTGATAATGTATCAAATCATCATCTGTGTTTAACTTATCAAAGAACAATTAAATTTGATTATTTCATACATAATCATTTGATCGATGCACGACGTTATTTAGACACAGATGAATCATCTTAAGTGATCAAATGGATCCTACCAAATGTTCCATACGGTTTATGCAAACATCTTTACATGGGGTTGAAGTAACCCGTATCCATTTTAACAAACTAGATATTTGTATTCTTAGAATACTTGTACAGCCGTTCACTTTACCTTGGATACTGATATAGCCAGTACCAGAGTGAATTTCAAATATCTTGTTGTTCATTATCTTCTATTTTATTTAGGAGACTTCCAAAAAGTTTTGTTTCATTAAAAAATTTGATAAACCGACTGTAATTAAGTTAATGTGGTTATATTTAGTTCTCGTCAAAAAAGAAATCTACATTGGTTAAAGTACAACTTAAAAATTGAGAACCTTAGATAGATATTTCATTCTCACGTGGAACTAATTAGCAATCTTTACATATTATATTCTAAAAGTTGAGCCCATAACCATTATGCTCCACAACCAATGAGTTATAATCCAATAATTAACAATCCTAACTTCAGTGCATTTCTATAGGCTTCTGATAATTTGAAGGTATTTAGTGAACATTTTTGTTTATTTATTTATCTTAAGATAGATATTGGTACAAGGAGGCACCAAATACATATGCACCACACAAATCTCATTTGATATGTGTGAGGGCTGTGATACTGCCCGGGTGCCCAAACCGGAGCAGGTGGTTTTCTTAGGGGGCCACACCCGGAGCCTTCGACCTGAATGTCTGATCCACAGGGCAGTGGGGCAATGTAAGGAGATGCAGTCCTATGGTAGACGGTTACCAACGATTGGTTCATACGCCATTTGTTCCCTCAGGATACTAAAACCCATGTACACCATTGGTTTGGAATCAAGGTTTTCCAACTCCCCTAGGTGGACTCTCCATGTCCACCAACCCGGTTAAAGTGCCGGACATTCGCTTTTCGTCCTCTCAATTTCGTAAACAACACCCCGCCATGAGAAGGCACTGAGTAGGACTTCCCTGGCAGAGGCTATATAGGTGTGGCCATGTGAGAGCATATATATATATAGTTTCAAAAGTCTACATAAAATGTGATTGTAAAGATGCTTAATTGCATACATATATTTGACCTACTTTTCTAGTCGTTAAATAAAACATATCTGCATATTATCAGAAAGTGGGTTTTGTGGAGATTGTAGTAATTGAATAGTTGAATTCATGAGTCAATTAAAGCTAGACCACCACGGAAAACCTGGAAGCACTGGACGACCGATTCGACCTAGTATGGGACTCCTCGCCGTATCTGTACATGATTTTTTTACAAAGTATCAAATATACTTGAAGATTTATTTACAGAAACCCAGTTTATTCCATACACAAATCAATTTGTTGTGAGTAGTAGTAAACCACAAGTTATTTAAGATAATACTGATTAGCTGGTAATTAGTTGGTTACATTATGCGATTTTTATCTCTTATTTTCTAGGTTGATTGTTCCTTACAAAAATTTAGTTATTGAAATGCACATGAATATTATTACGTTTAACATTCATTTATACATCTTATTGTATATCATTGAGCATAATATGAATTAGAATAAGCTCCATAAACAGACAAACAATATTGATTTCAATTACATCTTCATTAGGCTTCATATTAGCATATGGTAATACTTTTGTAGAGTAGATAAACCAATCATCACAATTTATGAGTCAATCTAAGCTAAACCACCATTAAAAACCTGGAAGCCATAACTAGTGAAGTACAATCTGTGTCGGGTAGAGATACGTATCTACTTCAGACAATTGATAAATGGTTGCGAAGATCATAGATCGATTGAAGTTAGTCATTAACATTGGATCCCGGCTCAGTGCTTTAAAGATCAAGCGTTCGCAAGCGAGATGGAAGGTCCTAAATTCTAGTTCCGTATACAGGACCGTATATATGCACTTCTGGAGAGTCCCATACTAGGAAAAAATGGCCGTCCAATGTTTCCAGATTTTCAATTGTGGTTCGGCTTAAATCGACTCATAAACTCAACTATTAAAAATTACTACAATCTCCACGAACACCTATTCTAATTTATGAATCGATAATAACAATGAAGTGAAATGAATACTAAATCACAATAAGTAAAAAAAATACAAATAAGGTGACCGTAGAACATTCTTAAATTATAGTTGATGTCCTTATATCTAACCACATAAGTGGTTGAAAATTCAAGAGAAAACAACACCACTCACGTTATTCATCGATTAGGTTAAGTTGTTTTTCTGTGTTAGCTTGTTCATAATTCAGTTAATCAGCTATAATTTTTGAGGACGATTTTCTTTTTCATCACCCACAGAGGAAAAGATGTGAACTGTAACCTTGATATAGTTTTCACATTTATCATTGGCTTGTTCTTATAGTTCAGTTTACTTGGTGTTCCAGTAGTAGTGATAAGTATGATATGAATGACATAAATAAATATTTCAGTACAGTAAGTATTGGGAGCTTTAAAATGTCTTCAGTACTCAAGAAAATCCATATGACTAATCAGTTCAGAAACTTGAAATAACATTTAGAAAACAAATTTAAACGTTTTTATTATCTTGATTGAACAAATGCATGTTTTCCAGACCTTTCTTGAATTTTATGTCCACATAGCCTTATAAGTAACCTTACTTTCTGCACACGAACTAACCTTGAAATGAAAACCTACAAAATTCTCACCTTTCTAATTTATGTTCGGGCATCCAGGTAAAAAGTCGTCTAAGAACTAGAAAGCGGTTAGAAAGTAGGTGATTAGCCACTCAGGTACCAAATGTATTAATAAGTAGGTCGAAACTTGGTAAAATGAACTTATGAAAACCATAATCATTAACATTAATAAATATATTTAGTGCATAAATTACCAGTTTAATTATATAAGCAGTCAATGGGAGATATGAAAGAGATAAGGAAAAAGAAAAGCAAGCCTATGAACATGCAGTAAAATCGTTCATTCATTTTTCGCATGTCAATAAAAGTACTAGTGTCACTGACTCAGATTACCGTAGCTTCTGATTTATGTGAGAGACAATATCAAACCCATTTGGGATAATATGAAATGTATGGGGTAGAATATTAGAAAATGTTTAGTGTCATATACCCTACAACCACTATCGATCAAGTGTGATAAGCAAAAACTACATATTGGCTTTGTTTGACCCTTTTTCCTGTTGAATCTTACTAGTTACGTTACCTGGTAGTACAGCGATTATAGTCTTCTTCACAGGTATTATCAGTAGGAATTAGCACAAATTTCGACCATCCCCAATTGCAGGATTTCAGAAGTGGAATAAACATAAATTATAAACTCCGTTTGATTTTCATAAATCTCAGTGCTCAAATAAGCATCAAACAAATCAAACATCATCCAAATAGGACGAAACGCACGTCCTGGAGTCCACTGCTAGCCAATATCCATCATTGCTTACAAAAAGCTTGTCAATTAAGTCAATATTGAAGCGATAAGCACAGTATGCACATATACCAATAACAGACTGATCAATTGCAGTCTTAAACCACAATGGGAAGATTCAAGAAAACCAACACCAAGTGAATTCATATATTTATATCCATTTTAGTTAGCACTAATGTTCCATTTAACAAAACTCTCATTTCATTACCTCTGAACATGCAAGTTTCGTGTTTTTTTCTTAAAAAATCTATTCTAGATCCATCCTTGGCAATAATGTGCATAAAATTGGTACACAGTCATTGTGTTTGAAAATAAGGAAAGCAAGAGTAAGTATTGTTTTAAATGTATCATATTTATATTCCCAATCTCATTATTTTGGGGAAGCCGCTATAAAACATTTTGGGGGAAATGGAACAAAAATCCAAAAATTTCCCTAGATCTGAAGAAATCCGAACAGTTTTGAGGAAGATCATTGAACTTTGGGGATAATCCCAAAATACCCCCCCCCCAAAAAAAATTGGGAGATTGGATTTATAAGATACTTTATATTGTAAAAATGAGTGTTACTGATTAAAGCGTTTTTGTAATATGAGTTATTAATGAATCTGCTTAAATAATTATAAAACACAAGTGGGTACAATTGAATATATTTTGGATATAAAATTACAGAATGACTCAGTCAAATTTGAGAATCATACAGTAAATTCATCATTTGCAAAATATTAATCAATTGTCTCAAGTTTGATTGTTCCTTTTGCAGATATCAGTCAGACAGTCGTCTCGTTCTCTTTTCTTTAATCTTCTTAACCTTCTGCCACTAGGTATGGAAGGTTTAATGACTGAGCTTTTATTATCCATCTAAGCAACATAAACATCAGTATTATAAAGTTTAACAAGAAATGACATGATAAAATTTATCAATAACTGATTGACAGTTTGATCTATCGACATAAAATCTGATTATTTTGTTTCCAGTTATAGTGACTCCATTGTTTTAACATTCATTTTGTTTGTGCTATTTTTCTGGCCGACTGGTTGTTGAACACTATTCCTTCTGACTGATAGATTGAGTTTTTATTAAATATGCACATATTTTACCGCTGATCAACCCGAATTCTAAGAAAAACTTCTATATTCTTTACCTTATTTACATCTAAGATTCTAAGTTTTTTCTTAATTGAGTTCTCATCCTTACTTGTTTATATTGTGATATTTGGTCATATTCAACAGCTACTTGCTTTGCATTCAAATAAAGACAAAACTGAAGTCAGTATTTTAGGAGTAGTGTTTGTCCTGATTGTAATCGGTTGTATTTTAGAAGATATTCAGCTGGTTTTCTTTGATTATTGCCGTTTGGACTCAATTAAAATGTTTGTCTGATTTTCCCTACCTTGTGAACTACACTAACTCACAACGATTCCGGTAAACTAGCTAACAATTCTCGTACATATTTCTATATTTGATAAGATAATCCATTTGTTTTTTCGTACAATTAGTTTTTTCACCCAATGAATAAACGTTATTGTATAGGAAAACTCTGAAATTCAGACTATTTAACCATACATATAGGATAACGAACAGAAAATCTAATAGCTTGGAATACTTTTTCATCCTGATATATGAGAAATAATCAACCTTGTCCTCTGAGAGACCAAGGCAATATTAACTTCCACTATCTATATGCAATCAGTAAACATGGAATAGAGTATATCATATTGTCAGTTCACTTACTTCATTGAAAGTCATGGATGTTTTTTTTCGATAAAATTCTAACATCTATGAAATAGGTTAAGATATATTAAACTAAAATTATTTAGCATCATTCGAACCGTTCTAGTTTTAGAATTACACATACTTCTTACAACATATCAGTAGTGACAAAAACATATTTCAATAGTTGAAACCATGAGTCAATTGAAGCCGTGACTAGTGGAGTTCAACAAGGTCTGTTGTGAAATATCAGCTCACTGAAGACAATGGCGTACGATGGCGCAATTTTGTGAATTAGTAGAAGTTAAAAAATTAGCACCGTCGGATGCCTGCCAGCTCAGTAATTTAGTGGTTAGGCGCTCGCGCTCGAGACTGATAGTTCCTGGGTTCGAATCTCGCGGTGGGGGTTGGCGGGATCATGGGTCAGCAATGCTGAGGAGTCCCATACTAGGACAAAACGGCTATCCAGTGCTTCCAAGTCTCCCATGGTGGTCTAGCTTCAATTGACTCATGATCTCAACAAATGAAATTACTACAATCTCCATAAAACCCCTTCTGATAAAAATACATTCATTTATTATTTTTTTACATTTCCATAGGAATTATTCATATTAATCGGTGGATTAGATAGAAAACAATATTTTCAACTATCTTATATTTTTCAACCAATTATCAAATTAAATAGTGATAAAGTAACCAATGATACAACCATAAGTAATAGGGATCTATCTTCAATTGATTCTTATCATAAACCATTCGGACATATTGAAATGAAAGATTTAATGGTCTTCTTTCATGCTGCTAATCTATCACAAATTCATGTACAAGAATTGATTACATATTTAGATAATAAAAACAATGGTACCATTGATTTTGTTACATTTTTAGAATATCTTCCTTTATTTGTTGAATCACATCAACATATTATATATAATCCATATTTAAATAAAAATATATGAAGGGTTCGATGAAGGACTTGTGTGAGTTTAGTTGTCATTGATAGATTGTAGTTAAAGTACCATTGAAAACTATGGGATATCAGATATATGTTTCACTTAATATATATTAATAATTTTCAGCAGTGAATACTAATGATCCATCCAACGATCGAATACAGAATATTTCATGTTTCCTGCTGTAGGGCACTTTATTTTGTTGTTGCCGAAAGAGCTCTCCACTTTAGTGGCCCATTGGTCTGACTCCAAATTAGATCGGAATGAATGTTTGTTATCGCCTATTCTCGTATATAATCATCGACTTAAATCGCGTTAGTCAATAACAGAATTAAATAAGTCAAATAACGAGAATGGACTTTTGAATACATATATTTTGTATATAAAGCGAATGGAATAGAGAGAAGAGAAACGACGCAGAGTGGAAATGGCGAGTAAGCCAACTCCCATTTAACCAAACGTTAATCAATAATTATAGTTACACAAAAATAAGTTACAGACATGTGATGAGTAATGGGATAAGAAGTGTACACTCACCTACAGGCTCAAATAAAAACCGTCAAGATTGATAAGCGAATAAATAACAAGGTCAGAATGTGACTCAAGTAGAATGAATAGAATGGGATGTCCGAAAGCTAGAATAAGATATATGGGCTAACACTACAGTCATTTTGAGACAGTTGGTGGACATTTTGCAAATTAAGCATCTACTTCATGAACGTTAGATTTTATTAAGACGTCCTGTAATTTTGTGTTAAATACATTCAATTGTCCCCACTGGTGTGCTTGTTCACTACATGTCTTCTATAGACACAGTTGTGATTTTCAGTACATTAAGTTTATTGAGTCTATACTCATATATCTTATGTATGTTGTGTAATACAACACAGTTTTATCAAACTTTAATAGTATTCTACCAATAACAAACAAGCTTGATTTGTATGACTTACATTAGCTATCATTCCAGGTTTAAAGAATGTCCGTCTTTATTGATTTGCTCTGTCGGTGTCCTGATTTCATGGAAAATGGTGCGTAGTTTTGAAGGCATTTTTCGCACAATGTGTTTAATAATGATTAACTTCAGCTTATCTGTACTTCTTTGAATAAGCTATAAGTTTTAGGCTTTCAGTCATTCCAAGTTCTCGCAGTGCTAAGTGAAAGTTGTAGAAAAAGATTGAAAGTAAGACATCGATTGCTATTAAAGATCTATCTTAAAAACTTATGCAGTCTGAAATCATCTGTGCAGGGATAGGTGGATTGCATATTATATTAACTTTCATTTCAATTTCCAAGTTTCAGATTACACCCTAGATCCAAGCCTTCACGTGGGAACAATACTTCTGAACTAAGGATACACTGATTAAAATATAGTCTAGTAGCACTGGTTGTGAAATCCTTGTTTTATGGCTATTTTATTTGTTAGTAATCAGGGTTATCCCGTTTTTTGGACTTGCACTGATTAACTTGATTATCAACAAGCTGAATATACTCTTATTGGTTAAAACGATTTTACATGGACAGCCATTTTGAACTCATTATTTTTACGTTTGACTGTTGTTGTTGTTGTATTATCACATTGAATGTATGCTTAAACCCAACTACTTATGATTTATCATAGAACCATACATACTAACATACAGATATTTCTGAATAATCAAGACAGTTTTGTGACTTGAACAGACCTCGGGTGCATTATTCAAATGAACCCAACCGTAATTCTTCTGAGTTAGACAAGTTGTTTCAAATATCTTCAACGAAGTTACCCAAATCCAAACGAAGAATAAAGAGATGATAGTTGATGAGAAGAATATATTTGAAGATAGGCAACGATACCGCAACGTGAGATTTTATCAATGGGGCTAGTTAAAGTGTTAGAAAAGTCTCACCATAAGTCAAGACGTCATATGATGAAGGTAACTGACCAGGTATCTTTATCCGTTACGGTCAATCATAACTAAATAGGTTCAACAAAACCGTTTATTTTAAAGAGTCATTTATCACTACACACTCATCTGTTATGTGGCCAAAGAATTTTTATCTATTTTATGTACACTTAAGTTTCAACTTTCAACAGTTTTTATGAAATGTACTTATATTTGTACAACTCAACAAAAATAGTTTCCAATTTGGGTTGAAAATGCTTTCTAAACACCAATGAATAAACGTTTCTAATCCTCACCCTCCTTTTAGTAGATAGTTTAAAATAGAATATCTAAGACGTCACATCTATATCTGTTATGTCCTTGATCTCTCTACCCACTTTTGGAGCTGAATGTAACTTGTCTAATCTAGATTAAGACCTTAACTTTAAGGCTAGTATGCGTGAGTTCGAAGTGGGGTAGAGAAAAGAAAACTATTCTATCAACTGACAAGCACACGAGTAAGAGAAGACAAATCAACTAGAATACTATTCGATTTATTCCCAATCCCTATTTGGTTCCCGATTTCCGATCAGTGTAAAAAGATGACTAACCCGATCACAACGTACAATAATTAGGAAAATACAATTATGTCCGAAACTGGGGATTAGAATAGAAAATAGGGTACAAAATACTATGTTTAAATTACAATAGCTTTGGAACAAAACGAGCTATGACAATGAATCATACATCAAACGGAAGCTTATTTTATGTAGAATAGACTAAAGACAAAATTCAATGTCATTGTTTTACAAGCTTTGAATTGAATGAAATAACGTACCGCCCTCACTCCCCAAAAAAATAGCTTCCGTAATTTGTCAAAGCATTTTGTTTCTCTGTTCACATCAATATCAAACGAATATAGAATAATATCTCATATAATTTTGAATGTTTAATAATCTCTGTAGAGTGATAAAATCCATTAGTGGTAGCTTGGATACATTCTCATCATACGGTTATTGTTTTGTATTTTTTTTTTGTTTTTATAAAATAAAATGATTTTTATTAGTAACATTAAAATTTAACTTAGCAACAAATTAAAGATAATTATGTTCAGTTTTATTGATTTTCTATAAATTTCATTCCAGGTTAAATATACTTCATAAATAATTGATTATAATGTTGAATTTTGTCAGCTGAAAGTTTGTCTAAACAAAAAGTCTAAAAGATGAAAAATTTGTATTCAATCATTTATTTTTATGAATAAAAAAAGATTATCCGAAGAGGTTTTGTTGAGATTTTTAGTAATTTCAATGGTTGAAATAATGAGACAATTGAAACTAGACCAATATGGAAAACCTGAAAGCACTAGAAGGTCGTTTCGTCCTAGTATGGGACTCCTCGGCAGTGAGCATCCGCGATAGACATGTTAGACATTAACACCGTTGGATGTCGGCTCAGTGGTTTAATCGTTAAGCTCTCGCGCGCGAGACTGGTAGGTCCTTGGTTCGAATCTCGCGGGGGGAGGGGTGGTGGATGCGCACTGTTGAAGAGTCTCACACTTGGATAAAAAATATGATAAGATATGAATATTACTATTTGAATAAGTCAACTGTAATGAATTAATAAGGGATATATGAATGACTAAATTCACAGTAGATAGATGACTATCTATCATATTGAGTGATAATTAATAAGGATGTGTAGAAGTTAGTCTTAAGGTATTGATCTAGATCAGAAAGCTCCCATTTTTATTACGCCTCAAAGCTTTATGACTATGTAGATCCTATCATTATGAACCATGTAACATTGAATCTAGTCATTTTCATGAATTTATAAAGATGCATATTTCAAATGACCAACCTAATGAATGAAGTAACAGCTAGGCGAACCTAAGAACAGATAATTCAGAATAGTCAGAATGTGTGTGCTTCATCAGCAAACCTGATGATAAAGTATAGTGTATATTGTTCCCGTATCCGATTGAAGATTTAGTCCCTCATGAATCTTAAAACTGATTATAATAAAGATAAACCATCAATCATTCATATGACGTAATGAATGCTACCTGTCTAGTGAAATATTCAAAGGTACACTACGAACACAATACCGAATAGTATATATATATCGAGAGAGAGAGAGAGACTGATCAATCGCAGACCCAAAGATTAGTGGGATGATTAAAACAAAAAATACAAAATGGATTAAAACTTCACCTCATTGCATAAGATAATGACTATCAGGACTAAGTAGCTAAGTGGATAACGTGATGACATTTGAAGCGAGTCCAGTTGTGAACATGAACTCTGAGATGCAGGCACATCCAACTGACGAGTCCAAAATAGGGCGAAACGCGTGCCCTGAATTCCAGTGCTAACCACCAGCCATATTTGCTTATAATGGCTGTGACTTAGTTTACTATCCTAGTTTATTTAATTTGTTTTAACTAGTTCAAAGTTTTTATGCCTGCTGTTTGCCGAACATGTCATAATCTCCAAGAAGCTATAACCAGCAGTGCTTGAACAGTTGCATGCGTGACATCCTGTAATAAATCGCATGAAAGCACTAGCACGAAGTTATGTATACTGGCCGCATTTGGACACCCAACTGGAGTAGATATCCCGTTCGTGTACCAAATGTGCATTAGCAACGAAAGCACCGTGAAAAGCTGAGCTGCAATCATGGCCAATACCATAGTCACCGTGGCAGCGTATATATTTGGACTTTGCTGGTCCACTTTATGGACGAACTTACCTTTTGATGGTTGATGCATATAGCAAGTGGCCAGAAATGTTTTTCATGGAACACCCGACTGCAAGCTGCACAGTCAGTTAACTACGTCAACTATTCAGTCGTTTCGGAATCCCGGAATCGATAGTTAGTGACAACGGAACACAGTTTACGTCCAAAATCTTCTCACAATTTTGTCGGCAGAACGGAATCCAGCACCTCCAAACACCTCCATTCCATCCCCAATCAAATGTCTAAGTGGAACGCTTTGTGAGCACATTTAAAAATGCACTAAAAAATCTAAAGGGGGAAGGGAACACTGAAGAGATCTTAGAGAGGTTCCTGCTTATTTATTGCTCTACACCGAACCCTCAGACGATTAACGGCGTCTCTCCGGCAGAAGCTCTACTTGGCAGAAAGATACGAACACATTTCGATGTCGTCGGTCCTACGCCAGCTCTTGAACCCCAACGAAACCTATCGATGGCGAATCAGTTGAATCGACATCATGGGGCACAAAGACGATTGTTTACGGTGGGAGAAAAAGTACTTGCTATGGACTATCGTGGGAAACATCCCACATGGACAGCTGGTCGGATCTTGAAAAAGAAGGGGAGTGTGGTTTACGAGGTGTCAGTTGGCTCAGAAGTTTGGGTACGTCATGCTAACCAATTGAAAGCAACTTCGATAGCCAGCAACAAGATTCAATATTGATTACCTCTTGATGTTCTGCTAGACACCTTTGAAATCGAAATGCCGGGAACAGACACTTCAGTTTCTGTTCAAGAAAAGTGATACTTCTCTATTGCCTAGACGATGGACTAATCGAAAGCACAGGCCAGTCACTCGGTTGCAGTTGGACTTTAGCCCCAGAGCCTACGAATCTGCTCAAAGGGGAGGTGTTAGCGGGACATAGACTGGATTAAAGCATACTCAATGCACGATTGCTTTGGTGCACGCTGATTGGCTAATTATTATCCAATCAGCACTAGTCGACAGTTGGAGAATACTCTGGATTCTTCTCATGTAAAAACTATAAATATACTAACGTTTTCCCTATTGTGCTTCTTGCTTCCATCTAATCTTGTTATTTGGAATATAATCTCTTTCCTGTTCAACCGTGTTCTAATTTGAGGACTTGTCGAGTGATTTGGTGTCCAAGATTATTAAGCAATAGGAATAGCTTTGTCATACCGTAAGAAAGAGATTATAACAACTATACTGAGTATAATTTGACCTCGACTGTATTATTACTAAGAAATAAAGAAAACACTGAATAGCTGTTTTGTAGTGGCTGTGCTTCGTTGATCAATCACCCTCGTAACCGTTACCATATAATCCATAACAGTGTTTGGAATCGGAAGGCAAAGAGAAGCAGCGACTACAGTTTTATTAGCACATAACTCAGACCGCAAAGCCAAGAGGCACATGAATAGGCCAGAGAACCGAGAGTGAGTAAAGTGTTAAATATATATATAGGGAAATGAATGGATCATCGAATCAATTAAGCAACTAATAATAAAGCTAGCAGAATGAATATATGCATAGGTGGTAAGCAACGTTCAAGCATACATATTTCATACAATCACAACAAAAATAAAGGTACAATAAGTTGTTATAGTACGGATGACTTTGTCCGCTAAATAAGTTAACAAAAGGGCTTAACTGAGTTAAGCGAGAACAAACTCAATTGCACATGAGTTGCTATAGTTTTATCCAAGTTTGAGACGCCTTAATAGTATCCGCTCAAAACTTCACATATCATCTGGTTGTTACATCGTGAGAACTTGTTACAAGGATGATACGTTGAAGCATCTGAATTAAAATTTGGTACTTCAATTTTTTTTTAATCTTCAGTCAAGTTACAAACAAACACTATCTTCATATAACTTTATCGGTGAGTTATTGTTGTTTGATTACATAACGTTTTCTTTTTTTCTTCATCTTGGAGAAAAATGTTTCACTGTTTAGGCATTTGAATCGCCAACCAGCTCAGGGAACAAAACCCCATCGGAAAAATATTCATGAAACAATTTATTTAATCTCTTTGGTAAAACACTTACTATTATCGTGTAGTACATGTGTCGAACATGCGAATTAATTTTGTTATTCTGTTTCTTGATAATGTCTGTTTATATAAAAAAAAGTATAAAAAGACAACTTGATAATATTTCTCAGCCAAGTTTGCTTACAAACAATAGTGAGATTAAGGATTTTTGTTTTGCATTATTTAGGACTCTCTAGTTGAATGTAACTGGATTATATTGTTGATATTCACAAGGAGACTCGAAGTTATTGTCTCTCTCTTCGAATGTCCAATGTGTTTTCCATTAAGCGAATAAGTTCACATAATCATCATTTTGTTCAACCGAGATGAATTTTAAATAATTTGTAAAAGTTTGAATTATTCCGTTATTGGTGCTAAGGTCTTCACTTGATCAGTCTTTTTTCAGCACATATGCATCCTTAAGGGATTGTCTTCATTTGATCGTTAAGTCAAAGGCACTTTTAAACAAAGTTGGATTGTGATTAGCTTGTAACTTAATGGTGATGTGACTACATTCAGTTTAAAATCCACATGCGTCAAAACAACAGTGATCAATTGAAGCTTCTAACTTAACAGACATAAGATTCCTGCCTCAACAAATTACATTAATATATAAAAGTCACTAAAAGCTTCTGCGAAAACTGCTAACTTTGGATGATTCATCAGTAGGCCTCAACATACACAAATGAAAAACGAAGAAACTCAAATATAACACAGAGAACACCAACTCAATCACACGTGATGGAGAAGCACTGGTAGATATAGAATCTTTTAAGTATCCGATCAGCATCATCGACGGACAAGGAGAAACCGAAGAAGATTCAAACGTAAGGATTTGCAAAGCCAGGACGGAATTCTTACAACTGAAGAATATATACAACTCAAAACAACTGCCAACTAACCAATATCAAACTCACAATCTTCAATATGAACGTTAAGGAAGTTCTACTCTACAGAGATGGAACGTGGATAACTACAACAACCATCATCAAGGATGTACAAGTATTTATAAATGACTGTCTACGCAAGATACTCAACGTCTATTGGCCGGATAGCATCAGCAACAGCTTATTATCGGAGAGAACAAACCAGCTTCCAACTGAAGAGGAAATTATTAGAAGACTCTGGAAATGGATAGGCCATACATTGCGGATATCACCAAACTGCATCACGAGTCAACCACTTACTTGGAATCCTAAAGAAAATTGGAAATGAGGAAGGTCAACAAACACATTACGTTGGGAAATAGAAGCATATATGAAAGGATGAATAACAACTGGAAAGAGCCGTGAAGAATTTCCCAGGACAGGGCCGGATGAAAAGAGTGCTGTTGATCGCCCTGTGCTCCTCCATGAGGAGTAACAGGCGTAATTAAGTAAGTAAATAAGTAAGTAACGTAACGTAATATCTGGTTACGTGTTTTGAGTATAACTCTGAAACAGTTCAGGGACATACGAGGAGAATTCATCTGTAGGCAAAATTAATTCAACATTACTAATCACATAATATTATAATGTAAACAATCAACATTAATTCACTTGATATTGTTTTACTTGAATCTTCCCATTGATGTTTTAGGACTGAAATTGATCAGTCTCTTATTGGCATATGTGCATACTGTGCGTATGCCTCGATAATGCCTTAATTTACAAGCAATTATAAGCAAAAATGGATAGTGCCTAGCAGTGGAATCCAGGACGCGCGTTTCGTCCTGTTTGGGACTCGTCAGCTGGATGTACCTGCATTTGAGTTGATTTTCATCCTGGTACTCGAACTCAGTACCGTTCGCTTCAAATGCCATCGCGTTATCCACTTAGCTACTGGCTATCAGATAGAAGTCTGAAGTTTGTGCTGATGATGTCGTCCAGAAGAACGATGAAAGCTCCTTGATCAAACCATCCAGCTCAGAGAACAAAACTTCACCAAAATCATCCACCTGAGCTACAAATCTTCTCCACCATCTCAATAGTTTACATTTCTAAAGAATTGAACATACATCATTAGAGGTTTGTGTAACCGTTATCAAAATCAAATACTACATATTACAACTTAGATAAATAAAACTGACCTTCAATTTTCATCCTCTGAAGTATATAGTTTAAAAAGGATGTTCCTAACATGTATTCAATTGTTTTTTGTGGAACCTTAAAATACACAAAATGTTATCAAACAATTTAATAATCCAATTCAATACAAATAGTTTATCATTCAGATGTGAAAGTAAATTAGATCTAGGGAACCAACATCATGTGACAGTATTCAAAAAAAGAAAAAAGAAGAGAAGAAAAGAGGTTCTCTCTCTCTAATAAATGTAAAACTATTCTTCTTCTATTACTCAACAAATGATTATCTTAGAAGGGTTTTGTGGATATTATAGTAATTTCAATGGTTGAGATCATGAGTCAATTGAAGCTAGACTACCATGGAAAACCTGGAAGCACTGAACGGCCGTTTCGTCCTGGTATGGGACTCCTCAACAGTGCGCATTCACGATCCCGTCCCTCGCGAGATTCGAACACAAGATCTATCAGTCTCGCGCTCAAGCGCTTAACCATTAGACCACTGATTATCTATTTGTGAAACTGTGTTAATATTTGCTTGATTTAAATTGAATATTATGGTCATTTACCATATTTCTAAAGTGGTTGATCTTATAGTTGTAAGGTGATTTTTATGATGGATTGGTTTCTTATTTTAGTTATTTTGTGCTCGTTTGGAGCTTTTCAACAGTGAGTACAAATAGGTTTAATGAGAATCTATCTATTCGCCCATTGATAAACTTGTTACCAATTCAGTAATCTAAACAGAACGCACTCATATTGGGTAAACTTGTAATCATAATACTGAAAAAATATAGTATCAAAATAATGTGAAACAGTTGTTTATAAATTTTTAATTATCATCATCGAGAAGTATAAATTTTAGTTTAATCAATCATAGAATCAAAATGTCCAAGTAATATAAACTCACTAAATTTTTTGACTGAGATCATGAGCTGATTGATGTTAGACCACCGAAGGAAACCTGGACGCACTAGAAGGCCACTTCGTCCTATTGTGGGACTCCTCAGCAGTGTGCATCTACGATGTCGTTCGCGGGATTCGAATCCAGGGCCTTCAGTCTCACTCGCAAACGCTTAATATGCTGAACCACTGAGCTGGCATCCAATGGTGTTAATTTCTAACCTCAACCGATCCATGAAATTGAGAGACCACCTTCCATTGTACTGAGGTAGATACCTATCCCTACCCGGCATGAATTAGCTGCAATGGTCACGGCTTCTCACTAGAACTTCGAGAATTTCTTTCACGAAGCTAGTCATTAGTGAGCACATGGTAATCACTCACTAAATGTAGAAAACTTAAATGTCACCAGAAAACTTCAGTAACTCCTAAACTGACTATTAAAATTAAGGCCAATATTTAGTCAGTTAGGATACAGGTAACTCAAAACTATCAAAGTTGTGGATTGGTTGAAGTTAGACATTAACACCGTTTGATGCCGGCTCAGTGGTCTAGTGGTTAAGTGCTCGCGCGCGAAGCCAGTAGGTCCTGGGTTCGAGCCCCGCGTGGTGCGGGATCGTGGATGCGCACTGCTGAGGAGTCCCGTACCAGGACGAAACGGCCGTCCAGTGGTTCCAGGTTTTCAATGGTGGTCTAGCTTCAACTGACTCATGATTTCAACTTGTGAAAAACACTCATGTAGACAAGAATCGTCTACATTCTATAAGAATCTTCACGTTTGAATCTTCTTCGGTTTCTCCTTGTTCATCGATGACGCTGATCAAATACGTGGAAGATTCTACATTTTCCAGTGCTTCTCCATCACAATTGATTAGGTTAGTGTTCCCCGTAATAGTTCTTAACAAGGTAAATGATATTTGTTATCGTGCCTTTGAATTTCGCGCTTAAATATTCATAAACCGCTGTCTTTAAAACTGATTGGTTTATCAGTAAAATATACATTTATGAAAGAAATTTTATAAGCTATCTATTAATACTACTGATTTCAATAAAATAACAACTCACTGACACTGTAGTGAATATTAATAAAATAATAGGATAACTATAGTTTATATAATATTTCCAAATTCTTATTAGTTCACTGATCAACTCATTACCTGAAATTGTCAAATAACAATTGTATTTATTAATAAGGAAAGTAAAATACAAGTACGTGACAAAATGATATATAAGGTCGTAGATGTTATTCGAAGCGTACTACTTCTTAATGAAAGCCTGTAAGCACTGGATGGCCATCTCTTCCTAGTATTAGACTCCTCAGTAGTGCCCACCCACAATCCTGAATGCGAGAATCAGTGCACAACCTTTGGTCTTGCGCAAATGCCCAACCTCCAAACTTTTGACTCGGCATTCAATAGTATTGGTGTTTAACGTCGAATAATCCACGACATCGCACGACCATCGTCTTCGATGGGTGTCTGTCTCACATCCGACAAAGATCAGCTCCACTTATCACGGCTTCTCATTCGAACTCCGAAAATCTCCTCTCGAAGCTGCTCACCAGTAAGTACATTATATTTTTTTGTACGGTTTGTGGAGATTGATGGACTTCATTTAAGCTATACTACTTTTATTCCATTAAATAATCCTATCAGTTATTGTATCGTGTACTTAACATCCGATAGACAGAGTAAATTCTACTTTCCTATATTGTAATCACTTTACAATTTAGAATCTATGATCAAGTAGAAATAAGCTTCACTTAACAAAACTCATGACAGTACCGTGTGTTAACTTGATATCTTTTTGATATTCCCCTTCACAAGTAAGTTAACAGACTGTCACAACTATTTCAACCAAAACGTTTTCAATGTAACCAATGATTACTTAACCTACCATTTAACTTTTCCAACGGTCTGCGAAGAGTACGCATAGTGTTACGTAACACCTTTTTCTAGTGAAATTCAAACAGTATTGTAAGATGAATTATTTAGTACAAAAATTTAGCATAATAAAAGACTTCTCTAAGCAACTATGAATCTAGTTTAATGCAATATCATCTAATTCAATATATAATCCATTTCTTGTCATCTGGATATATGATTGATAAGAAGTTGGTTTTAACTAGATATCATCCTCTTAGAATGTTAATTCACGTGGTACTGTTTTACTTGAATCTTCCCATTGATGTTTTAGGACTGAAATTGATCAGTCTCTTATTGGCATATGTGCATACTGTGCGTATGCCTCGATATATTCAAGTAAAACAATACCAAGTGAATTAAACTTCACCTCATTGCACAAGCAAGGGGCTATCAGGACTCAGTAGTTAAGTGGATAACGCGATGGCGTTTGGAGCGAATGGTACTGAATTCGAGTCCCAGAGTGAACATCAACTCTGAGATGCAGGTACATCCAGCTGACGAGTCCCAAACAGGATGAAACGCGCGTCCTGGATTCCATTGTTAGCCACTATCCATCTTTGCTCTTAAAATGTTGTTCGCTAAAGCTGAAATTATACGATAAAATATACGTTTAATATTGGTCCATAAAAGGATCCCAAAGTTAACATTCATTATGTTTATGGAGACCTAACAATAATTCCATGATATTAGTACCTTGGAATTATTATTCATTCATGTTTTTCACCTCATTCTATTACTAGTTTCTTTATTCACTTATTTAATCATGTTGTAGTAAACGAGAACACAAGTGGGGATAACCTAATGCATTTTCATACAACATTACAGAATATCTGAGAACCATACAGTAAATTCTTCATTTGTAAAATATCCATAAATTATCCCAAACTTTGTCATTCCTTCGTTTCCAAAACAGTTACTCTCTATTATCGTTCTCTTCTCTTTGATTTTCTTAACCCTTTACCTCCAGGCATTTCACTTTCGATTGGTGGTGCATACTACTTATCTTTGTCGACATCAGTAGTACACACCACAATATCAATAGCTAAAGTAATAAATATTTACAGTAAAATGTAATGATCCATAGCAGTGGAATAAATAAAGCGTGATTTATTCTAGTTGAGATGAGATACATCAAATAGATACATCTCAGTGATTATCTTCACACTGAGACCTGAACACAGTGCTAAGAATTCAGTACTCATTACCTCAGAGAACAATGCATTCTCATTTAAAACTAAAATCACGGAACTGGAGTCTCAGTGTGAAAAATGATATCCAGACAAATCCATCTGACGTGTCCCAAATGAGAAGAAACATGATCCCAGAATTTCCTAGTCAGCCAATAAACTTGTGATTAAATTACATTATCATAGCAGTTCTTTCAAGACGTGCATGTACACACAGAGACTAATCATTTATGGACATTTAACATTGACAATGGAAGAATACAAAACTTTACAAATATTAGTTTGAACTCTTGCCATGGCATAAAATGATTATCTGAGTATAATTTATAAAAAAACCATTAGTTAGATAATAAGGCCAGTGTAGTCTTTTTCATCATAAGCAAATTCTTACTGTCTCGTAACTCTCAAAGTTGTTTAGTACTCTATTTATTTCTTAGTTGAAGAGTTATGGGTGGTACTTATATTTCAATGCACATAAAGTAACCGAAGTTTAAAATTGTTAATCGTTAGTTTGTATAGTAACATCTAAATTACAAATTACATATTTAAAGAATTAATGATCCTTAATGATGTATATTGAATGGATAATGAACTCAACTAAGACTTCCGAATAACCTTTCATTTTCTGATTGGTTATGTAATGAGGGAACAGTGCTTCTGAAACTTTACTAATCACTAGGGACAGACTAAGTTATACTACAAATAAACTAAGATTTTAAAATTTCAGTTACGACAATCAAGGTTGATGAATTTAAGGTAATAAACAGATTGCGTATTTATGTCTTCATGTCTAATGATGTTTGTGTACATATCTAAAAGGTTTTATCACGGACACTAATGATTTGTTCAACTTACATCACAATATTCAATAATAGTAGCTGTTTCAATTCCAGAGTTTACCAGTTGTCTAAATGAAAATAACAGTCAATATTCATCAATTCTTATGGAATCATCAATATAATTTAAAACAGATAAAGGTTTAATAGTTAAATTCCTGAGTCGATTAAAGCTAGACCACCATGGGAAACCTGAAAGCACTGAACGTTCGTTTTGCTCTAGTATATGACTCCTCATCAGTGCGCATCCACGATCCCGCACGAGCGACTCAAGCCCAGAAACATTGGTTTCTCACGCGAAGGCTTAAATTCTAGACCACTGAGCCAATGGTGTTAATGTCTAACTCCAACCAATCCGCGATATTGTGCTACTGTCTACCATTGTCTTCAGTGAGTAATTGCTTCACGACAGACACGACTGATCTCCACTGGTCGCATAATAGAACGAAAACAGACCTTACTGTTACTATCCAATGATAATAGAAGTAAATGCAATGAACTACTAGCTCTACAATAATGACTTGCCATCCAACGTTGAGCTATTGTATATTGATCAACATTATAAATGAACAACTCTACAATAAAATAATCTTTGATAGTATTCTTTAATACAGTTTTCTTTTTTAAAAGAAAAGAAAGGAATTGAACATACCTCATATTTCTGACAGCTTCACTGATATCTAGATTTGGTTTACAAAGAATGATGTTTATTATAGCATTTTGAACACTAAAGAAAATTAAAACAAGAAAGAGAAGTAATAATCAAATTAGATAGAAATATGTGCTGTATATGTTTACATTTCATTGAACATGTTATAATGTTAATTAGAATCATTCAAATCCTACAAAGATCCCATGTCTATACAATAAGTTAGATATATGTTAGTGATCTATGTTGTGTAAGTAGATTGGTATGGTAATAAAGATTACTCTACATTATTTTAGTGTCCACATGAAGTACTTAAAATCTTGAGGAAACTGATATCTGTATCCCTCAGCTCAAAGATCTGGTAGGCTTCCATTGAACTATTAATGATGAACGTCAACTAACACAAAACCTAGGCACGAGGTTTCATGTAAAGTATCTTTTACTATCTAACATTTCAATATAGCATACTAGATGTTGATTAATTTGAACTGGAAACCATATTTCACTTGGATATTATTCCCCCCCCCCTAGTTTACGACTTAACAATCTTATTCATACACTAAATAGATCATATGAAGTATTTTAAGGATAAAAACCTAGTTCTGATGATCGAAACATTTAAGTTCATAAATGAAATCAGATTGAAAGCAAACTATAGATATTTTACTTTGAACAGATTGTTATGTCCTTAGCTTAAATAATTATCACGAAACACGATTGTCAATTTTAGATACACTAACTTAGACGATTAAACTAATGATCCATACACCAGTACGAGCAACTTAAAGTTTTGATTGTTCTTTTTTTCCGCCTATCCCTGCTTATTAAGTCCAAAACGTCAATCTTAGCCTTTATATGTAAGCTAATTTAGACTACACCACACCATATAACAGAAAATAACATTTGTACAAGATCAAGACAAAATGTGGCTGTGAATGTAGGAGACTAGGCATAACATAAGAACGGTAAATCGTATAATAATAGCCTATGGATCAAAATAAAGCTTGTAATGAAGGGAATATGAATGTACATATAATATAGTTAATTAATAGTCATATAATAAGGATATATGTATAATATTGATTCATAAGTAATTCCTCACGGTTACCATTCATTCATTCACTTCCGCATATAGCACAGATTATATACATAGTCTTTATACTGAAATATAGAATTATCACTGAATAGCATTCCACTGGTTAACCAGTTTGTTCCCTAATTTTCAATTCTAAATGTACAGTATCATTAGAATTGAAAACACTGAAAATCACTTTGAAATTGTCTGGCCAATGTTTAAACACAAGAGTCTACCTATTAGAAGCCATGAAAATCAAATAAACATGTTGAATTCTTGTAGTTCGTAGGTTTCAATAAAACTAACCGAACAATCTTCATTATTACAGATAAAATTTGTACTGGAAAAGATAAACACTTTGTGATATTTTGATTTCATATGAGGATTATGGTCGTTCACTGTCGTGAAAAACATTTCTTTCTCTTCAAATAAAAGTAAGTTCAAAACCTTCTCAAGTGTTAAACGATTTGGTAGACATTTCTATTTAACTTTCATCATTGTAATCCCGGTTAACTTGACAGTATAACTCTGTTTACTCCTTGCATGAAAGCAAACTCACCTACATAATAATTTTTTTATGTCAACTGATATAACCATGTCAGAACTCTAAAACAAATGAATTCATTAATATAGTTGAATTTTAGCTAACAGAAAACTCCAGGAGCCATATTTCATTCTCTTTGGGATTTTTCAAACTGGCTATACTTTTGTCCTATTGTTAATGTACACAATAACGCTAAGGTCCAGTATCTAACCGTTGTATCTAAGTAACCACTAACTTTTACCAAATGAAACGATTATTATGGATCTTGAATGAGTGCTTCGATACAGTCCTAAATATCAATGACGAGTTAGGCCCTTCAGAATAAGTGAATTCGAATAATTGTAATAAAAGGTTTTTAGCTACTTATAAGTAATATAAAAGAAAACAACTAACATTACTGGTCAATACATCTTACATTAACCAAGATTCACTTTGAGACCAATCAAATATTCCAGAATTAAAATTAACACCTAATCTATCATCAAGGTTAGCTCTATGATATTCAGTTTCATTTGAATGGAGCCATTTTTCATTATCATTACTGTCACATTCATAAGACAGTAAATCATTTGTTGACCAGTATTGATTGTATGCAGTTGATTCATTAGATTTCTCCTCTATAGGATCTTTATTTATTGTAAATTGATTCAATGAATTATTTCCTGATCGTGAATTAAACCGGACAATTTTGTGATTGTAAACATGAGATCTTATCTATTAATGAAAGGTTAGAAAAAGAAGTATAGATAAATATCGTACATATACATGAAATATTTAAGAAGACATTTTTTCTTATTAGACCTATTTTCATATTCCATTTTCTCTCTTGATTGTTGATGGTTAAAACATCTGGGAAGGAGTTCATTTATTCGGGTTTTTTTACTTTTATTAGTAAATGATAGTTATAACAAGTGAGAATGTCCTCGGAAATTTTGTTCCAACTCATACTTAATCCGTCTAAATGTCAAGCTGTTAACTTGAGCATGAGACATGAACGGAATCTAAACACTATTTTGGGATTCCATAATGCTTGTGCCATTGGAGACTCTTTGATAAACACAGTGTCGAAGGTCAATTATCTTGGTGTTACCTTTTCCTGTGATCTCTCTTGGTCTTCTCATGTTTAATTGTTACCCAAGAAAGTTTTCCCTTTGACTTACTACATAAAGAGTCTGCATGCTTTTGGGATTACTCGACATTTACTCTTACAATTTGTCAATTCTTGCCTATTATCTATTATTCTTTACTGTTCTCCATTATTCTTTCCGGGGCTTTTGAGAAAAGACTTCTGTAGGAAGTTAGAAGGCTATGTGGTGAAACTTTCGAGGTCATTATTAATATGGTTGTGCATAGATATCTAAAGTCTTGCAAACTCTTGGTAGGTGTTTTCTTATCCGATACCAACCACCCCCTTCACTCATTTCTTTCTTCTTCTATATTTTCTGGTAGAACGAGATGTAATGACATTAAAATCCATGCACGCAAGCAAAAGTATAAAAGTTCTATAATACTTTACTTAGCAAATATACTCTGTGACAAGCAGGTTGTTAGAGTCAACCTAGTCAATAACCTGTATTCTTAAACATGTTTTTAATTTGGAAAGTTGTATAGTTCCAGATCCTTTTCACCTTTTTCCTCTATTTTTTGTTGTTTTGTTTTTGTAAAAGAAACTTGTTGAAATACCTTGTGTTGAGAATTCTATATTGTACCAAAATATAATATTGAATAAAGTCATTAATTATAATAATGCTATCCCATTATCTTTCATTGTAATCTAATAGGTTACTTTCTTTTCTAGTTGACTGTTTTTGTTACATACTCTCAGGATTATAGTAATGATAGTGTACACAAATTTGCCAAATATAATATTATCTCACTGAAATCCCAAACGTTTCCTGAATATTTTTCGTTTTTCTCTCTCTTTCTTTCAACTACTTGAGGGAATCATTATTGGTAAAGTGTTTTGGGATGAATTTTTGAGCTGTTCACTAGTTTCAGGAGATATCTTTTAATTATTCGAAATTTCAAATCATTGTAAGTGATCTCAAAACAGAACAGAATCTACCTGTGTTAATTTTGTGATTTTCTAATAAGCATCAAAGAAGATGAAACATTATTATAAGATCTCATAATAACTACCTCCAGACCCCTAAAATCTCAGCACAGTGAACATGATGCTGAACCATTCACAGCAATAGACATATTGCAACGCGATCGATTTAACATGAATAGTACATAAAACAACACTAACATATAGTCATTTTATGATTGAGATTATGAATTGATAAATATAGGAACACCAATGAAATCCCGCATGTGAGATCGTAGATGCTAACTGCTGAAGAGTCCCACAATAGGACGAAATGGCCGTCCAGTACTTCCAGATTTCCAACGGTAGTCTAAAATCAATCAGCTCATGATCTCAATCATAAACAATATCAAATAAATTAACAAAAATTTTTCTAAACACTCACTTCTTTAAAACGTTTTCTATGATCAATAACAATTTCCACCATGACAATCAGTAAATATCTTGATATTTTTATTGTCTTGATTATTTTGTTAATTATAAAACAATTTAAATAGTTAACATGATGGTTTATACAATCTATGAATAGTTCAATTGGTTTCAATGATTCCATTCATAATTAAACAATGAAATCAATTCGATTAAAGTACATTAAAATAAGACTTTGTTCTATTAGTGAATATGATAAAACTTTATAACTATTCATTATTTTCAGAAGGGGTTTGTGAAGATTTTAGAAATTTTCACAGATTTAAATCATGAGTCAGTTGAAGCTAGACCACCATTGAAAACCTGGAAGCACTGGACGGCCGTTTCGTCCTAGTATGTAACTCCTCAGCAGTGCGCATCCACGATCCCGCACCACGCGGGGCTCGAACCCAGGACCTACTGGCTTCGCGCGCGAGCACTTAACCACTAGAACACTGAGTCGGCATCCAACAGTGTTAATGTCTAACTTCAATCAATCCACGAAGTTGCGCCACCATATACCATTGTCTTCAGTGAGCTGATATCTCAAAACAGACCTGGTTGTACTCCACTGGTGACGGCTTCCCACTAGAACTCCAGGAGTATCTCTTGAAGTCAGTCACTAGTGAGCAGATGATTATTATGAGAAGGGGTTTGTGGAGATCTTAGAAATTTTCACAGATTTAAATCATCAGTCAGTTGAAGCTAGACCACCATTGAAAACCTGGAAGCACTGCTTCCAGGTTTTCTCCTCGAGTTCTAGTGGGAAGCCGTCACCAGTGGAGTACAACCAGGTCTGTTTTGAGATATTCATTATTTATTTATTTATCATATAAAGAGATTAACTTAATGCTTATATAGTGAATAAAAGTTATTATTCTTTTATTTTTCTAATATAAATCATTTGAAGTGAATATTTATGATGAAACTAATTAGTTTCAAGTATACGTTCTTTATTGTGTTAACCCAATTGTCATTACAAATGGATATGATTAATTCAAAGACAATAGTGATTGTTATATCCTAATGAAGATTAAATTATGAGTAACTATTAATGGATTAGTTGTATAACTATTGAGTAATTAGATTGTGTATATTTATAGTCATCTTATTATAAGCTTCATTTTGGCCTATAGATTATTATTGTACGATTTACTGTTATACTCAGTTATTTGATTACCATCTCCCACGTTCACAGCCACTTTTTGTCTTGATCTTGTACAAATGTTATATCCTATTTTGTGGTGTGATGTGATCTGTTTGTTTTCTATATAAACCCAATATGTTTGAAATACATGATTGGACGGGAAAAAGAACCGGTAAGGATTCTAGACTACTCGTACGGAATCGTGAGTCATTAGTCCGGTCGGTTATATATCATTATGCACAAGATCATAAGTTATAACAGTTTGGTTCTTATTAAAGTGCTTATAACCTTAATATTTTAAAATCAACGTTATTACAGATATTGACATATTTATAAACACGAAGATGGTTAGAGATGAATATGTGTATCATGATTTAGCGAAGATCCCAATAGACTTAATAAGGTCATAAAAATTTTGTTTCGGATAAGTAAAGTTTGGAAGGGAAAGTTCCAAAACATTGAACTAGTAATTAGAACTTATAGAGTTAATAAACATTTGGTGATTGTGTGGTGAAGTAACTAAAAACAGATTAATGGTAATAAAGAAATATATGAAATGAAATCAGTCAGTTATGAATTAAAGAAAAAAACAGGAATACGTTCATATCCATTTTCAGGCACTTATTTCTCAGTCCAGGATATTACGTCTTCACAAAGAACCGCTCCTGATACCAAATCTGAATATATAGTGTTTTTCGTCAGTCGACGGAGTTCCGCAGTTTTGTGTGTCGCCTCCACGAAATTGATATTGTTTCGTTCACGAAGGTGAACATTTGATTGGAACAAGCCTGACCGTTTTCGCCTCTACAATAATAACAGATCTTGTATATATCAATGAAATCTTTCAACTGACGCCTCCATTACTGATGGATAATGTTACACTCTAGCACTGGAATCTCTACCAGTGCATATCCATGGCCCTACTAAAAGCCAAACCTAGGACTATCGGTCTCGAGCACGAACGCTTAACCTCTTCTATTAACTGAGGTAAATAAGTCTCACATTTGACACAGCTGAACTCTTCTAATCATGACGTTTCATTAGAAGCCTTGGAATCAGATCTACAAGTAAGTCACCAGTGAACGTAAGATTATTATTATTATTATTATTATTATTATTATTATTATTATTATTATTATTATTATTATTATTATTATTATTATTATTATTATTATTATTATAAAGGTTTTGCTCGTAGAAATATCTAACACTGAGTATTCATGACTACTTATGAAATTGATATCATTAACAACAGGTTTCAAACTGAGCGCGTTATCACTAAATCTCCTAAATCCTTAATAAATGCTGACAACTTATTTATCATGATTACCGCCTGGTGACGGACATATCTTGATATTATTTATCAACTTACTTAAATCAACAGATAGCTTTTACCTTTGAATACCCATGTAAGTGAGTTTATCGGTCATTCAGTGATTTATGATGAAAGAACCGTCGTTAAATCTAAAAATAATTCTATCACTTTTAAAATAAAATTCAATCGGATGACATTTCATCTCGTGGTACAAAATTCATGCTTAAAGTAATCATACTACTGAATAATAATAAGTAGAAAAATGAATAACTAAAAATAATTGGCATCATAAATCCATGTAAAATCGTAATATAGGTAAACCGATTTAAATCGTGACGTAATTCAATCAAATGACATCAAAACTATTAACTTAGATTAAGATCTGTTTACCATACAATTGTACTTTTAGCACTAAACTACAGTCATATATGAAATGAATGATATCGTTATCAGTTAATTCACATAAGGTTCTACAGTTAAGAGTTTTTAGCGGCCCCTGTATCTGACTTCAGTTTGATCGTTTCTGATTGCTATTGAGATATAAATATCGCAAATCCCTGTATATACTCATCAACCATATCCACGTTGATGAATAGCGAAATTAAACAAGTCAATTACGAAAAGGAATTTTGAATATGTCTATTTCATGCACTTAATTGAACAGGCAAGTAAGTAGACAAAAACGAAGAGGGGAGAGCAAAGCAGATTGGAGAAGACAAGTGAGACAACTTAATTGAATCAAGAGTAACTCGATATTTTTAGCCAGACGAAAATAAGTTACAGATATGTGATGAATAGGATAAGAAGAAGTGCACATACTTACATACTTACATAAAAACAGTCAAGGTTGATCAACGAACATTTAATAAGGTTAAAATATGACTCAAGAAGAATGGATAAATTGGCTTATACAGAAGCTAGAATAAGTTGTGTAAGTTTAACATAGTTAAATGACATTACAAGTTCAAATCGCTAGTCAAAAGCAATATCCATATTTGAAAGGAATACATCTATATAAATCTTAAATATGACTTAAGAATTATAGGTGATCGGTTTTAGACGATTAAATGAATAATATGCAATGACTACTTGAAATGAGCTACTTAATAAAATAAGGCGACCAGATTACTAATTCATACTACTAAATACATGTATTATATAATTAATGGAACAGTTTTAATGTTATACATATGAGATTGGTTTAATCAGAGATTAATAAATGGTATGAAGTCGTATGAATTCAGTATGGGAGTGAATTCCATGCTAAAACATATTGGACATGGAAATATATTGAATTATTTTACAATAAATATTCTAGGAAAACTTTACAGTATCGATGACCTTCAGTGGTATATCAGCCAATCAACAAAACAGTAATTAATTTATTGTAAAATCTAATAATGGATAGAAAATTTTGATATGAAATAGTGTTGGATTATTTATTTATAAGGATTAGGGCAATGAATTAGGACTTACTTACGCCTGTTATCCATTCGTCGAAGAGCATAGGCCGCCCACCAGCCCTTTCCATCCAAACCTGTCCTGAGCAATCCTTGCCTGTTTTTTCTAGTTGTTATTCATTCCTGACGTAATGTGTTCTTTCGCCTTCCTCTTTTCTGTTTCCCTTCACGATTCCAAGTTAGTGCTTGCATTGTGATGCAGTTTGGTAATTTCTGTAATGTATATTGATATGATAGAAAGAAAAGTCAATTTTCGATTGAATTACTCATTATGAGTTTTATTCAACATTGACATCCATTTTGATTCAATGTCAGGATCATTCAGTGTAGTGTTTGGTTTGTTTTCCCAGTATGATATTTTCTTCTGTATAAAATACGATATTCTCGTATTCACTTAACATGAACTATGCTCAGTAAGTGATTTGTTATAAATGAGTATGTGATCTAATCCTAATTATTAATCAAAATGGGTGTACAATCAATATATAAACCAGTGTATTTTAAACTATTTTGATCATCGTCGTCGTGTTTTGGGGCTAATAAATCTTCACTTGGACCAGTCTTGTGTTCTTACTTTCGCATCGTGGGAATTGCCGAGGTCCCTCATTCCGAGTATAAGTGATCGGTGTTTTTCCGGCACAGCAATCAGCGACGACCAAATATAACATATATACTATCCATTTTCAACGTTTTTTCCTAATTCCTCTTCAGCTGAAAGCTGGTGCACAATTATGATCAAGAGTTAGAGCTAAGAACTGAGGTTTGAGTGAGAGAGTACTTTTCAGCCATAATGATAAAGAATTATGCAGTTAGTTATTAAAACCTAAATGTCCAAATGTTTGAAGTTACCATGGAAAATCAGCAAAACATGTTAATATATTATGTATCGGAGCACTCTAGAAAGCATACAAAATACTGAATTTGACCAATTACATTAAATTGAAAATGAACTTTTCAGATACAATCTGCGTCAAAAATAGTTGTTTATTGAAATTTATTTTACACACTATGTCACGTTCACTGTTTTGTTGCACAACATAAATATACATCAGAGTCATTCTTACTTAAGTTTTAATAAGTTACAAGTTATCTGTCATTGTGTTATGAACTTTAACTCTGATGAACATGCCTGCCATCTCGTTGTTCGTAAAACCAGACCAGATAGTATAATAAGAAATTGATATTGGTACTTC